ACTGTTTAACTCGGTGGATTGATTGCCTATGGCTATCGTTCTGCTTAAACACTCGGGGGTAAGTCCGGGAAACGATCCGTCGATTCGTCGATGTGAGTCTCTCATAAGGGCAGCCTCCTTCTATGGTGCTGAAGCGCAAGGCTTTCGGACTGCGGTCCGGCTGTTCTTGCTGTTGATGCCACCTAAGAAAATCTCAATGCCGGCAATTGGAAACCGTTGGATTCCTGAGCTCTGCCACGCACCTCGGTGGATCTTAACGGTGGACTTCCAGCAATGGTCGTCCGTCCAAACAACCAATAGGAAAACTTCCGTTCCGAAAAGCCCCAGGGCAGAGTAAGAATGTGGACTTCCCAAGTCAGGGAGCGCCGAAAGGCCTTCTGGATGAGGGAACCATGATAGTTACCTGGTTGATCCTGCCAGTAGTCATATGCTTGTCTCAAAGATTAAGCCATGCATGTCTAAGTATAAGCAATTTATACAGTGAAACTGCGAATGGCTCACCCTAACCCTAACCCTAAGAAGGACGTGAGCGAGAGCGAAGAACGAAGGGGTGAAAGACAGCGTCCTTCTCATAATAGAAAGCGGGCTTCTTTTTAAGAGCTACCCGTAGTCTACCAGACAGGATGTGCCGATATTCCATCTGTGCGGAGGTGAATGCTATCCCAGCGGCATCAAGAGCACGCCGAATCATAACGAGAGAAACGTTGAGAGGTATTGAAACTTCGTATGAGTACTTCACGAGGGGGGAGGCCGTAAACGGCTCCATATCCTCCTGAGTACTGGTAGAGGCAGCAGGAGGGTGGTTGACGTCATCAGGGGAAGGGTCCAAGACGAGCGAGAGGGGAATAGTGGTCCTTCTAATGAACTGTGGAGGCGTAGAGGGACGAGGTAAGTCAAGAGAGAGACTGGACGGAAGTTCCGTAAGGTCTGAGGTTTGTGGGCGAATAGGGGGTTCCCTGGTGGGCCCCATGACCGGCAAGACCGGGCAGGAAGCCGTACCAGGAATTTCGAAATCAGTTGAAGATAACAAAACAAACAGCCGTACCGATTTTCAGTATCTAAATACGACATTTTTGTTTTGTTGCAGTTGAGGGCCTGGCCGTGTCGTGTCGCGGATTTCGATACGCCCGTTTCGGCGCGGCTGCACCCAGCTGCAGAACACCGGCGGTGGGTTCCGCGTACGTACCAGGCATTCACCACCCAAAGACTGACTGCCGACTCAATTGTCGATAACAAATCGGTGGTGTCCCTTTTTGTCACTGTCCTCAAACGGCGACGTCTGCTTCCTTCTTTATCCGCTGACTTACATCCATCCTCCCTGGTCGACGTTTCTCCGCCCTGTACGCCTAGTCTGCGAACCTACCAGTTATACTCCTTCGTCAAAATGACGTCCGCGGCACCTCAATCCCCGACCACCTTCCTCCGGCGCGAAGTCTCCTCGAAAACGGACCATCTCGCAGCCCTCGCCTCCCACCTCACCAGACTCCGTCAATCCCTCACCTGCGAAGTCTGCACAGAACTTCTATATGAACCGTGTACCCTCGCCTGCGGACACGTTCAATGCTATGGATGCTTGATGGATTGGCTGCAGCATAAGAAGACGTGTCCGCAATGTCGGGCGAAGGTTGTTGATAAACCTGTGTTGACGTTTGTTATCCGGGATATGGTCGATCTATTTGTGTCGAAGGTGGAGGTCGAGGATCCGGAAGGTGAGGGGCGGACGTTGCGGGAGCATCAGAAAGAGCAGAGGGTGATGGTGGAAGAACATAGAGCGAGTGGGGAAGGTCTTTTCCCGGGATTGTTCAAGAATAAGTTCCGGGGGACACGGATGATGGATCTAGGGGACCAGGTTATGAGGTGTGCGAGTTGTGGGTGGGAGGTCGAGGGTGGCCCGTCGTGTCTGCATTGTGGGTATGTTTTTTCATCGGGTTCGGAGGCAGAAAGCTACGAAAGTCTGGAAGACTCGTACACAGATGAGGATGAGGATGACGAAAGTGAAGGCGTTGATGAGATGGTGGAGGATGTCGAGGGCTGGGACGATGAGGATGAGCACTTGAACGAACACGGGAGTGTCCGTCGACCCCCATATCGACCAGATCGGTTGGGGGAGTACGGCGGTGACCCCGAGGAAGAAGATCTCGAGGAGGACGGTGTCCCTGGGAACGGGTACGCACAAGATATGTACGATGAGGTGGGCATGGACGAAGACGAAGCCGAGGAGTTTAGGGAGGAAAGAGGCGAGCACAACGGGCCTGCCTCGGCATACGCGAGTGAGGAGGAGGAGGAAAATGGAGGTTATCGTGTACGATCTCGATGGGTGGATAACGAAGCCGAGGAAGAGGACGATGAAGATGACGATGATGACTCTATTCATGGGCCACCCGGGAACGGAGGTGGTGATGACGGTCCCTATGACCACGGAGATACAATTGGGGACCACGACGAGTTAGACCCAGACGAGCCGAACGAATACGACGTCGACGATTCCTTCCTTGACGGCAGAGGGACGAGCGATATCGAAAGATCACAAGGGTACACCGGGGAAGACATTCTCGATGACGGGAGTGAGGATGCAGAGCAGTTTTGGACACAAGGCCCTCGTCCTCGCCGTCGAACTGGCGCACCACCGGCACCTCGGAGGTTAAGACGGGATCCGCAGGATGTGAGTGTTGTCTTGATCAACTCCGTCTCGGAAGACGAGGAGGAGGAGGAGGAGGAGGAGGAGGAGGAACATGAGGAGTCGACGCAGGATAGTCGGAAGAGGCGGCGTGAAAGTGGTAGTGATGGCGACAGCGCTGGAAGCGAAGGCGCGAACGGGAGAAGACGGAGGTTGGTGAGGAGGAGGTTGCCGACGCCACCGAGGCGAGAGAGAGCGAATGAGAATGGGAACGGAAACGGGAATGCCGGCGGTCGGAAAAGGATCGTGATTGACGACAGTGATGAGGACTAAGGAGTGATCATGAGGCTGTCACCCAACGGCGAAGGTTACAAATGGAATAAGAAGCTTGCATCGGATACGGCCACGGAGGAGTTATTTCTTTTATTTTCAGGAGCATAGCAAACAGAATCATTCTTTCTTTTTGCCAGTCCATGCACCCCGCCGAAGTTTCCGGGCCCCTGGAATGAGCTCACCGGGGTCGCACCGCGCATCTCGGCTCAACAATCCGTAAATCCTGGCCCCAGCACCCCCGTCGCCAACCACCCCACTGGCAATTGACCTCGTAGAGACCGTCGTACAGTCGACAGAATGTCCAAATACGAATCCGAAAAAACACAATCCCATGACCGCGGCCGCTTCTCAGAAGGCCGTCACTTCGCCCCTGTCCGTCTTCCCTTCCGTCGAAGACTACAGACCCTCGCCGTGCTTTGGCATTCATGCTCCATCGCGGCGACCCTCAGTTTCTTCTTCTTCTTGTGTGCTGTTCCGCCTATGTGGCCGCTCATCATCGCATACTTGGTAGGTACCCCTATGCGTTAATGTTTCGAGGTGAATGGGGACTCATGAGGTGTAACAGGTCTGGATTGTGTTTGATGATGCGCCAGAGACGGGGAAATTGAGGACGAGAAAGTGGATGAAAAATTTGAAGATCTGGAGGTGGTATGCTGGGTATTTCCCGCTACACCTTCACAAGACCGTGAGCCTGGAACACAAGAAGACGTACATCTTCGGTAGGGCGCTGTACAGTTCATATACTTTTGCGTGCAATGAGACTAACAGTTCCTACAGGTTACCACCCTCATGGGATTCTATCATTTGGTGCTTTCGGGAATTTCTCTACGGAAGCCACGGGATGGTCCGAGAAGTTCCCGGGTATCGACGTGAGCCTCTTGACTCTCTCCTCCAATTTCCGCACCCCGCTCTACAGGGACTACCTTCAATCCATGTCCCTCGCTTCCGTCTCCAAGCGAAGCTGCGAACACCTCCTTGATCGCTCCCAATCAATCTGTATCGTCGTCGGCGGCGCCCAAGAATCCCTCCTCGCACAACCCTTCACCGCAGATCTCGTTCTCAAAAAGCGTCTCGGTTTTGTGAAATTGGCAATTAAGAGCGGCGCATCCCTCGTGCCCGTCTTCAGTTTCGGCGAAAACGATTTATTCGAACAAGTCAAGAACAACCCCGATACAGCCCTCTATCGCTTCCAACAAACCTTCAAAAAACTCATGGGATTCACGATGCCACTCTTTCACGCCCGTGGTGTCTTCAACTACGATTTCGGACTCATGCCGTATCGACGACCGATCAACACCGTCGTCGGGAGACCGATTCATGTGGAGAAGAATGAGAATCCGACGGAGGAGGAGGTGAAGAAGATTCAGGCGACGTACGTGAGGGAATTGGAGAGGCTCTGGGAGGAGAATAGGGATAAGTTTGCGCCGAAGAGGAAAAGGGAGATGAGGATTGTTGCATAAGTCAAACTCGGAACATTGATAGCTGGGTGGATGGCTGTGCAAATTGGCTCTGGAGTAGCCGGGACACCACGGGACGTTCATTATGGACCTTTGCTATGTTGCAGCAGTACTAGTACGATATGTATACCCAGTATGACATGGCATTTTCTGCTTGTGTTTATCTACCTGACATGCCATTCGTCCCAACTCGCACCCTTCCCCAGATCCCCAAATTCCGACGCACGCACCAGCCACACCCTCTGGGCCTCTGCACCCCCCTGACGAATTCGGCACAGAAGTCAACGTTACCTCGAAACACCAAAAAGGTCAACCTCACCACTCTCCGAGAATGTTCTCCTCAATACGCTATTCAGTTACGGCGGCAACACGAGTGGGCGCACAAGTCCGATGGACGTCGAAGAGACCAGCTGCCTGCATTCCCGAGCCTCGAGGTACGTGGATCGCACCCCCATCCACGCGACAACGCCGTACTAACCTCCCACACAAGGTGATATCACAACCCCCTCCAAATTCCTCTTCGCAATCGGCCGCAACACGCACAAACTCGCCGCTCCAACCTTCCCAACCTGGGACTCCCTCTTCACCCTCTCCGCCTCCGATCTCAAATCCGCGGGACTAACACCCAAAGTTCGTCGCTACATCCTGCATCAACGTCATAAGTTTGCGATGGGGCAGGAGGTGAAGGAGGAGGGGTTGGTGCAGAAGTTTGGGGGTGGGGAGAGGAAGAGGAAGATTTTGGGGACGGTTGGGAAGAGGAATCCGAAGGCGGGTGTGTGGTGGTATTAGAGGGGCGGATTGCGGGTGGGACACGCAAAAGGGAGTATGAGTTTGAGTTCGAAGAAATACATTTGCATCTACACAAATACCTCCTCGAATAGTGCGTTCCATACCGTCTGGTACGTCTCCAGTTGCAAACCTAGCACTAAACGACGCAAAAAATGAGCGAAGATACGTATATCTCCAGCGCCACCAGTGGGCAGCTGCTAGATCATTCCCGCCATCCTTGCCTGGCCTCATCTATGGTATCGTACATCCATCCCCCACCCTCCTCCCTCCCACATCACCACACCTTACTCGCCTCCCTCTTCTCCCTCTTCCTCTCCTCCAACCAGATCTTCTTACACTCCCTCACCGCAGCAAAATACGATCCACATAGACTCTTATCGTAATCATTCCGATCCAGGCATTTCATTGCGGCTTTTGAGGCTTCGGAGCAGGGGTCGACGAATTGGGAGGGCTATGGGAGGGGGTTAAGTTTAGGTCGTGAGTCCGAAGACGAGAGGAAAGAGACGGTATGAGACGAACCTGCTTCTCCCGAAACTTCTTCTTATTCTCCGCGCTATTCGGATCACCGACCATATACTTCGCTTCGAGGCGTTTAACTTCGTCTTCGGAGATGGGAGCTGACATGCGTTCTTGTCGCGATGCTTGTGATGACATGCTGATGGTACAGAGCAATGAGGGAGGAGGAGGAGGAGGGGGATGGGTTTTGTGGGGAGGGTGTATTATGCGGGGGGATGCAGGAGGGAGCAGCAACTGCAGCTGCCCTTGCAATTGTGTGCAGGTGTTAAAGTTCGATATGTTCGATGTGTAATGCTAACCAATGCGATCCTTTTTCATTCACCCTCCCTGTTTGTATGCTCAATTGAACCAGTTGCTGTGCTCAACATCACTTTGCGCCCCCGTACGACCCTCGATACCATCCTGCACCGAAGCAATCGTCCTCAGTCAACGAGCAACTTCACTCCTCAAGCCTTAAAGATGGTCATGACCGCAAACGTCGCATAAAACAGAAAACAAGGATACGCAACCAACAACCGCATCTCGCTCAGCTGTAGCACAGTAACAAACATCGCACTTGCACTATACGTGCACCAAGCAATCGCCAGAGACGAAAGTGCGTACCCAAGATACCCACTACACAACAGAGAAGATTAGCCAGCACAAGAGGGGGGAATACAGGTTGACATACTCCATCGACACAATCACCCCAACCCCTGCCATAAATACCAGTGGTAGCAGACAATACCCCAAAACACTCGCTGTTCTCGATATCGGCACGCTGTTTGTCGCCATGAGACTGAAGATCGTGTGAAGCGATACACAACCCAACAAAGCCAACCCGTAAATATACCCAAACTGAATCTTACCACTCTAGAACCCAAACCGTCAGCAGTGAAAACACACACACATGTGTGGACTAATTCAGAACCCCATACCAATAAGAGAAACGTGCCAAACAGAAGACAAAACAGAATGGGCCCAGCCAAATCACTGTCATCCATGATACCCTGCTCAATAAACCCAAACGGATTCAGGACAATGAGCGTCTTCATCTTCACATGCCCAAAATTAACACCAAGTTCTACTCACACCATTAGCACACCACATATCCTCCCACACACACGTCTTCACCCATACCTTCCAATAACGGCGCCTCATCAGGATACCCCCCCGTCCCAAGCGCCGCCAGCAAACCCGTACTCTCCAACTGCTGCCCTGTGTTGCCGCTGCCGTTGCCATATCCTCCTCGCGGTGTTGTGGTGCCACTCACGCCTGGCATACCCCTGCTGTAGCCAGTTGATGTATCGTATTGTGACTGATAGAAGTGGAGGTTGGACATTATGTGCTGTTGTGAATTCGAACGAGTTTGTGTGCGGTCGCGGTATGTTTGAGATTCGTCGAGAGTCGCTGGAGCTGTGATAACTCAATTGATACCGTACGTAAAGTCCGCTAGGTCGTGAACAGCAAATATCGCCAATTGCACCGAGGTCGTCTGTTGACAGTCTCCTCGGACAACTTGGTCACTGTTGACGTGTGACGGGAAAAGCAAGCTAACCCGAAACGGTAATCTGGGCTGTCAACGTTACCGCACCCCTTCCGGACCACAGCGAGGCTGACTTTCCGCCTGGGAACATGACTGTGCTCATCATCCTCGTCGACAATCGACCGTGAGCAATTCCTACGTAAGATACACCCCATCACTTCCAAAACATACAATTATCGAGGCAAGAAATATCCCTATCAATGTCCATGTCCCTGTCTACTGTACCTCTCACACCCCCCATCCACCTCATATGCACAAACACACTCCTTTCCTCCTTTCCTCCTTTCCTCCGATTCCCACGCTCACTTCCTCAACTTCCACCTCATCTCACTCCCCCCAGCAGGCAAAACAACCATACTAGAATAATCCGGCGGCGGAACAACACTCTCCCACTCCAGCTCCCTCACAAACGCACTAATGAGCGTCCCCAACTGCACATACGCAAACTGCTCTCCAATACACCTATGTCTGCCCGCGCCGAATGGGAGGTAGGGGGATGCTGCGCCTTTCGAAACAAGACCATAGCCGTAGTCGATTTTTTCCTCGATATCGACGTCGGCTGATTTTTTGGACCAGCGGTCGGCGGTGAAGGTGTTGGGGTTGGGGAAGTGAGCGGGGTCGACGGCGGTGACGCCGGGTGCGGCCATGAGGAAGTGGCCTTCGGGGATGATGATGTCCGAGCCGGGGACCTGGATGGGGGCCTTAACGAGACGCATAATGGAATGAAGAGGAGGATGCATGCGGAGCGTCTCGCGAATGACATAGTTCAAAAGTGTCAAATCCTTCAGATGCTCATACTGCAGCTCCGGCAAATCCTCGCCACAGACGCGTTTTTGTTCTTCGAGGAGGTCTTGTTGGAGTTTCTTGTCGGCGCCGAGGTGGAGGAGAGCCCAGGTTCCGGTTGCGGAGGAGGTGTGTTGGCCGGCCATGAGGAGGGCGATCATCATGTGTGCGATTTCTTTGTCAGTGAGGGCGCGGCCGTCCTTGTACTTGGCGTTCATGAGGGACCAGATCATGTCGGTATCGGGGGTCTCGCCAGTCTCGCGACGCTTCTTGATGATGTTCATGTACGTCTGCGCCATCTTCTTCTGAGCGACGTCACGACGGCGGTAAGACGGGAGAGGCAAGTTAGGGAACATGAAGTTGAGAGGGGTGAATCCGCGGTCGAGGTCGTGGTACAAATCGGCGAAAGAGCCATCGAGTGCGTCACGGACTTCCTTTCCTTGCAGGGTACGCGAAGCGGTGTAGATGGTGATCTCGGACATAGCCTTCAACAAGGGGACAGAACCAGATGTCTTACCCGACCCAGCCTGAAAGTACGGAGAAGATTCGAAATACTTCTTCGTTTCACCTACGATGAGCGGGACATACGCTTTGAAGTTCTCGATACCCAAACCGAACTTGACAAACTTCTTCTGCTCCATGAGGACGTGGTTGGGGACGTCGTAGACGACGTCCTCGCCGAAGACGGGGGTGGTGAGGGGGGTGTATGCGTCCTCGGCGGAGACTTGGGAGAGTTTGCCGTTGAGGACGAGTTCGTTGCCGTCGACGCCGAGGGCAACGGTAATTCTACGTCCGCCCATGATGAAGGTGTAAACATTGCCATACTACCCACGCCCATTAGCATTCACCCCCTTTATCGTATGACCAACCTCCACGACGCAACGCGCCGGGAACGAGGGTGAGCAGACTAACCTTCTCGCGCATTCCAAAGAAGAACTTGTAGGGATCGATACCATAGGTGATCATACTCCCAAACCACGGAAACAGATGGAAAACCACCGGCGGGGTACTCTTATCCCGCGGACGGAATTGCTGGAGGACATTTCCGATGACGAACGCGACGAGAAGGGAGGCGAGGATTCCAGCGAAGGAGTCTCCGAAGAGGGAATATTGTCCCAGCGAACTTACAAGACCCATTTTGTGCGAGGGTTGGTGGATGTGGGGGTCGACGCGTCGGTCGGTGCTGCCCCTTGGGTTTGGGCGGCTCTCGGTGGTTTTGTTATATAGTGTGGCACTGTGCAGCAGCTGAAATGGGTGAGACGGTGGTGGTGATTGGCTTCAGTTGGATTGGACGAGAGACGATGAGAAACAGAAAAGGTGTTGATTTCTGATTTTGAAAATCGCCGTGGATAAAAAGCAACCTTCAAGTCCATCAAAAATGACATCGTAATCGTCGCAAAGCTGTCCTATGGGACTAGCTGAGCTGCGTCTAATTTGGCCGACCGCACGATCCGCACCCTCCGCTCCACGAAATCCAAACAGTCTCATTTCTGATACGGTTACAGGACGCAGTGCTAAGAAAATAAATTGTCTCTCACGTTTCACCGTCACTGCCAGCTCCTAGATTCCCCTCTGCTTTCCTCGCCAAAATCAACACCGTAGGCCACTCCACCTCAAACTTCTCCTCTCCATCCCACCCGTCCCTCCGCATCTCCTCTCCAACACCCTGCAAAATCGTATCGACCACATCTACACCCCCTTGGTGTAATATCTCCTCTTGGTTCGATCGCCATGTTTGGATCGAGGACCACGTATTCAGGTAGTTCCTCAAATCCTCCATTCCGAACTTCACAGGCTCCACAAGCGGCTCCTCAACAACCTTCTCCCCCGCCCTCGCTCCACCACCCGCACGACCGTAAAGTCTCCGAACATCCTCCCACCCATCTGGAATATTTACGCTCCGATACAACTCCGTCAAAATCTTACGCCCGGGTTGTTCCCAACAGGGACCTAACCACTCCTCTCCGTACGCATACCCTCTTAACACCCGCGTCGCGCTCACATACCCCGGAAAGACCACATCTCCATACCCCCAAATGGCGAGCGTCCCACCAACCCTCAACGCACCCCGTGCTTGCGCGAAAAAAGTCGCATGATCGAACCAGTGTGCGGATTGAGCGGCGGTAATAAGATCTGCGCTCCCAGCCGGCACCACGACTTTTTCAATCTCCTCCGCCGAAGCCCGAGCGTAAGTTACATTGCCGCCATATCCACCGGTCAGCTGCAGGTTACGTGCCTCCTCGACCATCTTCGGACTCGGATCCATACCTACAATACTCCCAAATGACCTCGATAATCCCCTCGCAACCTGTCCAGTCCCGCACCCGACATCGTAAACCCTGCTCTTACGATCGGGCGTTGGGAATTGTGAGTAGTAGTCCAGGATGGTGCGGTAGAGGGCTTTGGTGTAGATCGGGCGGTGAGCGGCGTAGGCTTTGGCTAGGTTGTTGGTGAAGGCTGGAGAGGACCAGGTAGACATTGTGGAGGTTTGAGTGTCGGTCTGCAATTGGTGTGTTTTGTAGACTTTGGTGAGGAATACTGGTTTGCTGCCGCGATAGCTGTAGGGCGAGGTGTTTACACGTCACCGCTTTGCCGGGTCAAAAGGCGGGGCCGCTCGCGGGCGCCAGCTTCCGACGTGCGTATCGAGCTCGAGCCGACCTACCGTATAGATACCATGCCTTGTTCCAATCCTCCCGACGTAGATTCAGACGTTATTTCTCGATGTTTCTCGCATGATAGCTGCCAAGATGCTAGTTGTTCCCCATATCAACAGCGAGGCCGCGAGCCTCGCCACATGCAAATCTACGTATATGAAATTCGGCCGCTGGTCAAGCATCGCTGAAATGGCTATGGCTTTGAGCGTGAGCTTATAGCACGCAGCTCTACCCGTTACCAAATTTAGTATCTGCGATAGAACTGCATTATGGCTAAAAGTACCGAGACACGTGGGTAATACACGGCCGGCTCCAATCGCCTCCTAAACTCAATTGCGAGAGCTAATCTGTAAGACCGGGAGAACGCTCCTCGGCAATGGCAGAGTGCAAATATTTTGCTGTTATAATGGTATTTCCTTCAGCGCCAGCGCCGAAATTAGAAGTCTGACTCGTCTGCCCCGTTATCCCCACTCCCATTCGCCTGATCCTCGCCATTCTTGTTTCCCCGTTCTTCTTCGCCTACGCTTGCCAGATTTGATCTCTCCCCCGCTTGTGCCTCCGCACTCTCCCCCACCTCGGGCTCACCTCCCTCTCGTCTCTTCTTCTGGGTTCCACTCACACTCGCATCATGTGATCCGGGACCAGCGCCGGTCTCCTTTCTTCATCTTCTTGACACAGATTAAAGGGTTTGGTGCCTTTGGTCCCAACCTCATCAACCGCCACTTCTCCTTTTCTACCCGTTCGTGTTCAATTTCATCCAAGGCTTCACCGCCAACAACGTTATCCTCCTCACCCTCTCTCTTCCGCTTCTTCCCAGAAAGAGGTTCTTTCTCATGCACAGACAGCCCCAACTTCTTACAATCCTCCCTAAGCTGTGCTGTCGCATCTGACTCAGGTTCCAAAATCAACAGGGAACATTTGATGTACAATAACGGCACCCTTGGTATTCCCCTCAACTCCCCTCTCAACTCATAACATTGCGTGGCGACACAGTACCGATGTTTATTCCTCCTCTCCACATCCACCAAACTCTGTATACATTACCGAGGCTCCTTTGTCTTCTCGCCAAAAATGCCTTGGCGCATTGGAGGACTGATTGGGGGTAGTCAAACCTCTGTAAAACTAATATCTTAATTGAGCAGACCACTGAGCACGTGGGAAATGAACCAACTAAATGCAGTATTTACGCTTATTTTTCAACCCTCTATCGTCAACTTAACTATTTACAGCAGTCCAAGCATCCACCGACCAAACATTGACAAACCAACCAACTCCGTACTCTTCGAAGACCGTGGGAAAACCCTTCAGACGGGAACAATTTATCGGGCATGGGGGTCTTATCCATGGCGAATGGAAGCGGACTCTGAACGCTTAGTCCAAGGGTTAGGGTTAGGGTTAGAGCCCTCACCCGAGTCACCGTCTTCGTCATTTTCTGCGCCAAAATGGTACTACCCTGGAAGTTGGAAAACACTGTAAACACTGTCGAAGTGATGCCACTGATAGGTATGACCTTGGGTCGGGCTCCCAAGGATTGCCCTGAATTCATCATACCAAGGGCAGATCTTGATGCATTGTTCAATAAGCGTTTGATGTTCGGTGTCACCTGAACCGGTCATGTTTTCATGCGCATAAGCCTTTTTGTACTGTGTAGCGAAGTGCTGGATACGGTTCTTGACCTTGGGGCATCAAGTCCCATACCCACCAAGTCGGTTCCCAACCATTTTTTGATGTTTGGGTTGCGAAAAGACGTATGCCTCGTGGTCACGGATGTAGCATTCAACGAGCTTGTTTTCAAAATGGCCCTTCCATTTGGTGCGTCCCGAGGCTGGGTTGGCTGGTCTGCCTGGGCTTGGTATGTTGATCAAGCGCGGGAGCGTAGGTTGAGGTAGGGAAACAGGGGTTCCCAGCCGCTGCACGTAAAGTGAGGGTGCCGGTGTATGGACCACGATAATTGGTCGTAGGGACCGGTAATCCGGTCGAAAACCAGCCTGGATTCATTGTGTTGTTGGCCTCGATACGCGTTGCGTTGTGGAGTTGCGGCTCTATGCGCGGTGGACCGTGCATGCTTCACGTGAACGGGCGCTAACCGCCTGCTGAAAAAATAATCTGTCCATGTTCTGCAAGGGTTGGTCAGACCTGGGTGTATTATGCCCTGGATTATAATCTAGTTCGCTGTAAATTTTACAGAAGTTTGACTATCCCCATTAGCAGAGCGTCCTCATGATGTCCCTAAAATATAACATTCCTTCTGTCTCATTATGGGTTATTGCAGGGGTTGTTCGGTGATGTACTTTCTCTGGTCGCGACCAGGATTTCGACGATATGCTATAAATAGATCGTGGCTATTGAGTGGCTCGTGACGCACTCGCCCCCGTACATCGTGGCTGGTGGGGGAAGCAAGGTCTGAGCGCGTGCCGTGCGATATATAAACAATCCAAGTTCCGAGGAAGGATTGCAATAGGGAAGGTAGAGTCGCATTGGACGACGTTCAGTATCATTTTGTGACGGCATACGCGTTTGGATTGGCGTTATTGGACGCGAGGTCGAAGTCGGGGTTGCGAAATTTGGATTTTACCACGACGAATATTTATCAAAATTGCACGGTCACCAGCTGATCAGCTGGACGATATCGACAGAGAACGCGACATCCCCATCGCACAGGTCGATTGTTATTGGGTACCAATATCTTGATCTTTGATTACGGCTGTCACCGCTGCTGTCAGCGACATTAACAACCGAGATCGAACAGACAAAGCCACCACGAGCAGCACCCACCTGATCTCCACATAGACGCATACCACGATACTTGGACGCCTATCGAGGATTATTTCAACTCGACATGGGCGCTACTCACTCAAAAAAACCCCCCACCTCCTCCACCCCCAAGAGAAAATCCAAACGATCTTCAAAACACCGCCCAACATCCCTCTCCATCCTCCCCACCCGGGCCCGCACCCCGTCTTTCTCGTCGCACGGGGTATCGAAAATCCCCAAACTTCCTCAATCATCCACCACAGTACCGACAACGAGTCGAGGCTCGAACGCGGCCATGGCACTCGATGCGACAATCTTCGCGCCGACGACCCATCCAACCATCCCACCGCCCAAGAGCACGTTGCATACGCGGAAGTATTTGGAAATGGCAGCATACCTCCCGACGGGGTTAGAGGAGCGTGCGACGCCATTACCGGTTTACGCGCCGAGCTTTGACTCTAGAAACGAGATCACACTCTCCCCATCCCGGTCTCTTCACCACTTCATATCGCCATCCCCGCACCAAGGCCTATCACCTTCCTCGGCCACCGCGGACGCAGGGCCTGGGCCAGTACGGAGTATGAGCACGTTAAGGCTGGCACGACATGAGTCGATCGCCGCCCCTTTAGGAAGTCCCAGGAAGCGCCGCGAAGAACAGGATTTGAGGGTATGGGAACGCGACGCACGCATGTCAAACTCGCATGAAGGGGAGCATATCCGGCAGATGAGACGGAGGTCGATGGTTAGAGCCAAGAAACCCGGTACACAGACTCGGGCATCCACATCTCCTACAAAAAGTGTGCGCGATTCGAAAGTGTCAGAGTTGGATGAGGAGGAGGAGGGAAAGAGGGAGAGTACGGTCTCGGGGTTGAGTGTGGAGAAAGAGATGGAGTTACAGAGACTCAGCACTACGTCAGGTTCCTCCACTTCGCTGAGCTACCCACCACAAGCACGGGCACTTGCACCACGATCGCTCAACATCACGGTCCCGAAGCGTACGGAGACCGGAACACCTGCGGTCTCAACTGTGGGATTCGAGGCTGTTGTGTTCGACGGTAACGCCAGCCCACGACGGAGACGGACGGGACGGTTGAGGCTGGTTAATGTGGAGTCATCATCGGGGGTTGCGTCTGACTGCGACGATGGAGCGAGCTCCCTGGGCGCTACTCCTAACGAGGAAGGAGAAGGAAGATTGGTAGAGGCAAGCCATGCTCGCAGCGTTAGCGACGCAACCATCACCGCTAAATCGACCGGACATGGCTTCCGCGGTTCCATCGTACCGCGTATTTCGTTCACCGAACCGGAGGATGGAGAGGGCGATGGGGTGGAGAGTCCGTTGGCGAGTTCGGTGTATCCGCCTACGCCTTTTAGTGCGACGTTTGGTGCTTCTTTCCGTGACGAAGAGGAAGAGGGTGAGGGAGGGAGGAGTCCGGTGTTCGAGTATCCCGAGTTCGATCGAGCAGGGGCGGAGTTGGTGGCTGAGTATACTATTCAGGCTGGGACGCCGGATGGTGAGGTTCATGCGCCGATACTGAAGAGGCTGTCTGCAGGTAATGGCCGTGAGTCAATTCGAGACCAACACAAGTCCCTGGAGCGAGCGAAGACTCCCTCTCTTCTCGACCTCGAACTCGAACTACCCAAGTTCTTAACCCCGCTTCCACTCACAACCGGCTCCTTCCTCGCAGGCACCAATACCACTCCCGAAATCGACCGCACGCAGACCAAAACGCCCAGTTTGGCGGAGATCCAAAGTTTTTTGAGTCTGGCGGCAGAGAAATTGGGGATCGGACCGTTGACGCCGGAGGAGAGGCGTGTTAGTCGAATGGAGGAGTTCGAGGCGTTAGGCGTTGAGATTGAGAATGATACCAGGTTCGCCGAGGTCGAGCAAGAGGAGGATGTGCGGCAGGAGGGAGAGGTGACGGAGAAAGAGAAGGAGCGGGTGAGAAGTTGGGATGCGGATCCGTTTCAGTATGATGTCGACCAACGATTCTCCACGTTGAAATTGGACAAGGAGGTGACGTGGGAGGAGGTGACAAGGGAGGAAGGGAAACTGGAGCCGTTGAGGCAGGACTCCGGGTACGCTACCGCCCATACCTCGCCTATCGACGAACGCCCCACCCCCACTCCCGCCAACGTCCCCAGAGCCTCCATGGCCGCTAATTCAACCGCCGCCTCCCGATGCCCAAGCGCGTTGAGTGTATTCACACCCGTCCAGGAACTCCTCCCACGCTTGACGACCAAAGACCCCGTCCCGGACCGTGCAGCAATGTTGGAGAAGAACCACGCCACTCTCCGTCCAGGCGACGAAAAACTCCGATGGGGACGTCTCCGTCGGCAGGGTCATTCACGGAGTCGGAGCGACATACCCAATCTCAGCGAGCTGGGGATCGCGAGGAGGAAACCACAGGGTCCGAGGGTATTTGGTGGGAGTGTGGATATGAGTATGGGAATGAGGTCACGGTTGGCTGGTGAGGGGAGTGGAGAGGGGGAGACTGTTAATCGGGGATCGGTGAGTTCCAGGGGGTCGTCGGCGGTGAGGGAGGGGTGGATTTAGGAAGGCTTGTTGTACGAGTATGTGTATGAGTTGGGGATTGCATTTACGGTCATTATAGCATTTGCACATTGATGGTGGGAGCATTCTGTAGTTACATTCGTTTGAGTATGAGCATTTGGCAACGGATACATTCGTTTATAATAGGATAGTACACGATAGGGATGTGATAGGCTAGGATAGGACAATACAGGATCTGGATGAATTCGAACGTACTCGACGTCCTCACCAGATGTGTACCTATCACAGTTGCAATATACCAACGGTATACGCATTCACAACCAGCGATCTTTCCTGACCAGTGGGATGCTAGCCGTTCCGCTAGTGCGTAATTCATGCAACACGGCTCCAAAAAATCATGATGCTTGCCCGGCACGCCTCACAACGCCATAGTCACCGTCAAGCTCGTCGAGTACATCAACAGCACTGGCGGAATCCCCTCACACAACACCTCCAGATCCTCCACATACCTCCAACTCCTCTCCGGGTCCTCATGCGTTCCATGTACTGGGACCGGCAAAGTCGTAAACACGACCGAAGCTTCATCACTCGAGTACGTCCGGATGAGGTCGTTGATGATCAGATGCTGGCCTCGAGAGGGGAGGTCGTTAAACTCCAATGCAGACGCCATAGGTGTCGGCGAAGCGCGAAGAGGTCGCGGGGTATCAACGAAAGTGATAGTCGGCCTGTTAGAATCGCCTTCTTCCACATCGTTCAGCTGTAGAGGCGGAATAGGCGAAGCGGAAGGGCCGGGTGTACTTGATGTACCTGGTCGAGACCCTCCGTTTTTATCCTCATCTTCCAACGGACTCCGATCGTTATACGACCGGCCCGTGCGGTCTCTCGTGCGTGTCGGGCTGTAGTTGGTAAAAGAAGGTAGCAAGGCCGCCGTCGATGCTTCGGGCGTCTGGTAGAAGCTCTCTCCCGACTGCGAAACGGACCCTTGCGCCTTCGCCCGGTCATCCTCCGACGACGACGACAACATCGCACTCCCCTCCATAGCCTCATGCCCAATCCCACCGACCCAGGTATCATCCACATCTTCCTCATCACTAAGAAGATCTTCATCCGAAGAATCCGAAAACCCACCATGCTGATTAAACAAATCCGGATGCGGCAACCCAATCTGCATACTCAACCTCCCCTCCTTCAAACTCCTCAAATTACTAATCGAACTCCGTCGTCTCGGCATACTCCCCGTCGCAGAAGCAACCGACGCCGCAGCCGTAACCGCAGCACCAACACTGACACTACTCCTCCTCCTCGCATTCGGGCTATCATGGACCGCAACAGCCTGTCCCGCGTCTCGCTTACTCTTAATCTCCCGCCACCACTCCTCATGCGCCAACATCTCCTCCAACCGATCCGCTTCCGCCGACGGCCGTACGCGTCCTTTGACAATATGCTCATACGCCTGTACCCGCCCCGAATCCAAATACAACACCACAAGCTCCGCCACAATCCTCAAATTATCCAACAACTCCTGGACGCGTGCCCGTTCGACAGCGACATCCTGCGCATACTCCACAAACACAATCACTCTCAGCACGTACTTTTTCCACGCCGGGACTGTATGCAAGATCGTTCCCATCTGCAAAATCATGGTATATGTGTCGAAACTCTGAGCTCTGACTTGGGTATCATCCGCGATCTCGGCACTCATCTGGATAGGCCATAGATCGATATACTTCTTGCCTTCCACCCTTCGTCCCTTCATTGGCAAATCGAGGTCTGCAAACCCTTTCGAAATCGCAAGGTTCATGTTGAGAGAAAGCACATCCTCAACAACCTCAACCCACTCCTGAACTTTAATCGCCATCTCACTCCTGAACGTATCGGTCGGCAACTGACCCTTCACCTCAATCCTCACCTTCCCCTTGGCCACATTCCTATTCCTCAGTGATGCAATCGACGGAGCAGGCGTCGGTGGTCGCAGATCCGTGAGATTAACAAAACTCATCATCACGATATTCGGCGCCAACTTTCCCAGGCCGGCAGAGAGCACGATGTTCCTCACGCCCCAGACAACGGAGGGCGCAACGCTGAGCTGCATAAACGCCTTCACGCGACTCATCTCGATAAACTTTGCCCATGCCGCTTTTTCTTTCTTCAGCTCCGAGAGGCAATCATCGAATTCACCCACGATGACATGACCTGTACACGCACTCCTCTAATCAGCACCAAAACCCAAAGGAAGACGATAAGGAGTACCTAGAATGTATAACGCCCCCTTCTTCAAATGATTCGCAAACTGAATCAGATTCCACGAATTCCGTGCGTTATTAACCAACAACAAAATCTGCGGACGCCAATACTTGACATGTTCCTTCTTCGTATTCAGCCTCAACAAATACTTCCGGACTTGGTGGTACATCAAACTCGTACTGACCTATCCACACGTCCAATCAGCACTCCACACCTCAAAACCCTCCCGCCCCATATCAGACGAAAAAAGAAGGGAGAGAGCAAGACATACATCACCCCAAGACTTCGGACTCCCCAAATACAAAATCAGCACCCACAAAACCCCCGTCCCGCCAGCACTAACCCCCGCCCAAACCCTATCGACCCCAACCCCGACCCCAACGCAAACCACCGCCCCAACCCCCGCCGTCCACGCACTATACCACCGGAACCTCGGTCTCCAACTCGGCGCGGACGAGAGCGTGAGCAAGAAACACGCTAGATTGACGACGGCGAAGGTGAGGAGGAAGGTGAGTGTGATGAAGGATGCAATTTGGTTTATGTCTGCGAGGAGGGTCAGTTGGATGAGGAGGTACGTGACCAGGACCGCGATTGTGGGTTCGTCGTTTGAGGGGGTGCCTTGGGCGAGGGGTCCCATGAGGGGTAATAAATCATCGCTGTGTGCCCAATCAGTATCTGCGACCGAAAGGCAGGGGGGAGAAGAGGAAGAGGAGGAATGACACATACCGCGCAATAGCTTGGAGTAATTTCGCACTCCCAATGACCCCCAACAAACTCGAAAACAAACTACTCGCCCAAACCCCCGCCTCAACACTCCACCACACCCCCGCAATCTCCTCCAACACACCCATATCCCTCACCAACCCCTCCCTCCTCACCGTACACGCCAAACTCACGATAACCACCCCATAGGCCACGAACGCCGTCAAAGCACTCCATAGCGTCCCAGACGGGATCGAGATCGATGGACGCGCGAGATCACCGGACATGGACGCACCACCAAAGACACCGGCACCCACAACGAAGAACACCCCAAACAAGCCCTGAAAAGTCCTGTAGATCTTCGGCACGTGGTCCTCCTTCGGCGGGATATACGGCCAGAGATTTTCGCGGAGGGTGGAGATGGAGGGACCGGTGAAGTATTTGTAGCCACCGTTGGATGCGGTACGGGGGTTGAAGAGCGCGGAGAGGGGGATGGAGATGATGGAGGCGAGCATGATCCAATAAAGGACGTTTCCGCAGCGGGAGAATAGCCCGGATCCGAGGAGACAGATGGAGGTGCAGAGGAGGAGGAGGAGGGTGCCGTATCCGAATGTATACCAATAGCTCTCCGGTAGGAATCGATGTATCGAACCATGCGTCTCCCCAAACAGGTTCAACATGGACTCCACGAACGACACGACATTTAACCCCGCATTCAAGACCTGTCCCCCAAAAAACACAACGCCCACACTCCCCCCAAACTCCGGTCCCAAGCTTCGGGAGATCATGTAATACGCCCCTCCACCCCTGACCGTCCCATTCGTCGCAATCGCACTCAAACTCAGGGCAGAGAGGAGTGCGATCCCGAATGTGAGGAGGAGCATGAGGAGCATCTGGAAGAGACCGCCCATGCCGAGGAGGAAGCCGAAGCGGAGAAACATGAGGACGGAGATGAGGTTGAGGGTGTTTGGGACGTAAACACCGCTAAATGTCCCCAGTTTGTGGGAGGAGGAGCTGGATTTTTTGTGGTGTTGTTCTTCGGTGAGGGTGATGGAGTGGGAGAACGGGACGCCGTATTGGGGGTCAGCAGCTGGGGGTTGTGACTGGGCTCGTGTCATCCGGCGCCAGAAGCGGAAGGAGGGGCGGGCTGTTGTTGGATCGATTGTGCCGCGGCGGGTTAGTTGGTCCTTGAGGGTCTCCAGGCCTCGGGAGGCTGAGAGGAACTTGGACATCTTGAGATCATCAACTCTCGGTCAACAGCTGGTGAGATCACCAACAGCTGGTGTAGTGTTTCGGCCGCGTCGGGTACGCAGGCAGGTGCACACACTACACGTCGATTCGGTTCGCTTCCCGACGCTTCCTCTCCTCACCACCAAACCCTCCTCCCTCCAATAACAACCTCCCTCCAATAACAACCCCCCTCCCTCCAATAACAACAATGCACTCCCGCGAAATCATCGCTCTCGAACACGCACACTCCGCCCACAACTACCACCCCCTCCCCATTGTCTTCGACTCCGCAAAAGGCGCAACAGTCACCGACCCAGAAGGCAAAGAATACCTCGACTTCCTCTCCGCCTACTCCGCCGTCAACCAAGGCCACTGCCACCCGCGAATCATCAATGCCTTGGTGACACAGGCGCAGAAGCTCACGTTGAGCAGTCGTGCGTTTCATTCGTCCACGTTCGGCCCGTTCGCCGCGTTCGTGACAAAGTTGTTTGGGTACGAGAGCGTGTTGCCGATGAACACCGGTGCCGAGGCCGTCGAGACTGCCATCAAACTCGCGAGACGTTGGGGTTACCTGGTCAAGAAGATTCCGGAGAATAAGGCTATCGTCTTCTCCGCCCGGGATAACTTCCACGGCCGCACCCTCGGCGTAATCTCAATGTCAACAGACCCCGACTCAACCACAAACTTCGGCCCCTACCTCCCCGCCGTCGGTCCTACCTGTCCCGAGGGATGCTGCTCAATCAACTACGACTCAATCCCCGACCTCGAATCCGCATTCTCCAAACACGGCCCCGAAATCGCAGCGTTCTTGGTCGAACCAATCCAAGGCGAGGCTGGGATTAGGGTCCCACACAGCACCTACCTCCCCCGCGTCCGCGAGTTGTGCACGCGGTACAACATCCTCCTCATCTGCGACGAGATCCAAACCGGAATCGCGCGTACAGGCCGAATGCTAGCTTCCGACCACGCCTCCATCCGTCCCGACCTCGTTCTCCTCGGAAAAGCAGTCTCGGGAGGCGTGTACCCGGTGTCATGCGTGCTCGCTGATCGGAATATCATGGATTGTTTCGAACCCGGATCGCATGGATCGACGTATGGGGGCAACCCACTCGGGTGTGCGGTGGCGATGGAAGCTCTCCAAGTCGTGCTAGACGAGAAGTTGTGTGAGCGTGCGGATCGTCTGGGTACGCACTTCCGTAATCGGCTCCGCGCGGCTCGGTCCCCACTTATCGCAGAAATCCGCGGTATGGGATTGTTGAACGCGATCGTCATCGATGAGAGTAAGACGAACGGCAAAACGGCGTGGCAGTTTTGTTTGTTGTTGAAGAGTCGTGGGGTGCTCGCGAAACCGACACATGTGAACATCATCCGCTTGGCGCCGCCGTTGGTCATCGGAGAGGAGGAGATGGAGAGGGGTCTTGATGTCATCATTCAGTGTTTGGAGGAGTTTCCGTTGGTGGATAAGAAGAGTATTCAAGATATTGAGGATGAGTACGTTCCGGGAGAGGAGAACTAAATCATCCCAACTTGTGTGGAGGAGGTCATAAGAGGAGTGTATGACATACAACTGTGAATACGCGTGACGAACGACGAAAGGGGGACGGAGGACACACCTCAACCCAATATCTGGTTTTTTTAAGCATCAAACAACACCGCACGCGACCCCCCGATCTCGTCTCAACCCTAGACCGAAGGTCCGAGATCATCTACAACCAACTGGCGTTTTACATTCAACTGCATTTTCCATGTAGCATGCTCCGTCTCCACGTAGACCGAAGGTCCGGAGTTTTTTGTCTGACAGCGTGATGACAAAGAGGCGTTTTTGAAGTTTTTTTTTTCCATTTGATTATACCCTGAGAGTGTGGACTTTTTACCCTAGATTGAATTATGTTATACTTTGAACTTGAACTCTCTCGTGATTGCTTCTCGATACACTTGAATGGTGAAGTGGCCGTCAGCTTCGCACAACGTCACGAAATCCCACGATCGAGATCGGAGCTAGGCGACTCGCGGGCACAACCGTGGCCAAAAACCCGGTCGTGAGAGTGGCTGAACAGCGGGATTTGAAGGGTGGTATACCCCTCTATTCAAATCGACAATTGAGTGGAAGTGGATGGAGGAGTGGAGGACGTTGTCGAGGGTACATTGAACGCACGCATGGGACTCGGTGCATACGGTTCTCGTAGCATAATGTGCGTATACGTCTTGATCATTAGGTCCTTGTGAGGGGCTATGAAATGTGCAGATGCTGTGGTATCTGGTCTGAATTCTAGGTGAATACCATGGTCCAAGGAAACAATTTAAGCTGATACAAATCGTTTCATTGAGCATCCACGCTTCATGAGTCTATCGAGAATACTACCTGCGCATTCGATACCAACTAAAGCTCACTCGCCCTCCACAGCCAATAGCCCTTCCTCACCGCATCCCACCTCTCACCCAATAGCCGATAGCCCTCCTTCGCTTTCTCCTTCCCCTCCGCTCCCTCCGTCTCAAAGATCTCGCACAGCAACTCAAGCGCATGCGAAGACTCAATGCCCAGCTCCGCATCCCATCTGTCCACTGGCGCGTATCGCAGACATGTCTCCTTGAGCGAGGTGATAGACGGCGAGGTGGAGATGCGGTGGAGAGCGCGGAGGTAGAGCCACGGTGCCGGGTTTTGCGGCGCGAGCGCGATCTTCTCCAGGGTGTAATCCACCTCCTTCTCCAAGTCCTCTTTGGTGGTTGTACATGATCCTTCCGCAGCCTCTCCCTCGATTGCCGGCTTTCCACCCTGGGACAACACGTACCACCTCATGTTCCACGCCGAGTTATTCCTCACGTCACTCTCCAATAGGGCATCAATGGTCCTCCACTCCCCATCCCACAACTTGAAATGTCGGACCAACCATTGACGGTATGTCCACACATGATAGTTCTTCGCATCCTCAGCGAGCATCTTGTCAATGAATCCCATCTCTGTCTTCAAGTCTGGCGAGGAGTGCTGCGAAAGCAGCAACTGGCGATGATGCCAGAGCTGGTAGTTCTTCGAATGCTTAGCCCCCAATGCAGCAGTCCAGTCAAGCTCTTCCTGTACTCGAGACGGTCCGGGGAGTTCGAAGATGATGTCGGTGCGATATGCCCAGACAGTGTAATGTGCCGGATTCTGCTGAATAACAATCTCGGTCGTCCGCAACGCCCGTTCACTAAACTCCTTCGCCGCCATCAAGCTGCGCAAGTATGAGCTCGCCAATGCATACCCATCCGCATAGGCAATTGCGGATAATGGGTTAGGACCGTCGTTTTGAGGAGTCGGTGGGAGATCGGAGAAGGAGGTCTTGAAGAATTCGGTTGGGTCTGAGGGGAAGGTGGCTACCGCGGCCATCGTGAATGTTGTCTGTGAGGTACGAGAAGATGTATGGAGGTCGATCAGGGTGCAGCGGGGGTGTATAAGAGGCCTTGGTCAACGTTACAGGGATGAACAATAGGGCAGCTGCCGTAAAGGGACAATACATTGAGCCGTTGGAAGAGGTCCCATATCCGAGCCCCAATCCGTTTTACCAAATCATTTTAGAAGTTATGAAGAATATGATCATGTACCACTCCGGAACCTATCATGTGCTTCCCCACTGCCGTCACACCGCAGACCCGCCGTATGCCGAGCACAGTGAACAAAGTCGAACCCACCAAAACAAACTTTGATCCTTCCTGGTTAACAGTAGACTGACCAGTCCTGTCATAAATCCCTCTACCATGTCCGCTCCCGAATCAATTCAGCTTAACCTTGGGTCGTTGACCGCCCACGCTTTCAACGGTGACCGCACCCAAGTCGCCATCTCCGCCAACTCCAACACCGTCGAGATCTACCAAAAGTCTGAGACTGGCTATACTCTTCTTTCGACCCTTACAGACCACGACAAGCTCGTCACCTCCATCGACTGGTCCGCGACCACCAACCGTATCGTCACCTGTTCCCAAGACCGTAACGCCTACGTCTGGACCCAAGCCGCCGATGGATCATGGAAGCCAACCCTCGTCTTGCTCCGAATTAACCGTGCCGCAACTTTCGTGCGCTGGTCTCCTTCCGGTAACAAGTTCGCCGTCGCCTCTGGTGCCCGCCTTGTCGCTGTTTGTTACTTTGAGCCAGAGAACGACTGGTGGGTCTCCAAGCACCTCAAGAAGCCCCTTCGCTCGACCGCTCTCACCCTTGACTGGCACCCGAATAATGTCTTGTTGGCTGTCGGTGGTGCGGATGGTGTCGCCCGTGTCATGTCCGCGTTCGTGAAGGATGTTGACGCCAAGCCTGAGCCTTCGGTATGGGGTGCCCGTTTGCCGTTCGGTACCGTTTGCGGTGAGTTCGAGAACCCTGAGCGTGGATGGGTTCACGGCGTCGCTTTCTCTCCTTCCGGAGACCGTCTTGCTTTTGCTGCTCATGACTCCGGGATCAGCGTCGTTTCCTCTGTCGGCGAAGGACAGTGGAGCTTGGACCGCGTGAAGACTCGCATGCTTCCCTTCCTGTCCCTCATCTGGATCTCAGAGCAGGCTGTTGTCGCTGCAGGTCACGATTGTCAACCCGTCCTCTTCTCTCAATCCGGTGCTGGCTGGGAATTGACCAAGTCTCTTGACGACCCCACTACGAAGAAATCTGCCGCTCCCACCGCCAACAGAATGAATGCCGCTTTCAACATGTTCCGCGAGATGGATCTCAAGGGTAAATCCTCTGCAACGACTGGCGAGGACGGCGAAGTGATCAGCAGGGGTGACGATACGAAGCTTGCTACTGTCCACCAGAACACGATCACGAGTATTAGGGTGTATGAAGGTGGTTGGCATGCGGGGCAGTGGACCGGGGATGTGAGGAGATTCAGCACAAGCGGACATGATGGGAGACTATGCGTGTGGACTTTTTGAGATGGAGCTTGAACTTTGTGGTGTAGAGGAAGGGATCTAGAATGTGTTCGGTCCTTTCTTGCTTTGTGCGTTGTCTGCTTCAATAACATATGTTATTAAACTTAAGTCGAGAAACATAAGGATTTCAACCTTTCCACCAGTGTAAGTGGGGCGAGCACCCTCCACCTCCACCTCATCCTCTATCTTAACATACCCAGTGTGATGCGGCGCTGGGTGTTGAGCTCCGACCTTGCCCGTTCATCATGTGCCCGCTGCGGAGCAATCCAACGGGGACCTACCAGACTTGTCCCAACCTCAATGCGGTTGGTAGGTGGAATTCCTGGAGGCATCAATGCCTTCAGGTGCCAAATCGGGACAAACCTTGGATAGTTTTGTGCAATATATCTCTTCCCATTACTTGCTTTCAACCTTCTCGCATCGCAATCTGGCCCATCGCAACGGAAACCCCAATGTGTGTCACTCCAGAAATTCGTCATGATGGATGGAGTACCGTACGTAACGCAGCAACAAACGCAGTGACTTAATGCAGCATATACGCGATATCTCCGTCTCATTTTGTCTTGGATGACTTGTCCTTGCCATTCTCCGCTCATGAACAACGACAGCCGTCAACGTCGCCGATTGCAAGGGTGAGGCGGACTATATGCTCGATCTCGATTACAACATCGATGATGTTCAAGACACATTATGTCCGATGACTTGTAACGAAAACAGTTCTTGTGGTATACCATTTCACATAACAAAACGCCAATGCTACTCAAACCTACCCGTAGGCCTCCAACGACCATATCTGCATCCATACGCCTCTCCATGGGAAATCGCATTCCAACACCAACACCCGCACTCATCGGACTCTCTTCATTGCCATCTCAATCAAAAAACCTCTTCAACGCTCCCACATCCCCCACAGCCACAACAACCTCAACCTCCGGCACCCCCAACCCAACCCTCAAATCCTCATCCCCCCCTTTCCCCTTCTTCACCGGACTATTCCCCCCACCACCACCAACCCCCGCACCCCCCAAATTCACAACTCCACACCCCTCCAAGCTCCCAACCACGTCCCTAAACTCACTCGACCCAAGCGGCGAGATCATCCGATCACGCTTACACAGTTTCGTGTAGCTTTCATAGAGTTTACCCACGGTTTGGGATTTCGAGACACACAGTGCGCACAACACAGCTTTTTGTTGTAGGTTGAGGGTTTTGAGACGTTGTGCCGTGGACGTACCGAATGCGGAAGCGGAGATTCTAGCGATATGTGCGACTGTGACTTTCTTTACCCCCGTTTGCTGGTCCTGCGTAGGCAATAACGGAGCCCGTTTCGCCTCGGACTCGACGAGTTCGATTGCGCGACGACAGAGATCGAGAGCTTTTCGGAGGTCACCGGTGCTTGCCGCGACTTTCTTCGCCAACAACGTCACCGCGGCGGGTTGCATGACCTCGCCCAACCCCGCTCCCTCGCTCTCCTCCTTCAAACTTCCTAACTTGGCTAAGATGATCTCCTTGATCTCCTCCGCCTTATACGGTCGAAACTGCACCAGCTCCGGCTCGACACCTTTGGCGCGTAGACGTGGTACCACCCGGTCTGTCAGGTCGAGTGCATTTGCGATGCCAACGAGGAGAAGGCGGGATTTGGGATGGTGGGGGAGCGAATAAATGGCGTACAAGACCTCCTCCTTCTCGGCGAGATGATCGATCTCGTCCAACACAACCAAACACGCTTGTTTCTCAAACTCCTTTCGTAGGCCATCCTCGGTGGAGGCGGCGTCGGGGTTTATGGCGTTAGCGATAGCGGTGTAAACTTCCTCAACCCGATTCAGCGCCATACAGTTCAACTCCACGACCTTCACCCCTTCCTCCTCTTTCTTCATCTCCGTACAAATCGAAGAGAGCACTGCACTCTTCCCAGTCCCCGGTGGGCCAGAGACGTACATACTCCCACTCTTGCCACCCTCAACACGCTCCTTTATCCACTTCTTCAGGAAATCTCGCTCAGTATCACGGGCGGTGAGTGCCGTTGGTGCTGCTGAACGGCGGAAAAGGGTCTTTATTGGGGTATACGGCGATGCAACGGTAGGTGTCGTTGGTGTTCGGAGTGTTGGTGTAGCGGGTTTCTTGGCTAGGGAGACTGTATGCAAACCGCGTCAGTAATCCATGATCAAACATAGAGAGCATGTTTGCATACCAGTTGCTTTACCAGCACTGAAGACGTTCGTGATTCTCCCATTCTTGGTTGGAGTGACAGGTGCGACGTTCTCCTTTTTCGGCGAGCAGACGCGTTTGCTGGGCGAGACGCTGACGCTCCGGGCTCGGGAGCCGGGTGTAAGAGTGACTGTAGACTGACGAGTCCTCTTGCCGAGTGTTGAAGAAGACATGGTCGATCGGAGTAAAAATAGGTATATTGGGTGTTGGGGGTGTTGGGGGTGGAGGTGAGTTTTGGGGACGAGACGCGTATAGGGGGGGTCGTTGATTTAGGTACCGCACGTGACTTGCAATCAAACACGCGGATTGGGAAAGACCTAAACAGTCCCACAACAACCGTTGCTATGCAAGTACACACACACTGGAACCTCCCACAGAAGCGCATCTCGCATTCTGATCGTACAGCTGACCGTTCAGTGGTCCCATCTGCGAAGCTTTATCTGTACGTCGGGTAAAGTCTACGTTACATGTCGGCAAATGCACCCGACGTCACACTGCCCCGAATTCGGCCATCGTCACTCCGCAACTCCGCTTCCCCGCCATACATCCCCGCGAACGTCCGAACCTCAACCAAAAATAAAACACCACCCATTCCGAACCCTGAACACCAATTGATCCATCTACCAAAACAATGTCCAAACAACAGCACTTCACCCGCCTCATCCGCTTCGTCGCCAAGGACGGCAAGCGTGTTCTCTACGGCGACGCAATCCTCCCTTGCCGCGGTGCCGGTGCCGAGAATGCTCAGAAGGCGAAGGTGATTAAGGGTGATCCGCTCGGAGAGTACGAAATTACGGACGAGGAAGTCGAGGTTGGACGTTTACTCGCACCATTGGAGACAGAGAAGGTAGGCACCGTCAGATGTCTCGGTCTCAACTACGCCGCGTATGTTCTATCCCAATCTACTGATCCCAACGATGGTTGCATTGCTAACAACGGGCATTCAGCCACGCCAAAGAATCCGGCATGCCCCAACCGAAATACCCAGTCCTCTTCTACAAACCCCGTACCTCCCTCACCGGCCCCATGGCCCCAATCCCCGTCCCCACAATGGCCCAACAAAACACCCTCGCGCACGCTTCCCACCCCTCCGCAACAGCCTCCGCAACTCCAGGTAGCACAACCCCCAAACTCGACTACGAAGTCGAACTCGTCATCGTCATCGGGAAGAAATGTCGGGATGTGAAGGAGGAGGATGTCGATGACGTGGTGTTGGGATACGCAGTCGGAAACGATGTGAGCCAGCGCGCCTGGCAGATTGAGTTGGGCGGCGGACAATGGTCCCACGGGAAAGGTTTCGACGGCTGGGCACCCTGGGGCCCGTGCATCACCCACCCCTCCCTCCTCTCCCCGCACTCCACAGGCAACCGCAACCTCGACCTCCGCATCACCTGTTCCGTCAACGCCCACCCCCGCCAACAATCCACAACCGCAGACATGATCTTCGGGATCAGGAAGACGGTTGCGTTGTTGTCACGTGGGGTTACGCTCATGCCGGGTGATTTGATTTTTACGGGGACGCCGGAGGGGGTTGGGATGGGGTTTAAGCCTGAGGGGAAGTGGTTGAGGGATGGGGATGTTGTTGAAGTTGGGGTTGAGGGGTTAGGAAAGTGTAAGAATGTTGTTGTGTTTGAGGGAGGAATGGGGAGGGCGAGGTTGTAGGTGTGGGACTTGAAGGTGTAAGAGTATGCAGCTGCGTCAATTTTCGATCTCGATATGAGAACCATTTCTAATCCTTTGTAGGGTTAAAAGTCGAGTTGTTAAACGGGTGATGATTCCCACGGCCGCGTCGCGGATTCCCAGGTGCCCCCTGATCGACCATGACAATGACCCACGTAATCACCACCTCTCCAGTGTCAAAGACCAAAGGTCAGAAGCATAATCCACTTCAGCATGCCTCCTGTTCAACGCAACCACACTTTCCTCTCCCAACCCTCCGATGACCTCAACTCCGCCCCCTCCATCGACTTCGACGCCATCATGGCCCAGCTGGCCCAAGCCTCCGCCGACCGCAAAAAGAAGAAGCAGTCCGAAATACAAGCATCCTTCACCAAAAACTTGAGTACTATTGAGGCGAAACTGCACGGAGTCATCGAAGCGCATCATGCGAAGGTTAGTAAGCGTTATGAACAGAGTTGTGCGGAGAGGGCGGAGTTGGTGAGGAAGAAGACGGAAGTTGAGGAGACGATGGCGGAAGCGATACTGAAATTGCAGGTATGTATGCCGCGGGCAGATGACATGTTGGGGCAGGGTACTGATGTGGATTCACGAAATAGGGGGAAGTTACGAAGTTCGAGAAGGCCATGCTCGCCAAGAGTACGGAGCAAGTTCAGAGCAAGAGTAAGAAGGGCAGAAAGTGATACCGCGGTATAAGAGATATTGTACGGAGATATATGCGTCAAACACTATTCGCGGCGGTGATACAGGCAGGCGTTTACATGATTTGCTAGGTAGTACCGGCTATAAAGATACCAGGAATATAGGCCAAATTAATCATTCATTCCATTATGCAATCCGTGCTACCTAAACCAAGATGCATCCAACTCATCCCACGTTATTTCGCATGATAAACCTGCACCACGACCTAGTTCTCCGCCAAGAACTTCGTCAGATCGAACTTTCCATCCGGACCCTTCTCGCACACTCCCCGCTCAGTAACAACAGCATCAACCCACTCCGCCGGCGTAACATCGAAACTGGGGTTCCATGCTCTCGCTCCCGGCGCCGCCAAACTGACGGTCTCGACCCTCTCCGCCTTTACCTCACCACCCTCCACAACCGGTCCCCTCACCGTCAAAATCTCAGACTCGGGACGCTGCTCGATGGGGATGTGGTCACCGGATGGGCAGTTGAGGTCAATCGAGGTTGCGGGGGCGGCGACGATGAACTTGATACCGTGGGTACGTGCGAGGACAGCAAGACCGTATGTACCGATCTTGTTCGCGGTATCACCGTTTGCGGCGACTCTGTCAGCACCGACAATAACCGCACGCAAGTTCTCGTCCTTTCCACGCGTGCGCATCAACGCCGCAGCCATAGAGTCGGTCATGAGGGTCGAAGGGATGTTTTCGGTGATAAGTTCGTACTGGGTAAGTCGAGATCCCTGGTTGTATGGTCTCGTCTCAGTGTTGAAGGCATGTTTCAGCTTTCCGTCAGCGTGCAGAGAGCGGATAATACCTAATGCAGTACCATACGACGCAGTCGCCAACGAACCGGTGTTGCAATGAGTCAAAACTGACACAGGCGTCGCCGAATCCTCCTGTTGTGCCAACAACCAGTTCTTTCCGTGCTCACCAATCGCGCGGTTATCAGCGACATCCGCAACCAACATCGCCTCCGCGGCCTCGAGGTATGCAGCCACGACATTCTCCTTGGCTCCCTCCACAACCTTCGTCAACTTGTTGACCGCGTCACCGAGGTTGACGGCCGTAGGCCGACTCTTGTACAAATGCTTCAAGCTCTCAACGATGAACGTCTTTGCCTCATCCTCTGACTTGAAGGACTCTGCAGTATGTCTGGTGTTAAGGTCAACAGCAAGCGCGAGGGCAGCGACGATAGCAATTGCTGGCGCACCGCGAACAGTCATAGATTTGATTGCGTCGAAGCCGTCCTGGACAGTCTTGACGTCGACGTAGGTGGTGACGTGGGGAAGAGCGAGCTGGTCGAGGATGCGGAGGTTACCGCGGGTGTAGTCAATGGCGGTGAGATTGCCCATGGTTGCTATGATGTACGAGGAGAGACTGAAAACCGAGACGGTCGTACGGATCGGCCAACGACTTTTAGAGAGAGTAGGAGCTCGAGGCGGAGGTTTGTACCGAGCGTTATTTTGAGAACCTTAATTTCGCGCCACTCAGGGTCCCAGGCACGTGATCTGGTACCCCGACCGTTCTCTATTTAACCATTAAGAAACCAAGTGAAGCAAACCCAAACTCCAGATATCAATATCTATCCACAATGTTCCTCTCCCTATCTCTCGCTCCTTCGCCTGCTAGTGTGTCGCTTGACGTCTAACCCATCAAGTTTAACCCACTCTCTCCAGCAATCCTAACCAACTCTTCACTCAACTCAACCAACTCACTCTTTTCCCTCCTCTCCTTCTCAACCTCAGCCTCCAACTCCCTCACAAGACCCTGCAGCCTCTGCACCTCCTGACTCAATGCTTCGACTTCGGCTCTGAGCGCCTCCACTTCCTCTCCTCCCTGAGCTTGAGCCTGAGCCTCAGCGAGAGCGGCTTCGGCTTGCTGCAACTTGACTTCGACGACCTTGATCTGCTCTCCGTACTTGGTCGCATAGCTGCCCTTCAACGCCTCCACCTTCTTCAAATGCTTTGCCGAGTACTGTTTATGCAGATCCGTCGCAAGCGCTCTCAACTGCTCTTCTACCTGCACCTGAGTGATCCCTCCTCTCGCCGCATTACCCTCCGCACTCTTCTCGGCCGCGGCCTTCGCCTTCTCCGCCTCCTCCTCCGCGCGAGCAGCGGCCTCTTTAGCCTCAGCGAGTGCCTGTCTATCCTTCTCCCTTAACTCTCTCAACTCCCTAACCTCCGCCTCAAGCGCCCGTCCTCTCTCACCCTCGCCCTCCAACTCCCTACACCGGGCCTCAACCTCTTCCCTCAACCCTTGCTCCTGCTCCAACTGCCTCCCAACCTCCTCGAGCCGTCCTTGCACGCTCTCCACAAGCCCATTCGCCTCCTCCGCAACCTTCACGACACTATCCCGTTCTTCTTGTAGCTGAGCGATAGTCTGACGTAGGTCTTCGCACTCTTGGGAGAGTAAGGATTCGAGACGGGTCCGTTCGGCTTGTGATTGATGAAATTGAGCGAGGGCTTCTTCGCGCTGGTCCTCGACGCGGCGGAAGTCTTCGCGGAGCACGGCAATCTCCTCCTGTGCTCTCGCCAGCCCTTCTCTCGTGCCTTCGTAGTCCGCACGACATCCTTCCAGTGCTTCCAGTGCTTTGTTCAACTCCTCCCTCAATGCATCAACCTCACGCGCCGGTACCTTCGGCGTAGCAGGAACCCCACCAAACTCCATGCCCAAATCGAGATCAAGGAGGTTCTGCACCTCACGCGGGGTGGCCGGCGGAAGGGGAACACCCGCAGCCTGTGCCTGTTGCGGAGCAGGAGTCGCAAACGCCAATAAGAGATCACCATATGCAGCTGCAGGAGTCTTGCCGCCTTCGCCGGACTGAGCTTGACGCGCGGGTGTAGCGAACGCAGAGAGGTTCCCGGCATGGGAAGCAGCTCTGGGAGTTGGATGCGTGGAGTGAGCGGGTGATCGGACGGGCGAAGTGCGATCCAAGAAGATCGGGTTGAATGACGCGCTGACTGGACGCGGAGTCGTGCCGTTCGCCGAATTATGAGCCGGGGATGACCGCTGAGCTGGGGTGAATGCATACACAGATCCTTGTACAGATGCCGGAGTCGCATGCGTGCTAGTGCTGTTCATGTTGGGGTGCAGAACCATCGGCGTAGACTGCACCGATACAGATCTCATAGACCTCGCAGGGGTGAATGCCTCATTCTCCTCCTCCCTCTCCTCTCGCTCACTCATCTCAACCTCTCTATCAACAGCCGGAGTTCCCTGCACACTTCCACCCGTAGAAATAGACGTAGTGGGCTTCTGCGGGGTCGATTGACGTGACGCTGCAGCCCTCATTGCCTTGGCCATAGCCGCAGCATTCCGTTTCGCGGCCAAGAATCGGGCGAGGGAGCTCTCTGAATCGCCTTGAGTCGACATTGGTCTCTTTACCGTGGACTGAACTGTACGATTCCTGACGGGAGGGGTAACGGCAGAGTGGAACGCAGGGACTGAGGCGGGAATAGGAATGGTGATGTCTTGATTGCCGGTCGGTGTCGAGGGGTTTTGGGCAGCGGAGGCTTTGGATGGGGTAAGTGTCGGGACTGGGAGGATGTTCGTTGAGACTGGCGACAATGGTGTTAAAGATGGTGATCCTGGATTCGAATGGGCCATTTTGGAGGTTTGTTGCGTGTGTTGTTGGTGTTCGTGTCGAAAAGTCGCGATGAGTGTACGAAGGTGTAAACAAACCAGGACGAGCCACTGAAATGGAGAAAAGCAAGGGCAATGCGCATGGGAAGGGAACCAGGATACAACTTATATTTGTAAAAGTAGATTGAATGTTTTGATCCTGCTGCTCAGCGGAGTTTCCCAGTTAAGGTTACACGATTTCTCTCCTTGCCATAGCTTAATTGGTTATCGCAGGCCTACTGCAGCCCTGCGCACTCACGGCGTGGGCCATAATCAGCCACTCCCCCCAGCCCGGCCGCGGCGCCGAGCCCCGTACACACACACTGAGCATGGCCAGGCACAGCTTGCAACCCCCAAGATCAAACATCCCATCGTCACCATGGAGCCTCCCCCGAACACAAAGAAACGACCCATGGACGAGCATGCAGAACCCGAGGATGCGGAGTCTTCGAAGCACCCGAAGTTGGGCGCGGAGGTGGAGAGGCCGAGTGGGGCGGAGAGGGTGAGGGAGAAGAGGGACGATGAGGTTATGGGTGAGGTTGAGAAGTTGTTGACATGCAGTACGTTCCCCCGTTTCCAAGAAGTGTATTGTGTGAGCGTGGCTAACCCGAGCGTCTGTTCGCCAGGTATATGCTACGAAATCATGCACAGACCCATCATCCTCCTCAACTGCCTCCACACCTTCTGTGGCGCCTGTTTCCACACCCACACCAAACTCACACCCACACCCGATAACCTCAACCCTGATCTCGGCCCCGGTCCTGGGGATGCCGACGGTGGTGGTCTTTGGGGCGACGGGAGACCGAGTAAGAAAATGACGTGTCCGACATGTCGAACGAATGCGAAAACATTGAAGAAAGCGTGGATGTTGGAGGGTGTGATCAAGTCCTTCTTGGAGTCGTATCCGCATAAGAAGAGGCCGGAGACGGAGTTGGAGGAGTTGGACGGGATTTGGCCTGGAGTCGACAAGCCGGGAACCAACACCTACACCGGGGCAGCTATGGGTACTGGGGCAGCACCGGCTGCGCCTGCTGAGGTAGAGGAAGAAAGCGACGATGACGACGATGACGACGGTGGAGCAGGAAACGCTGACGACGACGACGACGACCACTCCGAAGAAGAAGACTACGAATCCCGTATCTGGCTTCCCTGCCCCTCCTGCCCCTCCCACCCCCACCACCCCTCCTCCGACCCGGACCACGAAGACCGCCGTCCGGTGCCATTTACGTGTCCGGCCCCCATCGATCGGAATTTGAGGATCGAGATTGAGGCGAATCCGGAGGTGGAGGGACATGGAGTTTGTGTGCAGTGTGAGAGGGTTGTGCCGTTGCATGGGAGGGATCCGGTGTTGGAGGGGGAGAGGGTTGAGAGGACGGCTGCTGCTACTGCTGCTGCTGCTGCGGAGGCTGATGCGGAGGAAGATGATGATGATGATGATGACATGGAGATCATCACGGAGAAGACCCAAGGCGAGGGATCTACGACCCCAGCTGGATCTCCCCCGGTGGGTGGAGATCATGTCGCGGCGCTTGCAGGGAATATGGAGTATCGCGAGCAGCAAGCACAGGAGGACAGCATCATGGAAGACAGCAGCGAGGAATACCACACCGCAACATCAACCTCAACCCCCGCCTCCCCAAACGCCGACACCCATCACCCCGCCGCCACCAACCCCACCCTCACCTCCTGGTACACCCACGCCGAACGCTGCAAAGCCTGCGGCGACGTCTACTGCGACGCATACTACGGCACCCACCCCTCCCGCGAATGTCTCCTCCCACTTTCGCGTAGTGTCCCGCCTACGCAGAGTTTATCGAGTTTTGTGAATATGGCGAGTGGGTTTGGGAATTCGATTGAGAGGGGGTTGTGTTTGGAGTTTGTGATGGGGAGGCGGGAGTGGGATTCGGTGGGGGAGTTGTGGAGGGGGCTGTTGAGGTTTGCGATGGAGAGTCAGCTTAGTGTTGGCTATAATGGAGCCGTCGCTGCTCCCGCAGCCGCGACGACGAATCGTCAGGGGATGATGGTTCGATACGTCGGGCAAAACGTCGGAGAGAAAGATTGGGTTTGCAAAGCCTGTATCGGGGAAATGTTTTGTGCGTGGGTTAGTCGGTGGTGGGTGTATCAAATCAGGAAGGAGGGGAGTGGGGTGAAGGAGGAGGTTAGGAGGAGGACGGCGTGTGAGGGGGGCATTAGGTGTGAGAGGCAGGGGGATGTTGTGCATTGTAGGGAGTTTGAGCATTTGAGGGGATGAGGTTATTAACGTCCCTGTGAGGGGGAGTGTGTAGGGGAAGATGAGGCGAGGTGGGGAGAGCATTTTTATTTTGTGGTGTCTTTTATTGTTGGAAAGGGATCATTGAGGCGTCAGACTTAGGCCGTATTGGTGTTATTGCTTGCTCTATTTGATATCGTGGCTGAATAACATACTCGTATTAACACATCCCGGTTCAGGACTTAATTAAGAGTCAGTTCGGGCCGACTCTCGGAAGCGTTTGCTCCGTGAAAACTCAGACCCCTCACCAAACGTATATAGCGCCAACGTTGGACCCCGAACCCCGGAGCCCAGACCAACCAATCATGAGCCACGGAGGACATCAGTCCGTTTGAAATGAAAAAATATGCGGGGATCCGTATGAACTCCGCATTGTTGGCAATACTTGGGCGACATGAAGCGATCGTATAAATGGCCCTCCTCGGCTGCGATTACCATGGCCTACAAGTACTTCGCACTGTTGATCCGTCGACCACAATGACACATGCACCATTCCTCGGCCTTCGAGGCAAGAAACTGGTTTATGCGATTACATTCACCTGCTCCCTCGGCTTCCTACTCTTCGGGTACGACAATGGTGTTTTCTCGGGGTTGACGACTGCCCCTCTCTTCCTCAACCAATTCGACAACCCGGGTGCTTCGATGTTGGGGTTCATCATCGCCGTGTACGAGTTAGGTTGTTTACTCGGTGCTTTGATCTGTGCCGTCTATGCCGACCACTTCGGTCGTATCAAGGTCATGGTGGCGGGGAATATCATCTTGATTATCGGCTGCGTGATCCAGACCGCAAGCTTCGGGCGTCCAGAGTTGATTGTCGGACGTGTCGTTACCGGCGTTGGGATGGGTTTCATCACCTCTGTCGTGCCCATCTGGCAAGCAGAGTGCACACTCGCACACTCCCGTGGACGCATGATTGCCGTTCAACTCTCCATGCTCATCGTTGGTATCGTGATCGCTTATTGGCTCGACTACGGATGTTCGTTCGCGACGACGAGTTTGCAGTGGCGGTTTCCGATTATCTTTCAGGTGGTGTTCGCGGTTGCGATGATTGGGCTTTGTTGTATGCTTCCGGAGTCGCCGAGGTGGTTGGCGGCACGAGGGAGGAATGACGAGGCGCTCGCAATTCTGGGAGCCTTGCGTGATGGATCGGAGGATGATGTGCACGTTAGGGCCGAGTACGATGAAATTCTGGCGTCTTTGGCGCTGGAGCAAGAAGAGTCTGGTTCATGGAAGGACGTGTTCTCAGACAACGGCATCAAGGGATACCAACGTACCATCATCGCCTGCGCAGTCCAAGCCATGCAAGAATTCACCGGAACAAACATCATCACATACTACGCACCCTACGTCATGGTCCACTCCGTCGGCCTCGATAACCACCAAGCCCTCCTCCTCTCAGGTGGTCTCCAGCTCTTCTTCCTGGCAATGTCTTTCATCCCATGGGCCATCATCGACAAAGCTGGACGCAGGAAGCTATTCATGTTTGGGTCGACGGGGATGGGTGCATGCATGCTTGCTTCTGGTCTCTGTATCTACCGCGGAGGCAGAAACAATGGTATCGGCGCCGTTGTGGCACTCTACCTCTTCCAGGGCTTCTTCACCGTGGGATGGATGTCAAACATGTGGTGTTACCCCTCTGAGATCCTTCCCCTCCGCCTTCGTCAACGTGGTGGTGCACTTTCCGTCGTCTGGCAATGGCTCATCACATTCCTCGTTGTCGAGATCACCCCACCCGCGATCTCTAATATCGGATGGTGGACCTACATCATCTTCTCCCTCCTCAACTTTGGGAGTATCGGGATCGTGTGGTATTGGTTCCCGGAGACGGCGGGGAGGAGTTTGGAGAGCGTTGATTTGTTGTTTGTTGGGGCGAAGAATATAAGGGAAGTTGTGTTGAGGAGTACTGGGAAGGCCGAGACGCCGGTATTTGATATGAAAGGAGCGGGAGTGGAGTTGAGGCATAGGGTGCTTGGGAAGGGGGACGAGGAGGACGAGATGTATATTGGGAAGCAGGATGTAGTGCACGTGGAAAGGGTGGTGGGAACAGGGCCTGGAGGTGTTGCTGTCTGAACGGGAAGTTATGTCGTATAGCATCATTAAGTCTATCGATTTGAAAAAACCGAATTTATACTGGCTACTCAAGGGCTCCGAATGCACTAGGCGGAAACGAACTCTCATCCCCATCCCACCTCTCATCCGGCAACTCTCCCTTCATGTCATCACGCACCTCCTCCACCTTCTTCCAAACCCTTAACAAGTTCCCACCAACGAAACCCTTGGCATCATCCCACTCCATCCCCCTCTTCGCCAACTCTTTAACGAGCTCAGGGTACTTACTCACATCCTCCAATCCCCTTGGCACAGTCGGGATACCATCAAAATCGGACCCGATACCGACGTGTGACCATCCGATGCGTGAGACGATGTGCATGACATGATCCGCGACATCCCCAATCGTCGCGTCTTCCTCACGACGACCATCACCACAGCGGACGAACGCGGGGTAAAAGTTGACCATGACCACTCCGTCCTTGGCTTTGACCATATCCAAAATATCATCCGGCACGTTCCGCTCATGAGGACACACACCAAACGCACTAGAATGCGAAAACATTACCGGCGCCTTGGATTCCTCAATCGCATCTTTCATCGTCTCAGCACTGACATGACTCAAATCAACCATCATCCCAATCCGATTCATCTCCTTGACCGCCGCTCTCCCAAGCTCAGACAATCCCCCATACTTCCGCTCCCCATTCGCCGAGTCAGCGTAAGGATTCGTGCAAGTGTGTGTGAGCGTCATATACATAACCCCCATCTCCCTCAACGGCCTCAACAAACTCATATGTGGCCCGATGGCGTGTAATCCCTCCGCACCAAGCATAGACGCAATCTTCCCCCTTCCAAACGCATCCTCAAACTCCGCAACAGAATCAACAAGCTCGAAAGTCTCGTTCCAGTGTGATACCAAACGGCGCGCGACGTCGATTTGTTCCATGGTTTGGTAGAATGCTTTTGCGTAGCCGGCGTCGTCGTACCCCTCCGGACACTCCACGAACACGGACCAAAACTGGCCGCCTACACCTCCGGTGCGGAGGCGAGGGATGTCGACGTGGCCTTGTAAACCCCCGTTTTCGAAGCCTTTGGAGAAATTGGAGGGGTAAATTTGGTTGTGGTACACCTCCCGCGCGAAAATCGGGAGATCATTGTGGCCGTCGATGAGAGGGTGGTGCTTGAGGAACCTGTCGACGCATGATCGGTCCATGAGATTACATGACTGTTCTTTCTCTGCTCTCGTATGCGGACACGGGAGGACGGAATCAACGTAAATGTACTTCAGGAGGATGTAGAGGAGAGCCACAGTGAAGAACCGGAATAGATTCTGGCGTGAAGAGGTCCTGCGTACGAAACTGCCGTAGCCCCGGGACCCCGTGACGTTTGCGCTTGTTGGTCGTTTTTCCTTCACATCCGCAACAGTCACGTAGGCAGGTGGTTCCTCCCTCATCTCTGGCATCTCGAGTCGAGTTTCCGAAAGTTCAGGTAACGAAGCATTATGATCCATACTTTGCGAGGCTCTATATGATCGATGGCTATCTGTTCGCATCGTCGTGTTTGGTCGTGAAGGATGCGAGCTGGTGGGGGGTGTCGGGTGGAGATAGCTATGAGTGGTTGCGTAGGTGCCGGTGGGCGGGTAACGTCGATAATCGATAGAGTGGACGAAAGCGGTAGCCGAGCTCATATTCACCACCAAAAATATACACAGTAACACTCCCTTAAACCCTAAAACAACCCCTAAAATACAAAGACAATACTCCTACTCATACACTCATTCCATATCCCCCTACACCCAGATCACCCACCATCCCATTCAACGCCCACTCATACTCCCCCCCTTCTCCCCCTCCCCAACCCCCGGCTTAATCCCCCCAATATCCCCTTCCGTCCCCTCCTCCCTCTTCTCACTCTCCCCCTCCTGTCTCACACTCCCAACACCACCCTGTCCCTTCGGCGCCATACCCCCATCCTGTTTCTCACCCCACTCGCGTCCAGCACCGGGATCTTGGATACCTCCCTTAATCGGATCCTTCGCCATGATCTTTTGGAGCCAAGGACGGGGGGTAGAGGGGTCGTGTTCGGGTTCGTGGGTTGACCACCAGGAGAGTTTGAAGGTTCTTTCGGAGTCGAGGCGGGCTTGGCGGCGGAGTTCGAGCATGGCTTCGTCGAGGTCGGTTTCCATCTATCAAACACATCAGTTGTCAGTGAATGGTTTGAAGAAGGAGGGAAGGGGGGGTTGGAGGGTGGGGGGGTGACGAACCTGACGCATACGCGCCTTCGCCTCCATGATCTGTTTCTGCATCCTCTCCTGTTCACGCTGCCTAATGAACTACGCACCGAACAATCGACAATTAGCCATCTCATCCAACAACCCCCCTCGTTTTCACACGATTTGAGGAAACCCAACCCGTGTCCCCCACCCTTCCTCGTACTTACATAATCCTCAGCAGCCCTCTCCCTCCTCGCCCACGAATCCTCCCCCAAATGACCCTTTCCGCCCGGACGTGTGGGGCCGACGGATGTCATGTCGGCGAACCCCCTCCTGGCACTCACACCCATAACTCCAGGGGTGCGGGAGAGGATGAGGGGGATGGTGTTTGAGGTTAAGGTTGTGAAGCGGTTCATTGTTGGAATTGGTCAGTGACAATTGGCGAGGGGTGCGGTAGTAGTGAGGGTTTTATAGAGGTGACGAACGCATCATGCGATCCATCGTCGGGTGGAGTGTCAGCTGGCCTCAGTCCGGTCCGCTGTGCTTGCGTGGGAGGGTGAGGTCATAGCGCGCATGAGCTCGAGCGTGGGAAATCTATCGAAATCCAGTCCGGAACCCGATACTATACTATACTATACCTAATTGTAGTCACAGTAACTTCTCATAGAGCAGCTCCCTTCACCGTCACGAAAACCTCAACCATACTCTGCTTCCTAACCTGACACGTAATCATCTCATCTTCATCATCCGGCACAACATCATCAACAACCCCCACCGTCCCAGTTCTAACCTCAACCCCAAACCTCACTCCTTGCCTCTCTTCTTTCCCATGCAGTCCTTCGTCCTGCAACCTCAACGCAACCCCCAAACACCTCTCCATAGCCCTCCCCATCCCCACCAACACAACAACCCTCACCCCCCTCCTCTCCTTCGGTCCGGGTTTCGGAAGCAGGAGTGTGGTTACGCGTTTTAGGATGCTGATGAACGGGGAGGTGGGGGAGATGTAGAGGGGTGTTGTGTGGGCTGGGTAGGATTGTCGGGGTGGTGGGCGTTTTTTGATAGAGGCGACTGGACACACTGATTAGAAAACTACCTTTGAGGGTGCGGAGGAGGGCATGCGTTTTGCGATGGATCGTTTTCGGAGGGATTTGGCTGCGCCGATCTGTGCTTTGCCCTTCTGTGATCCGGATTGGGTTCCGGCTGCCATGTCTGGCTGTGTCGTTTGTGAGAGCGTGATCAACTGTCCAGCAGTTCGTGTGTGAGCCTCTCTTTCTTCTCTTCGTCTCGTCTCTTCCGTAAAAACTCAAGCTCCCCGCGTAGATCCTGCCATGCATCCCCTGCACAAGCGTAATACACCCAAACACCCCATCACGTGCTCCTCCTCCTCCTCCTCCTCCATCAGTAATCAATCACAGCACCAATGGACATCAAACGCCTGATCTGGCACGGTTCAATCCCCCTTAAAATAACCCTCTCAAAAACCGAGAGCCGGATCTGGGACCAAACAACTCCATACTACATCGAGATACCACGGATATCCTATCTCCCTGTCTACCTCGATCTTCTGATTGGATTTTTCAGGACATTCTTGCTGGATGAGAGTACGGCAAGCGCGGGGAATGCTTGGTTCAGCACAGCAGAGGATGCAATTCCGGTACGGTGGCATCTTCCTATCGGACTCCTACACGATCTTCACCGCCCACCACCTCCCGCCTCTTCTTCTACCACACCACAACCTTGGCACCTCGTCCTCCATTTCACAAACTACCCAGACATCTTAGCCCGAAGACAGTGTGACTGGGCGATGCGCGACGCCTACATGAACAAACTTAAAGAAGCCGATTTCCTCCGCTGCGGAAGTGCGAAACGAGTTATGTCACTCTCCAAACACGATAGTGATGCGTTATGGCAAAGTGTGGTTGATCGTACGTCGTAATATGTCTTCTTGTGTGTATGTGTATGAGGCTAATTGTAAGGGGGGGTGGTGATAGACGATTTAGACACCTTTACACGGATCACGAGTACCCTCTTACCGACCACGCCGAGGAATCTGCCGATACGGATATACCTCCCCACGCCCGCGCCAGCACCACCGTCGTCACCTACGACTCCGACCCCCAGCAACCCCCATCCATCCTCAAAACCACCAACTGCCAGTGTGGGGCCGCCGTTGAATACAGTCCACCAACCCCTCACCCCCCTGTCCCAAAGCCAAACCCTCAACGACCTGCTCTCATCCCACTTTCCCGCCCTCTTCCCTGATCCTGCAAAATCAAAATCGACCTTACAAAGACAGAGAGAGAGAGAGAGAAGCAACGGCAAAGTGTTGGGCAGGGCGATGATACACGGTGTCAAGATTCCGGGTGAGATGCCGCTTGTGGAGGTGGTGAGGGAGATGGCGGGGGCGGATGGGTGGGTTGATATCGTTGTCGTTGTTGTTGTCATGACATAACCCTCTTCTCTCAGCCGCGGGACAAGTGACGGGTGATTTAGCGCATGGTGATGGGAATGGTGGTCGCGTCCTCATATACCTCATCCAACACATTCGCCCTCCCACCCCCACTCCCACTCACATTTTCATGAACCTCTCCTTCGTCGTCCTCCATCCCGAGTGAGGGCCCCCAAACCTCAATCCCCCCAGTCTCGTTCCCTCCATAAACCTCAACGCCACCAACCCCCTCCCTCACCGCAATCCCCACAACCCTCCCCCTCCCCCCACCACCACCACCACCACCCCTCCGCCGCGGTCTCAGACGGCGTATGAGTCGGCCTGTCATAGTCTCGAACAGGAGAACCTGGCCGCCTGCCGCGCCTGGCCATACCAACATCCCTCCCTCACCCCCTCTACCACCAGCCCAGGATGGTAGACATATTGGGGACCGGGTGAGGATCCCCTTAGCGTCTTCTCTAACATTCGTAATCCAAGGACCAAAATTCACAACACAATCCCTTCCCTGTTCAACATCCCAAACTCTCATCTTCCCATCCCACCCCGCAGTAACCACCTGCCCTCCATCACTCGTCCACTCCACTCCCGTCGCGCCGGAAGAATGTGCGCGTGTCGTATGCAGGAGGGGTGAGGCGCGGCGGATATCCCAGAGGCGGAGGGAGCCGTCGTCGTGAGTTGACGCTATGTGGTGGGGGGAGCGGGGGGACCATGCGACGTCCAATGTTCCTGATCTCGAGTATGGGGAGGTCAAGGTGTGTGCCGCGGACGACGTGCGTAGGTCGACGAGTCGAACCCCAGGTGACCCCAACGCTACTGCAATAACCGGATTCACTCCACCATGTGCGGAGGGAGCATGGGTTCGGATAGGCGCCTCGGGACCGAGTGGGAATCGTGCAGCGGTGGAGAAGGTGTTTGTGTCCCAGATGAGGAGTGAGTGGTCGTGGTGTGTCGTCGAAAACATCCCGGTGTCGCCTGTCCACCACTTTACCGAGCTAGGTGTCGCCGTAGTTGGTAAACTCGCCGTGGACAGCGTATCTACCACCCCCCCGCTGCTGGCTTCGAGGTCCCATAAATTAATGATCGCGTCCGCGCCCGCGGAGAGGAGATACCGGTTCTCGACCTTCTCCACCGCTAACGCGTTAACAGCCCCATAATGCCGTGTTTTTAGGGAGAAGGATGGGGAGGGAGAGAGGGAGTATGTTGCGCGGGTGTTTTGGGCGCGGCGAAGGGTTGAGGGAGGGTCTTGGGCGACTTCGCGGGTGAGGAGGAATCGGAGCATACTGTTTTATCGTGTTGGATCATCGCTGGTTGGGAGGGAGTGTGGGGGTTGGGTTTGGTGGGTTGCTCGAGGTCCGAGCGCAAAGGTTGCCGGATGGTGGAGTGCAGGGAGGTGCATGATTCAGGAAAGGGCAGTTCGACCTACTTATGTCCAAAATATTATTACAGGTATCGATATCCTCCTCTCGAGTTCACCTCCTTTGCGCCTCAACATCCTCAACATATTCAACCCCCCCCTTCTTCCCCTCCTCCCCACTCCCACCCCTCTCCCCTCCCCCTCCAAAACGACAACCCCCCTCCCCTTCTCCTCCCTCTCAACCTCCCCCATCCCCGCCGCTCTCGCCTCCTCAAACCGCGATCCGCGCTCCTCCTTCCCAATAGCAGCCCAAACACCAACCCAAACAAAGATGATGGCCATCATGATCGCTTGTGTAGTTGCGTAGTCTGGACGCTCGACGATGGTGCCGTTGGAGAGGGCGGTGGGGCGTTTGAGGGATTCGGCGACCGAGGAGAGGATTTGGGCGGCGGGGGAGGAGATCATGTTACCGAGTTGGTACGTAATTCCTGGAAGGTGACATGAGTCAACGCTCAAGATGGAGAATGGAGGGAGAGGACGAACCTGGAAACGCAGCACGGAACGCCGGCGGCGACAACTCGGCGAGATGAACGGGAATAACACCCCAGGCCCCCTGCACACAAAAGTCGATCATGAAGTTTCCGATGATCAACGGCACTAGACTATCCGGGACGACCCAAAGCGGGATAAAGCATGCGCCGATCGAGCAAAGCACCATAACTATCCACTTGTGTTAGTGAAGAAGAGCATCGGGAAGGGAAGAGAGGGAAGAGACGTACTCGTGAGCCGACGTCCAAAGAACTGGGAGTAGTATCCACCGATGGTTCCGCCGATGATGGCACCAACCTTGCCGAGGAGGGTTGCGAGTGTTGCGTTCTTGGCTGAGAAACCCTTGCCTTGCTGCATATACGTCGGATACATATCCTGACTATGATCTCAATCAGTATTTCTTCACGCCAGTGGGATACTCGGGGTCCAGGACGTACCTCGAATGCGACATAAAATTAAACCCAGCCATCAACACAACAGCATAAACACACCTCCTCCAATGTACCCGAACCTGCACCCTCGCCTCCCTCATAGACGCCTTCGCATGGCCTCCTTGTCGCCCTTGTGCTTTTGCTTCGAGGAATTGTTTCGATTCGGGAAAGAGGAGACGGAGGAATCCGACGAGTGCGGTAAGTGCTGCACCGATGTAGAAGAGAGCGCGGAAGGGGTGGGGGCAGTTGGGGACGATTGTTAGGTTGAAGATGGAAGCAATAAGATACCTAAGGTTTCCATTCATCAACTTCAAGGAGAGAGGAGGAAAGGGGAGGGGAGACGAACCCAAGTGCATATCCCTGCTGCAACACCCCCGAAAACAACCCCCTACACTCAACCGGCAAATTCTCCAAACTCATACTCGCAGCCAACCCCCAAACACCACCCATCGCAATCCCAAAAAGCGCACGGACGGCGAGGAAGGTCTCGAATGTGTGAGCGTAGGCCGTACCCACTTGTAGAACGGCGATGATGAGCATGTTGATGAAGAGTGGGTATTTCCGCCCGTACAGGTCACCCGCGATTCCGAAGATCGCAGCACCCACTGATCGAAAAAGTAGAGTAAGGGTGATGGATTGGGAGATCCGGGCACGCGGGGTGTCGTAGTACACAGCCAACTTCGAGACCGATAACGAAACAGTATGGAAATCATACCCATCCATCGTCCACGCCATCCACCCCATCAAAAAGTAAACCCAGTTCATGAGTGTGAGTTTGCGGACCAGCGTGAGGGGGTTGATGATCTTCTCGCGGGGGGCGGGACGCCGGTGTTCGAGGCCATTTTCGTCGATGGAGGTTTCGTAGGTTGTGAAGTGCGATTTGATCTTTTCTTTGATTGGCATGATGATGATATCGATGGGGAGAATTCGTTGAGGTACGAGGATGTGGGATCAAGGTGGGTCCTTATAGGCGATCCGATCAGACGATGAGAATAAGGAGAGGGAGAACCCACAATCCCTCAACACCACAACGAAGGTCCAGACGGACACCGGTGTAACCTCATACCCCATACCCCACTTTCCCACCGGTATTCTCGCCGACAAACCCGATATTATCCACACCTTCTCTCACCCACCATCCCTCTTCAAACGGTCACCATGTAGCAGATCCCCCAGCTAAGCCTCCACCAAATCCACCTCGTACACGACGGTGCTCCACCGCAAACCCATGGAGCTCCACTGAAATTCACCGTTGTCGTACGAGTAAGGTTATCGGTTAGCGCGCCTCGTCGATCCATGCACAGACAAAGGCGGAGAGTGCGGAGTGCACACGCGGGGGAGTCTACGCAAATTAAGCTCGCGTAGGCGAGAGGGGACGTACTTTACCGAAATTTCGCCTATCCTTCGCTTATGTGGGTCGATCGTTTACGCCGTGCAGTTGGTCATGTGGGGTTACGTTCGTCGGGTGAGGCCGGACATTGCAATGCAGTCAGGCGATAAGCTTACTTCACCATTATCACGAGGTTAAGATGTTACATTTCAATTTCCTCTCGCGTACGTTGCATGACCATAACAATATTAATCCTTGTAATACACATCTCGCACGCGATCAATTCTTCTGCTCCTCCTCACACCCTTGCAATTGGCCGAACCGGCACAGCTTGAGCCTTGGGTCCCTCCGCCAACCATCCAATCACCGCAGCAAAGAAGTTCCTCCCATACAACGCCACCACTTGCCCAAAATCATCCACACCCCCAATTCTCACCGTCCCATTCCAAACCCCCGCCTCAGCCAAAGCATTCGCCCACCACAAACTCCCCGTGCACAACAACCACCCCACCGTCCATACCTTCCTCGCTCTCTCCTCGAAACACCTATAATCGGAGGCGGAAAAGATATTGTTTCTGAGGGGATTAGGTTGGGATTGGTGCGTGAGGAAGATACGCCAGACTTCGGCGAAGAATTCTTCGATGACGAGGCCGAACCCTTGGATGGAGAAGAAGAGGAAGAGACGGTAGGAGGGAGGATGGAAGGTTGGCTAGAGTGCGAAGTGCCAGACGAGTCCCCAAATGACAAACTCCACGATCTTTCCCACACCGTCTTCACCCAGTCTATGCCACGTAAGCTTTGCGAAAAGCCTTCGCATAGCCCACAGATTCCGTTTCCAAATCCCCGTACTCCAAAACTCATGCAAACTCCTCGGATTCCAACTTGTCTCGCTCACCATCGACGGTCAATCCACAACCCACGCATTCAAGAACAAAACCGAGAACATTAGGGTTAGGGTAAGAAGTATTAAAACGAAAAGACGTATACGAAGGGAAGGATCATGAACCAGTAGGTGTGAGGTGGTCTAGACTGCCCCTTTGGCCTGAGACAGGTCTGTGAGCGACAGATCCGCGCAGCCCACCGGTGCTGTGCTCGTACCGGATTGGGAGCGCTAGCTCGTACCGGATTAGGATTCTCACGGACGCGCTAAGTCAACGAAAGCAGACTATCGCCACTCGAGCTCGAGCGAAATAAAACTTCGCTCGCTGCATTTTCACTTCTTCTTCCTTACCTACTACTCTCTTACCAGCGAGTATACGTACCCCCAGCTTTCCAGCTCTCAACACTATCAAAACAACTACTACAACCATGTTCAACACCATCAACAACGTTGCTAAGGCCGCTATTTCCATCTTGGAGTCTACTGCTGGCCACATTCACTGTATCATCCAGGTTATTGTGGTTGATTACATGGAGCTTCTCAAGCTCCCAGAGTCTGTGGTCTGCGAGACCTTTGAGAATGGACAATCTAAGATGATCGATACGGCTGAGCTCACGGTTTGTTCCGCTTACCTCCTAATAATTGCTTACTTATGCTAAGCTTCTTCTTTAGCACTTCGTGGAAGCCAAGCAGGCTGTTACTGCTGCCCTTGAAAACGTGAAAGAGGCCCTCCTTCAGCCTAAATTGAAGGAGGCTGGGATTTCTTTCCCAGTTTGTGATACTATTGATTTGGTCAACGCGTTTACTATCCGTTACCAAGTTACTCATGAGCTCGTCACTGGTCAGCTTTGGTACCAGTGCAGCAAAAGGAAGACCAATGATTCCGCGTTGCGGAAGTCCAAGCGTAGCGTCCTGGAGGTTATTGACTACCTTGGTAAGCTCGAAGCTATCGTTGAAGGTCAACTGCTTCGGCTTCGTGCTGTGAAAGCTAAGAAACCAGTCAAGAAGCGATTGACGCCTCGCCAGTTCTTGGACTCAATGAAGGTCAAGACAGAAGACGAGACGAGGAAGGAAAAGGGTGCGCTCCTCAAAGCGGCCCGGGAAGCGGCGAACAAAAGAGTTGATCTCGCTATGAGAACTCACACTACGACCGTGCTTGCTAGGAAAGCTACAGGTAAAGCTGGGCAGCAAAATGTCACTTCCACAGGTAAAGCTGGGATATCGATGACTTCCCCTTCCTTCGGATCCACCCCTTCTCGCACTACACTCCCCATCTCTCCACCCTATACCCCCCCAACGAGCCCCCCCTCCCTCCCTATTTATTCGGACTCGTTGGGTCCCAAGAGAACGGTGCCACCGACACCGCAATTGAGGGAGACCGGTTTGAAGGCCACCCCTAAGCGCAGAAAAGTTACTGTGCTGGCCACTCCGGTTACCGCTGAAAAGCCCCGGTGGAGATAAGATGGCAAACCCCCCCTAAAAGATGGAGGGTAGTGCGTGAATAAAGGAGGTGAGGAACGGGCTGACGACGGTGATATGATCCGTCGCTCATCCTGTGCTGCCGGTTTGGTGCCATTTGCGTTACTAGGCTTGTGGTTCAGGATGTGACTTACTATCGTGAAATTACTCTCAAGTGTAGTAAAGCCAATAATGGACGTGACCCTTTTGTTTTTAGATCTTACAGCCCAACCGTTAGATCCCCTCAGCAGGTGTCCAGTGAACCCCGAGGACCCATACGCATGGCAACCGGGCGGCGCGAAGATATCGTGAGCCAAAGCACCATGCCAACTTGATATCCGTCATATTCTACGGAAGATCGAGTGACGTCAACCTTGGCTCGGAGTTTTGCAACTTTGTGGCACCTGAATGCAACTCCTTGTCCCTCGGTCGCTCGAGGATTTGCGAGCAGGCAGACCCGGATCAGTTCCGGGATCACGTTAGACCACTGTGCAACAAATCTCGACACAATTGCCGCGGTTTCTTCCTTGCAACTTCTTGTTCTATAAGCCGAAACAGCGGGCGAGATCAGTGTCCATCCCTGAATCCTTATAAAGTCCGAGCAAATGTCATGACTCATGAGGTCACGGCCGCAGTTCTTTCGATAAGCAGAGATGCGTGAAGGCAGGTGACGTTCTATCTACAAAGAACCAATATGATAGCTACCTTCGATCTTGTTCAAGTCCAGGTCCATACCCTCTCGCAGGATGTTCCCTCAGGCTGTTGCAGGAAGCGTCACCTAACGTTACCGCACTAAGACCGAAACAGAAAATATTGAACTCTCACTTGCAGACTGATGTAGTTTCAAAGCACGGATCGAAACGTAGATATAAACCCAGCTCCCTTGTCGAACAACTCTCCTTCAGAACACGTCAGTTTCCTTACCAGCATGAAACTCCTCGGCTTCAATCCCGCCACCTACATGGGCCCTTACGGTCACCAACACCCAGGCCACTGGCACAGCCCTCAGCGAAACTGTTAGAGTGTTGCAAGAATCTATGAAAACTCAGTCAAGAGGCTCACTTTGCAGTCTGCTCGTCATGCTCAGTAAGCACTTAAACACGTATTGTTCAACCGAGCCAAACTGACATTGAATGGCTTCGTAGTTTCTTTCTCTTCATCCTTGACGTTCCTCATGGTCGTCGATGGAGTCTTCTGGACCAGAACCACGAACCCGTGGGACTCAAGCTTGCAAGGCGAGGTCCGTGCTTTGGACGAGCAAGTTCACGCCTTGACGCAGGAAGTCTCGGCCTTGAAGTAGGAGCGCGAGGAGATTAGGGAGGTGTTGGAAGACGTCACTATGCCTGATGCGATGAGAGACGACTATCCCGACGATAGTGAATTGGAGCTGAAGGGGATAGAAACTGACGAAGATGCACTCGATGTCATCGTTCGTGACTTCGAATTCGAGGAGCCAGAGCTGCCGGTCAGAAAGACGGTTGGTAGAATACGTAACGTGGCGGCATCCCCTGTAGTAGGCTATTCGGCTGGAAGTGCATACAGCGAAAGCTGAGAGGTGTATATAGCGTCAATAACCAAAGTCTCGAATAACTCACCGCCATTTCTATTCCCACGGGTGCATGAGCCATCATGCGCCACACCAACGTCGTGCGACGCGAGAGGAGCAAGCGAATGCCATACTCAGGCATACGCTTGTTATGGTATGTTTTTCTGTGGAGCCGGAGCACGCAATGCTTGCGAAGTGATGTCTGTAACAACGTACAGTAGACAAGTATGCGTATTTGTCGTTTGGTTGAATGACCCTGCGTATGTGCCCCTATCAAGGCTCATATACTCGTGATGATGTCCCGTCCCGCAAAATGTTGAGATTGGTTCATCCGTCAATGCTTTTACTACGGGTAAATGAACCTCCGTCGCCACTTTTCTCACAAGGCATGGCGCTGTATGCCTCGGCTCCACTTTGTCTCGGTCCGCCTGTGAGGTATGACTTACCTCGGCAACGGTTTTGCGTGTATATAAGGACGTATCTAGCCCGACCCTCGAACCTCGTGTAAGTCAAACAACATGCACGGCAACAGCCAAGAGCAATTTCGTAGTCGTTTCGCCAAGTTGGAGGCTGTTTACAAGCATAGGAATAGCCCTACGGACACCGCGGCATTGTGGATTCGCTATGTCTTCACCTCCACCAGGAATGTTCTCTTGAGTGGTGTTTACATCTTCGAAGGTACGTTGCTCAATCTCTTCGTGTGCAGAAGTCTGATAGGGCTCAGATCCGGTTGAGTTCTTCTGGATGATGGTATACTACATTGTTACCGTCATTGGTCTTCTGGTCTTTGAGGTCGTCCTGAAGCTTGCCATGGTAACTCGCGTGCTCCCTTTCATTCTTCAGGGCATCATGCAGCACTATGGCCAGGGTCTCTCAGCGGTCAATTTGGCGAATCCCGGTATGTTTGAGTATAGTCCGTCGAAGCGAGTCACGAAGGCTATGGTGAACGGCAAGGAACGTTTCAGTCTCGACATTGCCGAATTCTTGTTGTTGATCTCAGCGGTTGTCTATGAGAGAAACGACGACGATATCAAGTTTGCCTATGACTTGTACAAAGATCACCGCCGTCATCCCAATTATGGCGGCACAGACGACGAGGTCAGTGAGGAGATTCACGGCTATATGGACGCTTCACTTGATGCTATCAAGAGACTCTCAAGTGGGTGGGGTATGAAATTCGACCACATCAGTGAGTTGAACATCGTCGGAGCACCGTTTGCCTCACTGTGGTGGAATGAGAAGGAGAAGTTCATCGTTGTGGCGTTCAAGGGCACCACCCCCTGGGATTATACGGAATGGATCACGGATGCGACCTATCAGAAGAAAGAAGTTGAATCGAATTTCTTCCCTCCTGATCCCATCGACGTTGAACGCGATATGAATGGCAAAGACAGGAAGGGTCGATCCGATGTTCACGCTGGGTTTTATGACGCTCTTTTCCCACACAAATACGGTGATACTCCCAAAAACTCTCCCTACGGCTGTATCATCGATGCCGTCAAGGAGAAAATCAAGGAGCTGACAAGGGAAGGAGACGGTGACATTCCCGTCTGGGTCACCGGGCACTCGCTTGGTGCTGGATACGCATCCCTCTTCTACGCCTCCCTCAAATCTTGTCTCGCCTACAACCACAATCCTCTCGAAACGAACGACCCTGATAAAATCCTCCTCGGATCTAAAGCCAACCTGATGGACGCGTATGTATTTGGCTGCCCTGCTGTGGGTGACCTTGATTTTGCCAGGCAGTTCGACGAAGCGTGTAGGAAGTGTATGACGGCTGACGACGGCCGCAATCTCGGGCAGTTCTATCGCGTCGTCAATGACCTCGACCCTGTTACACGCGTCCCGTTCTCTTGGTTCAACGTTTTGGAGTTCACCACGAAGGGCAAGCCGAACGTGGGGCAATACCCGAAGATGGTCAAACGTGACTCGCTCCTCGATTACACTGTCATCGGAAACGGTATCAAGGTCTTCAGTTGGGGCAAGGATATGCAATGGGGATACAGTCCGATTAATCCCAAGTGGAAGACAGCCACGCCTGCTGGATGCCCTTTCTGGGCGCCGTATGTGAGCATTTGCAATTTCGTCGTCCGTGTTTCAAGAAGGTTCTGGATGTGGGTGGCAAGGTTGGTGGAGGCGCTGTCGGAGTTCAACCTTGCAAAGCTATTGGTGCTCTTCATTCCTCCTCTCCGTGACCACTTCCCGAGCGAATACTGGCTTTCGTTGCGGCAGGATCCGTCCAACGAGAATTTGGAGGAAGAAGCGGCAGTTCGAAATCATTCTACCACTCCTTTGAATGATGGAACCATTGTGGCCGGGCACGCGGTCGAGGTATCAGTATCGTTATAGAGGAATATCGTTACGCAAGGGCGGATCCGGCATCAAGTATTGCTTAGGCATGTGTAGCTAAATTTTAATGTAGTATATTTCGACCATATCGTTCGACTTCACCAGCCACAGACTACCAACCGCAATAATGATACTATTGTCCGTTGCCCCGCAACCTGTAGCTTTCCGCCTTCGCATCCCATTACACCTGTATCAATCCTGCCTCTCCCCGACCCCCGGCGCCGGCCTCCCAGGGCTATTCACCGGACTCCCCATCTCGATCAACCTCTCTACCCTCCCAAACTCCGCCATCTCCCTCTTCTTCTTCGCCATTCTCAACGCCATGATGATCTGATCCTTATCCTCCAACTGACTTCTCAACTCCGCGATTTCCAAATCTTTCTGGGTAATTGTGGAGGTCGCGCGTTCCAGTGATGCGGATGTGGAGCGGAGTCGGGCTTCCAGGGATGCGATTTGGCTGTCTTTTTCGGCAAGAGCGGAGGAGAGGTCGGGGTCGCCTGTGAGAGCTGCTGCTGGGGTGCCAAGGGATATCCGACCCACCGACGACACGCCCGAAGATTTCGATGACAGAATCAGTTTCGTGAGATGCTCAATCCTCTCCTTCAATGCCGTCCGTGCCAACTGCATCTCCATCATTTCCCTCTCGTGTCTCTCCTTCTCTCTCTCCCACCCACTCTCCCTCCTCTCCTCCTTCTTGTTGTCACCCTCGGATTGTAAACGAAGGGCTTGTTCCTCGAGTTTCTGACGCAAATCGAGAATCTCGGATTTGTACCGTCGGAGAAGAGCGCGGGAGTCACCAGAATCTTCGTCTTCCTCCTCATTTCGTTTGGCTTTTGATACGATATTCTTTGCTCGTTGTGCAAACTTCAATGTCGATATGGTCTCCGAACTCGCCTCGCTGGACAGGTTAATCGTCGCCAGAATAGAGATAAGCGCAGACCCAGATAACGCCGGCTGCAACAACCTCGTCAACTTCGAATCACGATACGGGATATGCGCCTGCGCAGCCCTCTCAGCCGGTGTAGTCGCCGGTGTCGTCAACCTCGCAATCACCGTCCCCAACGTTAGCAACGACTTGTTGATATATGCTCCCTCCTTTCTCCGATCCGCATCCGCCGCCGCACGTTCTGAACCCGCGAGATCGATGAGGTTGAGTGTCGATACACGGACTCCACCAGCAGCTACCACGCGTCCCTTGGGTCCCGCACGGGTTGGTGATCTGTAACCCGGTGTCGATGGTCGATCTCTTGATTCGATGACGATGGTGATGATCGCATGTGATCTACTACTGTGGTCGTTGAATTCGGTCGAAGCAGTACGGCGGGCTGCATTTCCTTGTTTCAGGATGCGCAGGATATGTGTCGGGTCGGTGACGATCTCTTCTCGTAATGGGGAGGGGTAGATTCCTCTCTTCGGGTCCTCTCTCAGCTTGGGTTCGATAGCCGCACTTGACGGGTCAGCGAGCAAATCTCGTAGTCGCTCATTGTAGATTTCGAGGTATGAAATGCGAAGCAGAAACTCGCGATCAGGAGTGTCGCGGATGTATGCGAAGATATCATCGATGGCAAGAGGGATGATACCGGGTGACGAAGGGTTTCCTTGCATACTGTATGTCTTTCCGGAGCCTGTTTGTCCGTATGCGAAGACTGTGCCGTGGTATCCTTCCATCACCCGGAACACCAATGGCGCAATCGAGGTGGTATAAACCTCATGTGTCGTTGATACTGGAGTATAAACGTTGTCTATGCAGTCGATCAGCAGTGTAAATCATAAATGAATGGCGAATTTACCATACAAGAACTCCCCGACAGCCGCAGACCTCCCCAAATGTCGTACACATCTCTCCTCTCCATCGATATCCCACTCCGCTCCTTCTGGTCCTGGTCGCGCACGCACGGAAACAACGACATTATCTCCAGCCTTCACCGTCGACTCGCCTGATATCGCCAAATTACTCAACCCCAAGCCCTGCGCACCTACAACCCTTGGCCTCACGGACGGCGTGCTGGGAGGACTGAATACTGTCGGTGGGCGGCCAAGCCTCGAAGCCGTGCGGGACGGGGTCGCAATCGCTGTCAGCGCCCGCGGCTGATATGCCGTAACCATCTATATAATGAACGTAATGGAGGACGAAGGAATGGTGGGGGTGTAACGTAGACTGGCAAGTATTTGTTTTGGTACTTTGTCGCACTCAGCAACCAGGCACACGTATACTGTATCGTGGCGGTGCGGGCTGAGCAGGCACGAGCACGGGCGTATCGCCGTTGCGATACGGCGGTGTATGTAGAAAGTTCAGGTGCAAAGCCCCTCGATAAACGCAGCGAGATGATTGCTCTCAAGGGTTTGATGACATGTATTGACAACTCGGTACGTCACCTGGTCGTTGTCAACTGAAGTTTGGACTGACTGGAAGCTCGCAGGGTGCCTTGATCGTTGAGTGTGTCAATACCTTGAAGGCAGGACGTTTTGCCGGTATCGGAGATGAGTGTGTCGTTGTCGTGAAGAAGGCAAAGCCTATTCCTACAGAAGTTGATGGAACCGCTGCCTATGCATCAAAGATCCGTCGTGGTGAGGTCAGACATGCAGTCATTGTACGGACAAAGAAGGAGACCAGGCGTGAGGATGGAAGATATATTCGCTTTGACGACAATGCATGTATCATCTTGAACAACAAGGGAGAGCCGCTGGGAACTCGTATCACGGGTAAGTCTTTGCCTGTGCCGCTGAAGATGGCCAAGCTAACAGGGATGTTACAGGTGTTGTTGCTGCTGAGCTGAGACACAAGAAGTGGGCCAAGGTCCTGTCGTTGGCACCAAGAGTTGTGTAAAATAATCAAAAATTAATAAACAAGAGATACACATTGCAAGTTTTTTCTCTTTTTGTGGAGCCGTGGGATCATCACGCATTCGTACAGTATGGATATCGCTTGGAAAGAACAGACAGAATATAAAGCAAACGCCGAGGTAGCTAAAAACAGGCCTCTTGACTTCCCGTAACAATTGGGCTGATACCAGGATATTTCTATATCGCGTCGAGGAGGCGGGGGAGTCGCGATTACGCCAGGCACACTGCAGCTGTACGTACGGTTCTCCAGATTTCGGAGGCGACCCGGAGAAACCGTACAACACCCACCGGTACCATGTATTCCATCAGTTCGTTGGCCAGGCTGTCGACAATGAGGACCATTCGTCCGTGTACAGCTGCGTTCAGGAGCATCCATGCGTCGGTGCCCAGAAGGATGGCTGAGGCCTTGCCGAATCAGCCTTCCCAGACCAAGTTGGCGGAGAAGACCATGAAGCGGTTCTGGAAGACTGTCAATGTGGTTTCTGTGGCAGGTACGTATCATTCCCCTTCAGCATTGAAAACCCTCATCTGACGTTCTTCCCTGCAGATGGCTACAACGTCAACCTTGATTCGCGCCCCCTCAAAACTCCCTCTGGTGCGCGCCTCGTCGTCCCCCACAATAAACCCCATCTCGCCTACCTCATCGCCGCAGAATGGAATTCCCTCCCCACGGCCTCAATTCGTCAACACTCCCTCCCTCTAACCTCCCTCGTCGGCAGATATATTGATTACTTCGACCCCGCTACCGCAAAAGACGTAACGAAGGGCCGCTCGGAGGCGATCAGGGATTTGATGAGATATATTGACACAGACACCCTCGTTATTTGGGCTGAGTCGCGTCAGGAGCGGTTGCTTGAGTTACAGAAGGAGCACTGGACGCCATTGATTAGGGAGGCTGAGAAGTACCTCACCCAGCACGCCGCAGCCAACAACCTCCTCAAAGACACTGACTCGGTCAAGATGTCAGTCCTGGAAGGTGACGCAGGCATCATTGGCCACCGCCAACCCCCCCTCACCAAATCCATTGGACAACACTATGTGGAATCCCTCCTCCCCTGGGAGCTGGCCGCGTTTGAGCGTACAGTCCTTCACACCAAGTCTTTCCTCCTCGGCATTCTCATGGTTGGGCGTCCGCGGGCTATTGGAGTCAAGGATTGTGCTAGGGTGGCTACGTTGGAAGTTGAGGAACAGACGAGGGTTTGGGGAGAGGTTGAGGATACGCATGATGTGGAGAAGGCTGATGCGTTGAGGACGCTTGGGTCTGTTGCCGTATTGTTGGATGTTCAGGCACAGGCGAACTGAGGTTTGTCTGGCTGTGTAGAATACCAGAATGACGAAGATTAGAAGGAAAAGGCATCCATTACTGTGGCAAACCTTCCTATCGATTCACCACATAACCCAAACAAAAGCAAGAAGAACCTAAAACAAAAATGCCCATATCGCTATGCCCGCTTCTGCTAATACTCCATCACAAGAAAACCAATACCAATCAAGCACCAACACTAAGCTCCTTCGTGCTCTCAATCTTCGCAGCCTCCACTTCCTGCTCCTCCCGCTGCTTTTCCAAAACCTTCTTTTTCCTGTCCTCGCGTAACTTGATCAACGCCTCCCACCCCTTCCTCTCCTCTTCCTCCTCTGCAGCAATCTGCTCTGGAGTTTTGGGCTCGGGCGCGGGGGTGGTGTTGGGTGATGCACGATTCGCACGCCTGTAGCGACCAGGGATGGGAGTGGAAGTACCATCCTTCTTCACGTCCCCAGCGATCGCATAAAACGGCGCAGGCTTGTTCATGCCATCACCAGCACCAGACGGAGCCATACTAACCCTCGACGGAGACCTCGACCCAGCCGCGGCAGCAGAGGGAACGAGCAACGTCTGCGACGCACGCCCATTTGCATCGATGGTGTACAGCCCACCCACCGGGATAGCACTAACCCGCCTCGCCCCAGCACCAGTACGGACGCTCGAGACTGATCCGGCGACGCTGGGTGCGTAGGATCTCCTCTGCTGGGCTTGTCCCTGGCCAGGGACTGCGAGGTTCAACGAACTCTGACTCCCGGCACCGATTCCACTGGCGCCGTAAACACTCCCAACCCTGGACCCGGGCCTAGGCGCGGGTACAACGCTTTTGCGGTGAGGGAGCGAGGTAGAAGATCCATTGGCCTGCATAGTCGGTCTAGTTGGGGTCGCCGCACCGGCGGCCTTCGGCGTTTTGATGCCGTGCACCTCAGCTGGACTTCTCATCATCATCTGCGGCGGGGCACCATAGCCTCCATATCCTCCATACCCCGGCGCCATCATCCCCATCGGCGACATAGGCATCCCCATGTGCATACCCATCATCCCCATCTGCATCTGCATGGGCATTTGCATAGGCATCTGCGGCAGCCCCATTCCCATCATCGCTGCCTGCCCGACTGGCACCGGCACCATCATCTGCTGATACTCAACCTGCCCCTGGGGTGCTCCAACGCCCGGGACAAAGCTCTGCCTTAACCCACTCTGCCAATGCAGCCCGAGGCGACCAGCGACACCTCCAAACACAGCGCGGTTAGACCCGAAACTGGCGACACTCCCCGGTCTGCCTATACGAGGAGCGAGAGAAAGCGGGGGAGCGAAGGGGGGAACGCTAAGTCCGGCGAGGCTGGCGGGAGGGATAGCGTGCATGGCTTCGATTTTGTCGCGGCGTTCCCGTTCACGGCGGACCATGCGGTCGATTTCGTCTTCCTCCTTCTCCTCCTCCTTGGGCCCCCTCATTTCCCTCACCTCCACGGTCTTAGCGACGGATGCACGCTTGGAGGAGGCACCGTAGGCAGCAATTCCGACATTCGAGTCGAGATCCATGCTCTGTCGGTTAACCCACCCCCCCGTCTTGATCCCAATCTTAGAGTAGGAACTCGCCGGGCTCGTATCCTTCCCATCACCATCCTTGCCCTGACCAGCCTTTGCCTCCGCGGGAACGGGAGTCCGGCGTCGAGTGACGTCCGCCCCAAACCATTCCGGCGCCTTCTGCGCCTTCACCTTGGCGGCGACAGCGTTAGAGGCAGCGAACTTGAGGGTCTTAGTCCCCGGCACACGAACACCACGTCTCGGGAACCCATGCGCGGCAAGTACGTTGAGCGGGATGTCTTCCTCCGAGTCGGAGGAATCACTCTCGGACACGAACACAGAACCGCGCTTGGTGGTAGCGACAGTAACAAGGCTGGGCTTCGAGGCGATGGCCCCGGGTGTTGGTGCGGTGATAGCAACCGGAGCCGGACTTGGACGCCTCGAGGGTGCATGGGAGGCGGAGGTGGAGCCGGGAAGGGTTTTGACCATGCTCGCCCTGTACACCGCCAACCTCGCCGCCCGCCTCTCCCTCTCCTCCTCAACCTTCTTCTCCGCCTCCCTCTCCTTCTCCTTCTCCTTCTCCTTCTCCTTCTCCTTCTCCTTCTCCTTCTCCTTCTCATCTTCCACATCCGACCCAACCTCAGACTCAGACTCGGACTCGGACTCGGAATCAGAGGAACATGGTTCAGCGAGGATAGCAGCCGAATACCTCTTAAACTCCGCCTCAGTCATGACTTTTCCCAGCGGCCTCCTCATCACCGGTGGTTGCCCTTCAGTCTCTCTCTGCACCCTCGGGCTGGCTAGGGCGGCGAGACCAAGAGATCCCCTCTCCTCACTCTCACCGGGGAGCATAGAGGAGTCAGACGCTACAGAGACATCCGACACAGACCTCGAATGCTGCCCTGGCCTCGCACCATGGTCTTCAGGCTTCGGTGTAGCCCTGGGGGTGGGGGAATTTGAGTCGATGGATCTGGGAGTGTTAACACGCGTGGGGACATACCCAGAATCCCAATCCTTCTTCGGTGGGACCGGCGGTTTCTCCTCTTGTCCTTGTGCCCTACCGAGGAGGGCTCGACCAGGGCTGGTAGGGGATGACATAGCCGGCGACACGGGAGCGGGTTTGGGGGTGCATGTCGCAGACCGCTCATCACCGGCCTCGAAGCTCCAACGCGTATCCATGTCCATGTCCATGTCCACCTCCTCGGTGGGGGTGTTGACGACACTAACGCTGTTGGAGAACATGTCTTCTTCCAAAGCCGGTGCCTGGGTCGGGCTAGTCGGAGGTGAGGTGTGGCGTCTCATTTTCTTCACGTCCTCCTCGTTGCCGGCGCCTTCGGTCTCGGTCTCGAACGCGTACACGTAGCTACCATCCTTGACGTCCTCCTTCGGTGGGGGAGAGAGGACGATGATCGGTGCGCTCTTCCTCCTGTCCGTGGGAGAGGACGGGGTGCGGAGCTTGTTGTTAAGCTTGAGGAAAGGCATTTTCGGGAGGGTTGATGCGAAGGTGTGGGACTGGCGTTTGAGTTTTGTCGGAGTAAAAGACTTGGTGGACTGGGGGGAGAGTGAGTTAGTCATCCGCGGTACAAGTAAACGACAGTATATCCTGGCTCCAAAACGAAAGTGCGTGATGGAGGGAGAAGGATGGGGTGGACTCACAGTCTTATACGGCGGTAGCTAGCGGTTGAGGTTCGTTTCTTCGATATGGAGAGGTCCGAGCGTTTGACAGGTAAAAGGTTGGGAGTAGCTATATGTAGCAGTCGTAAACGTGCTGTTGCTGCAAACGGTTTCGTAGCTGAGGCTGAGGTGCTGTAGCAAGAAGAGTTGCAAAGAGTTGGGAAGTCCATCCAGACGGGATGGCCGGCGGCTTATATCCCATAGCGACCACCCCCGAGGATCTGCTCAGGTGTTCCATGGCCCTACACCCTGCGCTACGCCGTGTGCCGCAAACGGAAATGTACGGTACCCGCGCATGCATACACGTGCATGATGATGCTATTTATAGGCCTATGAACGCTACAAGAGGAAGGTTTGGCTGTTTGGAAGAGGGGAGGAAGACGGCGCGATCGGGAATGAGGTGACTCTATGTTGAGATCGTGGTTGTGACCGAAGGCGAGGGAGCTCGATTGTTGAAGAAATCACGTCACTTGATCCAACCCTCTTCGGGTCCGGATCGACTGACCTCCAGATCCAAGGTACGAGTCCTGTTTGCTCTATAGCTACACTCTTGGCGACAACGTTAACGGGTGTTGGCATGACGGAATCGTAACGGTCGTCCCTGTACTTGGAAATAACGTTTAATCTTGAGGTGCCGAAACCGAGGTTACGTGACCCTGTCACATGCATCGGTACCGCTGTATGTACATGGGCATCTTCAGAAATTCCGAGATGCCTAGGTTCATGGTACGACGATGGCTGAAACTTGACCGGTTACGTGACGTGTGCGCGTCTGAATGAGAGCGCGTGCGGGGCGGTACCGTGGGAGTATAGTAGGGCCCTGTGTCGGGAGTCCCCGCAAGTTAAGGTTTTGGGGTTGGGTAGCTACGTGTAGCTATAGGACGATGTAGAACTCTGAGAGTTTTCTTTTAAGCGAATGGTTCTAGGTGTTGAAGAGCATGTGAAACGTTGACCGGTCGTTGGTAATAACCCGGCACGATATGTCATGGATGTGAGTTATCGAGCTCATGATGGCGATAATACCTCAGACATATACCAAGTCGGACTAGAGGCCGTATCCAGGTTGGAATTAGATTTGAGGGAGATTGGTCACGCCAGCTGATGTTTGCAATTGTAAATGCGTATCGAAACCAGGGCCTTAACGGCACTTCATTTCCGCGATGAGCATGCCCAAGTACAGAACGGACATTTGCTCCCAAGGGTTCAACGATATATAATAGAGGCGCGTTGAAGCAAGAAAGTAACCCGCAACAGCGATATTCCCACGCCTAAACGCTGGCGCTCCGAGCACCCTCGAACATGCAACTTATCGGCCTCAAGAAGAAATTGGAAGTATTACAGGAAGAGCATCCTTTACCCCGAACATTGCAGCTCACTATTGAACATCTGCTTTTCGGTGAACGCGAACCGGTCTGCGCAATGACCACAGCACGCGTTGCCGATGCAGGGGCTGCATACCTATACCTGCCTCGACCCAAACTCACCGCCAAGTTCAACACCAAGTCCAATCCATTGCGCAATCGCTACACCTTGTAGTCGATCTGTCACAATGGTTTTCGAAAAGCAAGTCCCTCCCAAACTCTGCCCCCCAACAGCATCGCTAACCCCTCCCCCCTCCCAGATCCCTCTACGACCTCATTCGCGGCATCCGCTCCCACACCCCAAACCACCACCCCTACATCCTCCGCTCCCTCTCCGAAGCCCGCACAGAAACCCGCTCAACATCCCTTTCCACCAAAACCGAAGCAGTGTTGAAGTTGGTGTATCTGCAGATGTTGGGGTATGATGTCGGGTGGAGCTCGTTTGCGATTGTGGAGGTGATGAGTAGTACGAGGTATAAGGAGAAGAGGGTTGGGTATTTGGGTGCCGTGGAGGTTTTTAGGGAGGGGACGGATGTGTTGATGCTCACAACCAACCTCATCAAAAAAGTATTCCTACCTCACCCTTCTCCTTCACAACTTCTCCCCTTTACACGTGCACAGGACTGACTGCGACCACCACAGGACCTGAGCTCATCCAACCCAATGGAAGTCTCCCTAGCCATAAACGCACTCTCCCACCTCTCCTCCTCCTCCCTGTCAACCGACCTCTTCCCCGACCTCCTCTCCCTCCTCTCCCACTCCCGCCCTCAAATCCGAAAACGCGCTCTCCTAGCTCTCTACCGCCTCATCCTCTCCTCCTCCACCTCCTCATACCTCCGCACAGCATGGCCACGCATCAAAGAACGATTGGAGGATGAGGATGGGAGTGTGGTGGGCGCGGCTGTTCAGGTCGTTTGTGAGCTTGCGCAGAAGAGTGGGGAGGGCGGACGGAGGGAGTGGTTGGATTGTGCGCCGGTTATGTATGGGCTTTTGAGGGGGAGTGAGAATAATTGGATGTTGATTAAGATTGTCAAACTCGTACGTATCCCCCTCCTCCCGCTCTCCTTGTTAAGTGGAGTTACTAATTGGAGGTTGTGCATAGTTTGCGAGCCTGATGCCCCTCGAGCCCCGCCTCATCAAGAAACTCTACGGACCACTAACGACTTTGATCAAAACTACTCCGGCGATGAGTTTGTTGTATGAGTGTATACATACCGCGATTGTGGGGGGGATGCTGGATGCGAGGGATGAAGCGGCGGATGAGTTGGCGGAACTGTGTACCAGTAAACTCCGGACATTTTTCGAGGATGGTGATCAGAACTGTACGATTAACCCCCCTTCGCCCCCACTCCGTCTCCCCGCAAAGCCAGCTAACGAATGGTGTTGACACCCACAGTGAAGTACCTCGCGCTATATGCAATGTCAAAAATGACGACTCTATACCCAGCCCTCGTCGCAGAACACACAGACGTAATCCTTGGCTGCGTCGATGACAGCGACATCTCCATCCGTCTCCGCGCCCTCGAATTAGTCTCGGGGATGGCATCCCTCCGTACCCTCCCCGACATCGTCAAACGCCTCATGTTACAACTCCTCCCCACGTACTCCACTCCCCTACCAATGCATTATTGGGTAGAAGTTGTGGAGAGGGTACTGGAGATGTGTATGAGGAATGGGTATGAGAATGTAGGGAATTTCGAGTGGTATGTCGCCGTCTTGATTGATTTAGCGAAGATTGCAAAAGTCGACGTCGGGGGTTTGTTGGGTGCTGAGATGCGGAATGTGTGTGTTCGGGTTAGGAATGTGAGGGGCGTTGCGGTGGAGGGGATGTCTGCACTCGTCGCGGATCGTGGACAATATCGGGACGGAGACGGAGTCGGGCCGGAGGTGTTGGGTGCCGCGGCATGGGTGTGCGGTGAGTATTCCCCCTACCTCCTCGAACAAAACCGCGCACTCGATGTCTTGGACACCCTCCTCTCTCCCGCCCCACACGCACTCCCCGCACTGCAACAAGCAGTGTTCATCACCTCCATTCTCAAAATCTACACACGCTACGTCTCGACCCCACGCGAATGGAACCCAGCATGGAAGAGCGAGGTGGAGTTGTGGACTGCGAAGGTGTTGGGGGCGGTTGAGGGGTATGTGAGGAGTGGGGATGTTGAGGTCCAGGGGAGGAGTGTGGAGGGGTGTGCGTTGTTGAGGGTTGCGTTGGAGCATGTGCATAATGCGCCCGCTCGCAAATCTGGGTACGACAGTCTTGAGAGGGATGAGGGGACGGATGCGTTTGCGGCTGTTAGTGATGGTGAGAAGGAGGAGGGTGGGGGAGAGGGTCTGCCGAGGTTTGTGGGTGAGGTGTTGGTGGGGTTGTTTGGTGGGTATGAACTCAATCCCGTCGCGCAGACTGCACAGAGTCGCGTCCCCGTCCCGCAGGAGTTGGATTTGGATGGCTGGATTGGTGAGGCATGGTCCCTCGAACCCCCTGAACTGGTGCAAGACGATGATGACGAGGAGTCGTACTACGAAGACCCACGTTCCGCAGCCGTCGTCGTCGACAAGGGTTCACCCCACGAAGATGAAGGGATCACTAAAGAGGAACGGGAGCGGCGTGCGGCGGAGAGGAGGGAGAGGTTAAAGGATGATCCATTCTATATCCCGACTGCAGCTGCCGCGAATACGGGGTTGTTGAGTGATCAGGCGAGGGGGGAGTATTTTGATGTTGACTCGATTCCGATTGTGGAGTTGAGTTTGGAGGATGTGGAGCACGAGGGGAAGAAGGAGAAGAAGGTGAGGAGGAAGAAGAGGGGGCATCAGAGTCCGGAGCGGCAGGAGGTGCAGATGGTGGAGGAGGAAATGCCAGAGGGATACGAACCCGAACACGCATCCACACCCTCAACCTCCACTCGTTCTTCGCGCCCCACCACACAAGCCCAGAAAAGCCTGTTCGCATTCGACACCTCCCGTCTAAAATCCCTCGACTTTGCAAAAGAAGACGAAGAAGAAATCGAAGCAGAACGACTCCGTCTCGAACGCGAACGTGCGGAACGGAGACGGGTTGCGAAGGAGAGGGCGATGGCTGCGGCGGCGGCGGCGCAGCCGACTGTTGTGGCGGTTGTGCCGGATGTTGTTGAGGTTACGCGGAAGAAGGGGAAGAAGAAGGGGAAGACCGGAAAGGGGAAGGTGGGGGAGGGTGTGGAAGGTGGGGAGGGGGAGAAGAAGAAGAGCAGAAAGAAGAGGGTTGTGGTGGAGGAGGGAGGGGAGGAGGTTGAGGTGTAACGTGAGGAGTCTCGTTAGAGCAGCATAGGAATGCAAGTACTGGTATTTCAGACATCGTTTGATATATACGGTATAACTAACGCCCGATCCCATCAGTTGCCTGGGTATAGCTTGGCGTTCGCGGCATCCACCGCCTGTCTCGCCGCCTTCACATTCTGCAGCGCAGTGGGCATATCCGAGTGCAGGCAAATCGTAAAAGGCTTCTCCTTGAATCCCATATCCAAATCATCACCATCGATATCAATCGTCTTCCCAGTCTCCGCGCACATCGTAACCTTCTTCTTGATCCCCTCCGGCGTCGCAGGATGACTCTTCGCAACCGGAACCAAGTTATGCTGCTTATCCCAATCAATATCGACATAAAGCTCCTCGATAAACTCTACCCCAATCTCCGCACAAATCTCCGCCTGACGCTTCCCTTTCGCTCCCAACACCGGTACACCGAAAGTCTTGGCGGCTTTGAGTACAGCACGCATGATCCCCTCATCCCTCTGCATGTAGAAATACAATTCCCCGTGTGGTTTGATATGACTCAATCCCATCCCCTCCGCCTCCAGCATCGCCTTGAGCGCACCGACTTGGTAGAGGATCATGCAATACATGTCGTGTGGGTCGATCTCCATCTTGCGACGGCCGAAACCGAGGAGGTCTTGGAGGCCGGGGTGGGCGCCGCAGAGGACGGAGTGGGTTCGTGCGAGGCGGATTGTGCGGAGCATGATTGTGGGGTCGCCGGCGTGGAAGCCGCAGGCGATGTTTGCGCGGTCGATGAGGGGCATGAGATCTTCGTCTGGACCCTGTAGATAGCGTCGTTAGGATCAGAATGAGGAGGGGAAGGAAGGAGGGAGATCGAGGGAAAGCATACCATTTTCCAGCGGCCGAAGCCCTCGCCCATATCGCAATTGATCTCGATCTTTGGGAGTGTCATTGTTTCGGCGTCGAGTTGAGTTGTACAAACGAGGAGGATTGCCGGTTTATCATACGGGAGGTCCCCCAGGCACACCCGAGTCGAGTCTCCGCTTTCCGACGGGGAGGGAGGGGGGGGTGCTGCCCTGTGCCTGAAAGCGATTGTGGGGTCGAAGAAAAGTTGCGACGATACGGGACCACTACACCAAAAAAAACTTCCCCGACGAGTCCAAGTTCAACGGACCCTACCCTTCCCCTACGCTTCCCCTACGCTCTCACCTCCACCAACATGCCTCCCCACTCCTCCTCAGTACACAACAAGATCGCTCGCGAAAAACTCTACAAAGACGAGAAACGCCTAAAAGCAAAGACAAAGCTCGAACGCCGCAAAGAATTCGAACGCGATGAACGCGATGACCCAGAGAAGCGCGCAAAACGTTTGGCAGAGAACGTTCCACTGACAATCGAGTCAAAACGTGTCTTTGATGAGACGTTGATGCAGAAGGGTGATGAGGAGGATGAGGAGTTACTTGCCGACGCGGAGAACGACCCATTCGCCGAGTACTTTGCGAACAAGATCCCGCCCAAAATGTTAATCACAACATCCAAGAACCCAACCGTCGCGACCTACGATTTCGCAGGAGAGCTCATCGACGTGTTCCCAAACGCAGAATACGTCAAACGCGGTAACAAATTCGAACTGGACCAAATCTGCAAATTTGCTTCGAACCGTGGATATACCGACCTCCTCCTCGTCAACGAAGACCAGAAAAAGCCGAATGCGGTTACGTTGGTTCACCTCCCAGCTGGACCCACAATGCACTTCACCGTCTCCTCCATCGTCCTCACCCGAAAAATTCATAACCACGGACGCGCAACATCCCACTCCCCCGAACTAATCCTCAACAACTTCTCCACCTCCCTCGGCCGCACCCTCGGCCGACACCTCCAATCCCTCTTCCCCCCCGTTCCCCAACTCGAGGGCCGTCAAGTCGTCACCGTCCACAACCAACGCGATTTCTTGTTCTTTAGACGACATCGATACGTGTTTCGCGACGTGGAGAAGGTTAGGCTGCAGGAGCTCGGACCGAGGTTTACGTTGAAGTTGAGGAGGGTTACGAGGGGTGTTCCGGGGAGACGGACGAGGATTGAGGAGGTTGAGGAAGGGAAGGAGGTTGAGTGGGAGTGGAGAGCAGATGCGGATGTTGATAGGAGGAAGTTTGTGCTTTAAGGAGTTGTGTGTGACTTTGATGGAGTACACCGGTGTTGGACGATGTTATACCCGGCGTATATGCATATGAGAGGGAAGAAAGAAAAGAGTGTGGGAATAGGCAATGATTTCGACGAGCATAGATCAGCATATGATATCAATATCAGGGTACCCAATGCATACGATACATTGCTAAATGTACTGGAGAGAGGATCTTGGTGCACGGTCTAAACCTTATTTCTCGCCCTGCATGCTTGGACGTGACGTCCCCGCGTACGGTACCCAGCTGTGAGGGTGCTATGTAGGTCCCTAGCTACGTAAGATCCGCTTCGCACCGCAACCACCGACCACAATCCCCCTTTGTCCAGTATCACCATCTCTGTTCTATTCTGCTCGCTTCGTTCCTTATCACTATCTATTATATATCAATCTCTTCAAGGAGGGGCCTAGCCGCCTCGTCCTCGGGCGGCTGATGCGGTATTCGATCCGCGGTCAGGGTTTCCTTGGTCTGGCTTTTCTCTTCTCCTATTATGTACCAAGAACTTGCTTATGACTCATGAGTGTACGAGCGTATGCTGATCGTTCGCGTTTTATAGCATTTAACCCCCGTCTCGGCATTCGCAACCCCGCACAATTCCTCCATATCCTCCAACATCACCTTCGCAGCCTCCGTCCCAAACAGCACCCTAACCACACAAGAAACCATATCCCTCCCCCTCTCCTTCTTCAACGTCTTCTTCACCTACATCCTACCCTCTATTCCATTCATCCTCATCCTATTCTACCTCCTCCTCCGTTTCTTGATGGGGTTCGTACGGGGTCGGGAGATGCATGAGTCGTTGTTGCAGGTGAAGAGTGCGAAGTGGCAGGTGCTGGGTGCGCTGGCTGCGGCGTGGGCTGTGCTTGTTTGGATTGTGCTGCGGCATGATGGGTGAGGAGGGGAGGTGTGAGGTGGAGACGGCATGAATGCGAGAGGCAGGATGAGCCTCGTGATGGGTATGCATGGGACGGGGTATGTTACGGTTGGCTCCCTGGATACAAACGTTCCTTACCTTGAATGCGGCATAGTTACACGTCTTGATTCTCACGGGATGGACAATCAAATAGATTCCCGAGCTATCGAGGCTATGCATCCGTGGACCTCGTCCCAAGGAAGGGTAGTGAAGTGATGGTGCATCATTGGAACTGAGTTGAGAGCAGGTGAGTATAAGGTGGGAGACGTATGGGTTTGCTGCTCGTGCTTGGCCCAGCTTGACAGTCCTGGGTCAAGAGTGAGGGCTAGCCACACCACCAGCCACGGCAACCGCGCTAGGCTGCAGGCAATTATAACGTAATGAACGCTAACTGTGTCAAGGCAGCTCGAGTAGTAATTCGTAATCGCCTTGTCTAATTGGTATTGCAGAGAAACCCAAGTATCATGGTACCTGTGACGGCCATAGCCTGCGTGACATGGTGAGCGAGGAAGCGTGAGAAAGGGGGGCCGGATTATACAGCCAATACAATTGGAAATGCGAGAAGCATGAGGAACTTGACAACGGTTGAGGTCTTCATTCTCAGAGTCATTTTTGGACAGGAGAAACGAGCCACAGGGGATGACGAGCTTTGCTTTGCACCGTAGATGACATGGATAGATGACGAGGGTGATATGAAGGCCCAACATGTTTTACGAGACAGGAGCTGCAGCTACCCCTCCTGGTACCCGTTATCAGTCGTTAGGCAAATGCTACCGAATTCTGTAGAAGGTTACTGGCAACTGCCTTGGTGAGTGGCAGTATGTGCGGCGAGCCGTCGTCGAACTGCGCCCGCGATAAAGACGGGTCGTTCAAATCTCGGATAGATATGATCAAGGGTACATTCAACTCCAACTCAAAGAAAGCACAAAATCTAGCAAACACATACGCCGAAATGTCGCAAAGTCCCCGATAATTAGCACCGTGCAAAGTTCATCATTCCCTCCACAAACTTCCTACAATCTCCTGCAACTCCCCACATCTCACAACCCCCCCAACCTGAACACCTCCCCGACAACCTCCTCCAGAACCCCGGGTGCAGTGTTCTCCACATCACTCAAACACTGCCTCAACTTAATCAATGCCCTCCTCGCCGCCTCCGAGTTCGCTTTCGCATATACTTCGTTCAACGCCGGTAACAAGACTCCGTCGAGGGCGTTGACGCTCATACCGGAAGAGGTGCTAGTGGTGGAGATGGAGGAGCGGTCAACTGCATGGCCGTAGTGGGTAGAAAGATTGGAGGAAGTGGGGGCGTTGGCGAGACGGACGGTGCCGGAGTATGTCGTATTCGACTCCCGCGGCGTCTGATACGACCCCGACGACCGACTCTCCCCCGCCGAAGACGAAGAAAACTGTGACCCATAACTCACCTGCCGGGGCGTATTGACGTCATCAATCTGTAAACCCCCAAAGTCGAAATCATGCGTCTTCTCAGGATCCGCCAAATGAACCGGCGGCGCAACTCGGCGGATCGTCTCGAATTCATTACCAAACTCACTCCCACTCCCCTCATGTCCAGAATCCCTCGGGATGTCGCGGTCGGGATGGAACCCCGGACTCGACCTCAATGTACCACCAGGTCTGACAGTCCCGAAATCCCAAAGTGTGGACTTCATGGTATCGTTCCGACAATGCTCGTCTTCCGAGTCCTCACTGACATCCTCTTCCCCGCCCTCTGCAACCCAGCGTTGATATTTCAGGATCAATTCCGTCAAGTACGATGTTTTCTTAGCCATGCGGACAAAACGGTGTTTGAGTAGCTCCTTCGCCGACGGTCGCTGTTTAGGGTCCCGTTTAAGGCATTCACCAACAAAGTCCTTAAACGCGCGACTGAATTGTGGTCCTTCAAGCACAGGCGGGGGATTCTTCGGAATGATAAAGAGGACTTTCATAGGATGCAACTCCGCATTCGGCGGCTCCCCCTTTGCCAACTCGATCGCCGTAATCCCAAGAGACCATATATCCGCTTTGTGATCGTACCCGGACTGCTTAATCACCTCCGGCGCCATCCAAAACGGCGTACCCACAAACGTGTTTTTCTTGGTCATGGTGGCGGTAAGCTGACCCGAGACGCCAAAGTCTGCGAGTTTAACGTGCCCTTGTGAGGTGAGAAGGATGTTTGCGGCTTTGATATCGCGGTGGAGTTTGTTTTCTGCATGGAGGTAGACGAGACCGAGGAGTATTTCGCGGATGATGATGGCGATGTGTTCTTCGCTTGGTACGCCGGCTTTCATCAAATCGGAACAACTCCCACCCGAACAATATTCCATCACGATCCACAACTTAGTACCTTTGAGGTAGGAGCCATAGTATTTCGTCACCCACGGGCTATTCATCTGCGATAAGATTGAGATTTCGAGCATGATATCATCAACCTCATCCTCCGCGGTCTCCAAGTCGATAACCTTGATAGCGACAGGACGACGGGAGCGGTTATCGAAACTGTATGCAGGATATGTGAGCTTTCCCTACTGCGGACCGCTCGATACATACATACCCTTTGTAGACGTTTCCGAACGACCCACTCCCAATCTTCTCTTCACGCGTGTATATCTCCTCTGGGTCAACCGTACTCTGCATCCCACCACCAGAGCCACCACTACTCGTCGTACTGGTAGAGGGATACACAAGATGCCCGTTGGATTTGGTGCGGCCGTTACTCTGTGAGTTCAGGGGTCAGAATCGTACATACACTGACTCGTTCTGCAATGGCTCACCATGTCGATAAACTGCTCCCTTACAGCAGGGTAGAAGGAAGGACGAGAGGGTGTATGCTGGACCTCAGGTGGGCTCCAGGGTGGTGTAGAGAATGTGCGGATTCTTGGGTCAACGAAGAGAAGGTCCTTGGGTCATCTAGGGTGCACTGACCCTCCCAGGGCTGTATGCTCATTTGGCGGTGTACCCATGTCTTCCGTATTTACGGGGTACGCAGGGGAGCTTAACAACCATGCAGCCATAGCAACGTCAATGTTCCAGGAGCAGTGACGGGGTTAGGAAACGTGAAAATCAATGGTACGTCTGTACAATTCGTATGAACCAGCTGGAGGATGATCGAGGATGATGTGATAAAATGACATGCAGGTTAATATGATACACCGCTGCACCGCTAAATCTCGACGAATTCATGCAAATATGATGCTCCTCGTCCAATATATGACCAAGAAGATACCCTGCAACGACCAGCGTCCGGTTACCCGTTTTTCAGTCCATTTCCCATTTTTCTTCCTCTTCAAATCAAGTATCGTACATCACACACTTCAACGCAATCCAGGAGCTCCCTGCTGCATGTACGCAGCGCTATTCCTCATCGTCAGCGTTCGTTCCTCGTCATTCCGTCCTTGTGGACGCAAAATGTACTCACTTCTGCTCAGCAAATCTCTGTCCAACCCTCTCACTATGCTTCAAAAACTTATCCGCACACTTCTGCACACACCCACTCTCCTTCTCCGACAAACTCTTCGAGGTGAAATCATTGATACAGTCCGAGAAACAGCGCTGAACGAGGTTGGAGTAGAGGGACATGAAGTCCTTCATTTGTTTTGCTTCCATGAGGCGCTGGAAGTGCTGGGCTTCGGCTGGGTTCATTCCGTCCATGGTGGTTGATCTGGCAGGAAAATGGTAAGTACAACCGTTACGCTGCGACGATGAAGAACGGCGTTCGAAAACAACGGAACGTCATGAAGGGTAGGAAGGGAAACGCACGGCTAAATGCTTGGATCGTAGGTATTTCTGCGTACAGCTGCAGCACCGGTCGCTTGACGTACAGTGCGGGAATCGTCCGGTTTCAGGCACCACCCTGCAAGGCACGCCGTACATCTCCGTAACCCCCACACGTTAAGCTTGGCCCGTAGCAACGATGGCCGATACACAGATGGAGAACCTTCCAGAAGAACAACGTCAGAACGACGAGCCAAGGTACTGTTGATGTGTCTTAGCACACTGGTGTGTTTGCTGACCTCCTATCCGTACAGCGGCCCACAAGCCTTCCTCAACCGCGTCATCGGTCAACGCGTCCTCGTCAAGCTCAACAGCGGTGTCGATTACCAAGGTATTTACTCGACAATCTCACTATTTACTCTAAAGTGTATGCTGACGGTTTGGGTTGGTAGGCGTCTTGACCTGTTTGGATGGATACATGAACATTGCGTTGGAGCAGACTGAGGAGTACGTGAATGGTCAATTGAAGAACTCGTATGGTGACGCATTTATCCGAGGAAACAATGGTGCGATTTTCATAGCTGCCTAACGCTTGAAAGCGAAACGCTGACGAATATCGTACAGTTCTGTATCTTTCTGCGCTGCCGTCGGTATGAAGGAGGTAATGACGAGGCGAGATGAGTGCATCTTGAGATGGGCATGAGAAGCAATGCGCCAGTGCGAGAGAAGAGGCCGAATCTTGAACCCCACCACCGCAGCTCGAGACGGGTGACGTGAGGTCGGTGGATATCAAAACACTGTAGGGACGAGGCCACAAACCCGTGCAATATACCACCATACAAACGTTAAAAACAATACAAAATGGAACTGGATGCAACACCCAATCCTTCAGACATTCTCATTCATATGCGATATGCACTACTTGGTATCCTATTCGTATCATATCCCTGCGTTTCTTCATCACTTCGTAGGCTGCAACGGCGTCCACCCACTCATCTCCATCCCATTCCCAGTAGCTTGATCATTATCGTCCATCACGCCCGGATTCGGGTTTTTCCTTGGTGGTGGAGGTGGCGGCTTAACCTTCTCACTCATACTCTCCTTCCGCTGTAAACCCGACCCATTCACATCCCGTCTCGGCGGCAATTGCGGTGGAGCGACGGACTCCGTAGACATCGTGCTATCTCTTCTCGTCGGCAACGGCGGCGGTAACCTCCTTACACCCGCATCGACGGGCATACTCGCAGCCCTCGACAACCCCCCCGGCTTCGGCGGCGGCACAGGCCGTCGCGCTCCAATCGAAGCCGTCGAGGTCGCCGAAATCCCAGACGCTGCTGACCTTGTCGACGAGGCAGAGGGTGCTCGTTGGACCGGTCGATCGACTTTAACCCAATCCGGCTCCTCCGTAACCTGAAACGGATTCACGGGTCTCCTCGGATTCCTCGTCCACTCCTTCGCCCCCGAAGGTGGTTGTGGTGTGGGGACTTTAGCGGGCTGGTTATCCTCGAGCCACCACTTATGCTTTTCGCTGCTTGGTGGAGGGAGGATAGATGTGCGAGTATCGATGCGTTCGACGAGGTCTTCCATATCCATTTTGCTTGAGCCGGCGGCTGGTTCGCCGATTTGCTCCCGCCTCGAGTCGTAGATCTTGCGGTATAGTCTGTCCCGGACGGTCTCGTCCTCCTTAACAATCCCCATTTCAAGCACCCCATAAACAGGCCTATGATCCGAAAATCTCAGTGGGGCAGAGTCGTAAGCGAGTTGGCGCACATTCGTCCCGCGCCTCAAAATTCGATCCGTCCATGCCGGAATACGCTGTTTCTCGGAGGTGTCGTAGTGGTCTGTGCCGTTGTCAAATTTGTAGGTTGGGGGGAATGTGATTTGGTCTTCGGAGTAGTAGGAGAAAACGTTGCCGGCTACCATTTGGCGGTTGAGTTGGTCTTCGGAGTAGAGTTTGCCGTAATCACCGATGTCGATTAGGTGCCGTACCTCCTCCAGCGGTAAGGAGATTCGGTAGTTGAAGTCACCGAAGAAGATCACGGAGTCATGATCGTTGATCTTTCGCCCCCGCTGGAACTTCAAGCCATCGGCAATGGTGTGGTAATCACGATTTCTTTCATCGTAGTTGGCATGCCCCGCCGCCAGATGTGCCGTAACGAAACACAACCGGGTATTCTCGAAATCCATTCGAATGGCGACGGCGCCCTTATTCCCACTCATACCCTTCAACCCCGTCTTCTTAATCGCGCCCTCGACGTTCTTCAGCGAAGAGATAAGCGACGACTTGACGAAAATCATCAACGCCGCACCAACCAATTGTCCGCTCCTCAAAAACACATACTGCTCCCCGTCCTTGGCTTTATGATTCAGCGTCCTCTGCACCTCCGCTTCCCAAAACATCCTCTTGGCTGGATCCGTAGCCATGATTTGCTGAGGCGTCAGCTCCACGATCTCCTGGAAACCAATGACGTACATATCGTGTTTCACTTCACGGCCTTGAGGAAAGAGCCATGGTTCGAGTTTGTCGTTTGGCATTTTTCCGTTGAGGTTGTAGGTCCCGACGAAAACTTTGATTTCGCCGGTGGAGGTGTACTCGTCTTTTCGTTTTCGGAGTTCGTCGCGGACGTAGTCGTTGATTGGGTCATACAGTGGTACGGGTTGTTGATTTACCAGACGTCCGAGGAGCATGTCTATCGTGTTTTGCCGGTCCTTGTCCTGGAAGTTGTTGATGTACAACCGTGACACGGATTTCGTCGCATCCGACAAAGCACCCGCAAAGCTCATCTTTCCTTTCCTCGTAAAGCTCGACTTCAACGCTCCCGTACCAGCATAGATTTTACTCAACGCATCACCATTGTCTGCCCATAACCGTGAATGCCCAGACCATAGGAGGTTATTCGCCATATCATTCCTGTAGGAAAGGAATGACTCGAGCGCCATGCGGCAGATAATGGATTGAATCATGTTCGTTCGGTCGAGACAGTCGAGACAATTTGTTCTGAACACACCGTTTTGCTCGAGGATGGGCGAGCCATCTTTCTGGTCTTCGACGTAGAAGGCAAATGCATCCGCATCGGGTTTGAGAAGATGCCAGATTCGTTGCGCATTAGCAAAGTCGTTCTTGACCTCGTAATGGAAATCCCAATTCGTACTCCTGATCTGGCCATTCATCTCCCCACTTGCCGCCACCGCGAGTGCGTACCGCTCGCTTAGTTGCGGTTCATCACCCCTACTTCCAAGAAGGTTGACTATATGCACCGCACCGTACTTATCGATCAACGCCCCAAAATGCTTCTCAAACGCCGGTTGTGACGCCTCCTTCGACCGCGTAATCTGAATCTTCTGACCGAGGATTTGGGAGCCGATTTGTTCCCAAAAAGTTGGGATACTCCCTCGCACCTGAACGAATGAGAACACCCAGTCCGCTGTCTCGAGTACCGTTTCCGTCTCGACGAAGTTCGAGACATGCCCTTGATCATCGATACCACGCGAGTTGAACCGTGTTCCGGCACGTTCACATGATAATCTAGAGATCAAAGTGAGATTGCCAGGTCGAATTCCGACTTGTACAGGAACACTCTCCACGAAACCTCGAATCGCCGTCGTCAAAAACGCACACCGATCCAGCCTTCTCTTTTCCGACGAATTTAAGTTCGCCCTGAACTTGAGTAACTCCCCAATCATGTACTTATTCCACATAAACTGATCATCAAACGCCTCCGGCTCGAACCCCGACCCCGAGGTCTTTGCCGAGGTGGAGAACAGCTCACTCCGACTCTGTAACCGATTCGTCAAATCACAGTCCGTCGAGAAATAGAACGTCCCACCACTCAACACATGCTTCAGCTTCCCACAAGGATGCTCGATATCAGGCGTATGTGCCGTCGTCTCCAACCCCTCCAACTCACTCTCGACCCTCATCCCATTGATATCAACCAACCGCGTATCCCAATCCGCGCGGTTGATACAGTGGAACTCGACTGCATGGACCCGGCGGACTGTTTCGTTTTTCTTAACTTCGGCGACTTGCGAGCTTCCGGTGATTACGCAAATGAAGACGTCTCCCTCCACCGTGATCAAGCCCAGACAGCCATACACCGGTAACGAGGTTAGAGGCCGAAATTCTGAGAGGTCACGGTCGCCGAACCCGACGATACATCGCGTGCTGGAGGAGCTTGACCCAGTATTTGGTGCGGCGCGGAAGACGAGGGAGGTTGTGCCGTCGGTTAATGCGATTGAGCGGGGTGAGTCCCGGATTTTCAATTGCATTGTAGTCCGGATTGGTCCTTGCCAGAGCTGTTTGAACTGTATTCGGCCTTTGTTTGTGTTGATCCGTGCGCTGTGGCGATAGGCTTGAGCGTCGACGTCGATGCCGGTTGTCGAGCTGCCGACGTACGTGCTGCACGTATGACGCTCGCGGCGGCGTACCAACGCAACTGACAGGGTCTTCGAATGAAGTGAAGGAACCATTATGGCTTTGATAGATATAATCTTTGGTTCTAATGATAACCGAAAAACACACGCTGTCCCAGAACGCCAGATGCAAAGGATACAAACCTCACTCTTCAATCTCAATCCGGATCCTCGTCCAGATCTTCCATGATTCCCTCTCATCCACGTTGACGAAAAGGTTTCTATGCCTTGATCCCCAAGATCTCAGCCATCCTGTCCGCATCCCCAAACGCCGCCTTCTTCTGCCTCATAAACTTGGCCCGATGCGCCAACCTGTGTCCCTTCGGTGCCGTAACCACCGTCTCGACCTTGACCGACAGTGTCTTCCCTTCCTTTTTTGCCTTCTTTGCGGCCTTTTTGAGGGCTTTCGCTTCCTTTTTGGCGACCTTTTCGGCTTTGCGGACGGCTTTGGCGGCTTTCTTAACGGCTTTTTCGGGGTCTTCAGGTTTCTTTGACTTTTTGGATTTCTTTGACTTCTTTGCTGGCTCCTCTTCTTCTTCCGATGATGATGATGAGGATGCAGATGAAACACTGGCAGATCGCTTTCGCTTCTTCGGCGCTGGTTCTGGGGTGTCGGCCTTCTCCTCCTCTTCCTCCTCTTCTGATTCGCTTCCCGACGATGATGCCCCAGCCTCGGCCTCCTCTGCCGTCGTAGCCAACCCCCTCTTCGCAAAATTCTCCTTACTCATCTCAGTTGTATAAGTCTCCCCCTTAACGAACCTCATGCCACTCCCCAAGTAATTCTTCAACCCACCACCTCCGAGCACATATACCTCCCCAACCTTCAAATCGCCCATCTTCTTCTTGTGCTTTTCCTTCTCCTGTACGTCCACGCCGTTCAAGCGCTTGAACATATCGTTGAAGGCTGAGAGACCTGTCCAGTCGTTGACAGCGCCCTGTTTTGCGCCGAGACCGAGGGTGTTGTCCTTTGCGGTGACTTTAATGTTGATGGAGCGTCCGTGTCTGTTCTTGCCGAGACCATCACCAGAGTTCCAACCCATATTCGACATGAGTTTGAAGCCGAATTTGTTTGTGTCGTTACCCCATCGAGTGTTTCTCGGGTCTTCGCCGATGCGTTGTTTCTGCGGCCAATCCTGTCAGCACCATCGCCAATCAAGCCAATCACATCGAGCATACGTTTCGAGGTCCTGCCAATCCCATTGTAGCTGTAGATGAATGTTTTCTTTACACGACGTCCTTATCGTGCCGAACTCGAAAAAATCGGTTATCGCACCAGCCACACCTACCTGCGCCCCGCGCTGCGTACGCCGCCGTCGGAACAGCTGCAGCTGTGCGACTGGAAACCTTGATCCGCCTCGATTTGATCCAAATGCCTGCAGAAGTCCAACAACCTCAATGGCAAATCTGGTCTGTGCCAAAGCCAATGGCACAGCTTTTTGACAAGTTTCCACTGGTGGAACACCCAGCAGCATTGCTTCCTGCGACTCCGAATACTCCAAAGCATGCTGATCAGCCTACCCTTTACATCTACTCTACTGCAATAGATTCGTCCGCACATTCGCCAAGCTTTGATGCGGAGTGTCTAAAGTGGCAGGTATGTAGCATCATGTTTGGTTAGTACCACATCACTGACGGACATACGACAGACTGCTCTCTTACTTGCCGGATTACCTTTCAACGCAGTCTCATCCAACCGCCATGCCTCTCCCACCTTTACCCTGCCATTCTTGAACGAGCCACTCTCTGGGCCGCTGGTATATTCGTCAGGTATTCTTAAGTGGATCCAGGAAAACCCATCTGCGAACTTGGCAGCGTACTTGGATGAGAAGACACAAGCCGATGCTACAGCATTCACCTCACTGATCGAGTCAAAGATTCACAATGCATGGATCTACACTTGTTTCCTTGAACCGAAGAACTACCAAGCAGTAGCTCTGCCGTGGTATACTAAGGCCACGGCATGGCCTGTGAATCTGTGGATCGGCAGGCAGATCCGAGAAGAAAAGCGCGCGGAGATCGAGGCGAAGCGGACAGTGAATGGTGAAGAGGTAAGCACATGAAGATGTTGACGAGTCCACGCTGACATGTTCACTGTCAGATCTACGCTGATGCTGCAGCTGCATTCGCTGCTATCGCCGCAGCACTGGGTGACGATGAATGGTTCTTCGCATCTCGGTAAGATAACCTTTAGTGTACCAGTTGGGTGTGCTCACACGTACTGTAGGGAACCCACGCTTCTCGACGCAACACTGTTCACATACACTCACCTTATCTTGTCTTCACCTCTAGTACAAGATGGAATCCGCCAGATTGTCCGGACGCATGGCAACCTCGTTCAACATGCGAAGAGAGTGTACGATAGATGCTACAGAAAGTAATGAGCATGAAGATACAGGAGACATGAAGACACAAATGAAGCATACGTGGTTGGAATGAGTCCTTCGTCCAGATGGCTGCAATCGCAGAATACCAATCTTGATGCATTGGAATTGTGTACTCGTGTGAACTCAAGCCCAACCATTTCGTGTAGCGTATAACGTTTACCTAGCTGACTGACATAGCCATAACCCATGGCCATGGGTGACTGTACGAGTATCAAGGCGTCCATCTTGTCCGAATACCTCGCAGTCTCTACCTCGCCGTGGCCTCGATACTGTATGTCACCAGCCACGACTGCGCCTCGCACTGACGGCAGGTTCGCCGGCACTGGCGCAGGACAGTCATGTCCGGTTGTCGGCTATTTCGACATTGGGGTATTGCGCGATGAACTCCATTGATAGCAGTCAAGGACTCAAGGCCCGTCTTCGGTCACGACTAGAATTGAGGTATCATGCAACCGCTTTACGTCCAAACGCCATTGGTTGAGTCCACGGTTATCGCAAAGGCCGCTGGCAATGACCGCGTTTATCTCAAGTTAGAGAATCTTCAGGTATGTTCTGTCAATATCTCTTTGGCATCTTTGTTGACATTTTTGTAGCCCAGTGGATCGTTTAAATCTCGGTCAGTGTCCATAATCGAGGATGGTTGGTCCTGTGATACTAACATCTCTACAGCGGAATCGGCAATCTCTGCCAGAAAGCCTACGCGAAACTCCCACCAGGTTCGACCCTCCACATCTATAGGTACCCCTCCAACCCGCTATGCAATCTCCTCGAACCATAGTCTGAACTTCTTGTAATAGCTCCAGCGGCGGCAACGCAGGCCTGGCCGCAGCGTCAGCCGCCAGCTCTCTCTCCTGCCCTGCAACCATCGTCGTGCCAACAACCACCTCGGCCGTTACGATCTCCCGTATCCAAGACGCCGGCGCAAGCGTTGTTGTGCATGGCTCTGTCTGGGACGAAGCTGATCTGTTTGTGCGGGAGATGGTGGAGAGGGATTCGACGGGTGTTTATTGCCCTCCGTTTGATCACGAAGATATTGTCGATGGGAATGCTTCGATGGTGCGCGAGTTGAAGCTACAGCTGGATAAGAAGCCGGGTGCAATCGTCTGCGCGGTCGGCGGAGGCGGTTTACTAGCCGGTATTTTACATGGGTTGCGGGAGGTGGGATGGGATGATGTTCCTGTTGTGGCGGTCGAAACCGTAGGCGCCGCATCCTTTCATGCTTCTATGACCGCTGGGAGTTTGACGACCATACCCGCCATCACCTCCATCGCAACCTCCCTCGGCGCCAGACGCGTTTCTCAAACATGCTTTGATCTCGCCACCACCCACCCCGGAGCCGTACACAGCGTCACAGTCTCAGACGCAGAAGCGGTGGATGGGTGTGTTCGATTTGCGGACGATCATCGCATTTTGGTTGAGCCAGCGTGTGGGACTGTGTTAAGTTTGGCGTATCATGGGAAGTTGAGGGAGGTTGTTGGCGATGAGGGGAGTGTGGTGTTGGTTGTTTGTGGAGGGAGCAATGTTTCGGTGGAGATGTTGGCCAGGTATCAGGAGCAGTTCGTTGCAGCAGCAGAGCTTAAGAACTGAGCAGAGCCGGAGTGGGTCACCACACCACTGCATGTGTTTATCGCCGTTCGATGTCTTCTCGGCATGGATACAGTTTACGGCAGAACCAACATCGAGAAAGAATACACGAAATATCATAATCCATATCCTACAAGCCATCCTTGCGATACACGACGAAAGCAGGAAAACGAAAAAGAGAAAGACCTGCGTTCCCCACACGTACAGCAAATATCTCCTCTCAAGCGACTCCCATTGCCTGCTTCATATCATCACCATCTCCAGGCGGCTCGGTCTCGGTAATAACCCAATCTTAGTGGGCGGTTTACGGGCCGCTTTGTTGCAGATAGTCTAACCTTATTCTGGGAGATGAAAGACCGCATGGAGAAGCTATTTGTCGCTGGAAGTTTGCAGACGAAACTGTTCTCAAACTCACGGGATCTTACAGGGTATGAAAACCTTAATTGCTCATTTACCGGCCCGTAACACATATGTCCTGCCCCATTTCCAAACGGCCGCCGTTCCGGAACGGCTCTGTTCCCGTTTGAGGCAGAACACATGCTGTTGATTGCCTCTCATACGTGAGAAAATGCAACCGAAATTCCGCGGTCGCAACCGCGCATGATAATCTTCCGCACAGATCGCTCATCAAATGGAATAAAGGAAGTTGCTATTCATGCTCGATTAACTTAAAACTTCAATCTTGAATCGGTACACCCTTGAACCACAAACATAACCTGTTTCCGGCGCCCCTGACCAACATTCGTGGGAGAAACTGGTACCTCGGACACTATGGGTTCAACCTTGAGATTATCAACAACTAAAGCGGACAGCGGCGGGTTCGGCTAGATTGGAAACATCGAAGACTTCTTCGAGTAAAATACGGATGATGACGTCATGGTCGGTTACAATAACCCGCAGCGGAGACGAGCGCATCTCACCAGCCACACGGGAAGCCACGCTTGATACCGAAGTACACCTCCATCGGGGATGTAATCCCAAGCTCAATTCATACACTGGCAATGCACTCTCACGATAATATGATCAGCTACAACGTCGCAGTGGACAAGATCACTGCCTTCGCCGAAGAAGTCGTCAGCACCAGTCTTGCAATCGAGGAACTCCCGCTACTCAAGGCGCTGGATCGGGTTGCGGCGAAGGATGTGCGCGGCCCAGAGGGACCGGAGGGGACGTTACCGAGATGGGACAATTCTGCTATGGATGGGATTTGTGTGAACGCAAGACACATTGCTTCGGCTCAAGCGAAGCTGGCAGCAGCTGCTGGGGAGGACGGAGAATCGGAGGTGAAGATCCGAAGTTTGGGAAGGGTCGTCGCGGGTGACGCTCCACCAACATTTACTCCAAACATGTGGGATTACGAAGATGGCGACATCGTGTGCTATGAGATCATGACCGGCGCACCAGTTCCGAAGGGCAACTTCTTTGACTCAGTCATCAAAATCGAAGACCTCGGTCGTACGCGTCTTGTGCGCCAGATCGAAGAAGACGTTGAACCCGAGCAGTCCATCTTCACACTTCCTTTCACCACGCACATCCTTCAGGGCCAACATATCCGACGCGCAGGTGAAGATATACCCGCTGGGTACCTCTTGCTCTCAAAGGGAACGCTGATAACACCGGGTCATATCGCGCTGCTGGCGAGTTTTGGGATTCTCCGCGTCAGTGTCCCCAGAAGACCGCGTATAGCAATCATCACAACCGGGAAAGAATTAACATCCACTACCTCCGCCACTCCCACTACCTCTTCCCTCGCCGCAGGCCGAATCTTCGATACAAACGGCCCTTACCTCTTCTCAACTCTGCTCTCCACCCATCTTCTCTCCGCTTCTGACATCACCCTTCTCCCGTCACGAAACGACTCCCCCGAGCACTTCGAGGAACTCGTCCTCACACACGTACTCGGCTCTGAAACAAAGTACGACGTAGTGATAAGTACTGGGGCTGTGAGTATGGGCGTACATGATTTCGTACCGGCGGCGGTGAGGAGGTTGGGGTTTGATGTTGGGTTTCATCATTTGGGCATCAAGCCTGGGCACCCGGCGTTGTTTGCTACCTTGCCGAAAGGGGAGCGACAAGGAGGGGTTGCGTTCTTTGCGTTACCGGGAAATCCGGGGGCGGTGGGTGCTACGGAAAGGTTTCTTGTTCGACCGTATCTGCGGACACTACTTGGCCTACCACGAGAAGGGCCTACATTTGCCACCCTGCTGCAGCCTTCTCATATCTGCAAAAAGGTGGGCACACGAAATTGGCTCAAAGCACGATTCGTGCGCTCTACTTCGAATGATGAGGGCTTGGGCGTAGAGGTATTAGATAAGATGCAGGGAAGTGGAATGATGAGAGGTTTAGCTGAAGGAGACTGTTACGTAGAGCTTCTAGAGGGGGCGGAGAGCGTCCAGTCGGGGCAGAGGGTCAGGTGTTGGCGGTTTGGGGGAGAGGGGGTGTAGTTTATGGACACTGCGCGGGCCTGACTAGACAAAAAACAGGGGGATCAAGCTAGGCGAGGTGGCCGTGCCTGAGATGCTGGAAACCGAGGTAGGTGACATACATAACTTATATCCAACATCCAACATCCCAACTCTCTTCATCTAATACTTATCCCAATCCTCAAATCCCAAGTTCAAACACTGGCTGCCCCAATCCGGCTTAACATACCTCTTCGCCCTCTCCTTGCACAACCCATTCAAAGTCTTCATATCCTCCTCATCCAGGCTCACATCCTCGAAGTTCGACTTAATCCTACCCTCCGTCACGGACTTGGGCAACACACTCACCCCACGATGGACCTGGTACGCAATGCAAACGTTTCCGGGGCCCGTGTTGTGCTTTTCGGCGATGCGCTTAATATCGGCGTCGGAGAGGAGGGGGGAGCCGGTGCTGCCGAGGGGGGAGTAGGCTGTGCAGATAATTCCGTTGGAGTGGCAGAACTCAACCAAATCGTGTTGGGGGAGGTAAGGGTGGAGCTCGATTTGGTTGGCAGCGGGGACGACCTTGGCTTCCTTGAGAAGAGCTTTCATCCACGGCACCGAGACGTTCGAAACACCAATCGCCTTGACCTTGCCCGTATCCAACAACTTCTCCATACGCTTCCACGTCGCAATGAAGGGCAACTCCTTCCCCTCCTCGTAGACGCCGACAATATCACGGCTTCCATCCTCATTTCTCGGGAACTTGTGGTCGTTACCATTGGGGTTCATGGGAAGAGGCCAATGCATCAAATACAAATCAACGTACTCCAATCCCAAATTGTGCAAACTCTCATCCAAGGCCTTTTCGGGGTCATCATGTTTCGTGCACCAAAGTTTCGTGGTGACGAACACGTCTTCACGGGGGACTCCAGATTCTTTGAGACCCTGTCCGACTTCGGGTTCGTTACCGTAGATCCACGCACCGTCGATGTGCCTGTAACCAGCTTGGAGGGCGGTTTTGACGGCGGAGGCGGCTTCACCGGGTTGGGAGGCTTGCCAGGTGCCAAGGCCGACGGCGGGGATGGAGGCGCCGGTGTTCAACTTGAAAGTTTGGGTGTAGGGGGCCATTGTGGTTATGTTGGTAATCACTACTGTGAATGATTGTGTTGGAGATCAATTGGGGGCGTGTGGGGTTCTTCTGGTGGAGGGGTTGATTTAGCCGGCAGGAAGCGCTGCCGGCGTCGCGAGGGCCGCAGCGTCATGACGCACATGCACCGCTGTGGTTGTAAGAAGTGATTGTGTTTGGATGTAGAACCAAAGCTGCCAAAACATCCCCTTTATATAGTTAGATTTCTGGACCGGTTTTCCAGAAACCCGTCCACAACGAAGCCGGTCCACAAAGAAGCCGTAGTGTGACTCGACACACTACAGTGGTTATGAGGGCACGTGATATGGTTATGTAGGGTTCTAAGTCATTCTCCCTAAATCTATAGATCCTGCCGTTGTATTTGCTGTCCAGCAGCGATATCGTAGTTGCAGCTGGCGTCCGTGGCCAGATCGGACATATCATTTGTCGAGTGTCCCAAGAGCCGCTCCTGTCGATGGCTTGCGAGTTGCTTAAGTGTGGTGATCTCCATCACGCCGCCTGTACAAGCTCGTCAGTACGAGTCATCGCTATTTCCGGCGTGCCCGTACCTCTTCTGTCATCTGATTTCATCCCAAACTTCCTTCACTTCTTCTTCCCATCCACCTTCCCAGCCTCCTCCCTCCCTGCCCCATTCCCATTTTGTGCCACATCTCCATCAGATGGCAGTGAACCCTTTGCCTCCAAACTCCTCAACAACTCATCCAGCTTCCCGTGTATCGCATCCAGTTTCCCTTCGATGTCTGTTGCCGCTGTCTCCGCTTCGTTGAGGGATTGAAGGGCGGAGAGCAGGTCTTGTTGTTCTTTGGTCTGTATGGGTGCCGGCATTCTATCCTTTAAGCTTCTTGAGAGTGTAGAAGATGTGTGAGGTGTTTGGGGAGCCCGAGGAAACGGAAGATGTGGGGGTGATGTTGGGGTGCGTCGAATTGCATGAGGTGGGCAACGTCGGTGTTTCCAATTCGTGGGATGCGGTTTGTGAGGGTTGCACAGCCTCTTGGTTGGTTGTTCTTATCTGTTCACGGGTCTTTTGGCTTCAATATATACACGAACTGGTACCTCCGTTCTTACGTTCGCTCATCTCCTTTCACCTCCTTACAGAACGAAACATCATGTCTACGCCGTCAGCGAAGGAAAGTCCTATCACCGTGGCCATTGGTTTTGGCACAACTTTCTCGGATATTGCATTCTCCTGGAAGGGCGATCCCAATAACGAATTTACACAATCAATGACTGGCAGGGGCAGAGTACGACTGGGGAAAAGGTACCATCCGACAATGCACTTTGTGTATATGCAGGACTATCTAAAGATTTTCCGCTGCAGGTGCTCTCCGTTATTTATTACGATAGATAGGGGAATTACGTTGGGTGGGGCAATGACAACAAGAATGCGATGGATTACCTTAAGCGCCCCACAAGTTTGAAAAAGGGATACGTGAAGGTTGAGTGGTGAGCAAGGTCTCCTACGGTTATGAAGTATTGTTTAATATTCGTGTCACCTTGGATGGGAATGATTTGGTGGCCGATCTGATCTTCAAAAGCAAGACGTATGGCCGTCAGCAAATCAGGTTCAACGGGACTACGATGAAAAGAAAAGCGGATACATAATGCCTGTGAACGGTGCAGGCTGGGTGAGAGGGCACTTCGATTGGAAACTAAAGGTGTGCAGAATATTCGGGTGTAAGATATGTATGAAGCGCAAGATGATCATGTATAGCTTAGCTACATGCAAATGTCCTAGGTTGAGAAAAAAGCCTAATCAGAACTGACGAAATGTTATTGGAGAAAGAGTTCAATCAGGACTTCAATCTTTACTTATGATAACGACACACCCATTGAATCTGACCTATCCAATTCCACCTGTTTGGTGTTTGCTCGTGGAGCTCGCATCGATCAGGAGCTCATCTAGAGTGAAGGTCGACATAGATGAGAGGAGGAAGGGGAAAGCCCAGGTAGGAAGTGTCATGCCTCATTGTCACAGAGACCGGGTGCTTCATGTCTCGTACGCGTACCTAATGTGTCGATTCAAAACTCGTGGGAATTGTAAGTGATAAGTGAGGCCACCACGACCAGGCCCGGCAGCTGTTTAGGATCATATTTCTGTATGAAGGAAACTCATATCAATTGCAGGAGAAGAACTTCATTCAAGCCCCTGTTCGAGTCGCACGGTGACTGTACCGTTCTGCATCCCCTGCGCCGGGATGCGCCGCCGGTGTTTGCATACGTACGACCATTACGCAACCAAGACCCTTCCAAATACCCTTGATCAAAGCGACAGCCATCACCAGTTCAGGAGGTATCACAATTGATAGAGAAGCATCTAAATATGGCCGAAGCCGAGCTCAAATTGTACCAGAATATGCAATTGTTGCTCTTTTCCAGCAGCTAACACCGTCCGGTACAGACTCAATGCCGTCGAGCTCAAGATCGCACTCTCGGACACCGATGCAAAACTGCAGAAGACATTGTCGATATATTTATGTCCGCTGCTATTGAAATTAGGAAGTGAGCATGCTGCGCCGAGGAATAAGGTAAGGCCGAAGAAGCCGTTGAGCGTGCACCGATCATGACTAACCTGGGGCTCACAGGTCATCTCAATTTGTCAACATATCTCGAAACGTATTAAGTCGAATCCGGGGATAGCCTTGCCGGTGGATGCCTTGTTGGCGCAGTTCTTAGATGCGAGAGTGAGCGCCTTCACCAAGAACTTTACCTTGATTTACTTGGACATGGCTATCCGCCACCTCCCATCCGACAAATCAACCGCACTTCTACCAAAGCTGGTACAGGGCATCCCCACCCACCCAATCCCCCACCAGAAAACCCTTCTCCACCTCATCCTACACATCCTCCCACAATGGACCCCACCCACTGAAGCCGAACAACAAGAACAACAGAGAGGGGAGATGGGGTTTGAGGAGAGACCGGAGGATGCGAGGTGGATCGCGGAGAAGATTAAGGATTTGATGTTGTTGACCTTAGCCGGGTTTCGGGTACGGCATGTGAATGCGAGCCGGGGGAGTCGGGAGACACTGTCCTTAACAGGACGGAGGAGAAGTGGAGCGGGGTCAGGGCCCATGCCTGGGATGTTTGGCAGCGATGCTCCTCCCACTGGCGGAACCGGGGAGGACGCACAGATTCAAGACCAGGAGATGGTGGATGCGGATGAAGACGGAACGGGCATGGAAGAACCTGTCCCAACAGGCCCCGCCCACGCCTATCTGTCAAGTCCAAACCTCTCGGCGGCCGCATTCGAGTTCTTGACAAACAACAACCCCTCTACAATTCCTCCCTCCACCCTCACTGCCCTCAAACTCGCTTCCCTCCGCTTCCTCACCTCCCCCGCCTTCACTTCCGAAGAGAAGTTACCGGGGATTGTGGTCGCGACACAAGACGGGAATCACGAGATTAGCGGCATGGCGGAGGATGCCGTTAAAAGAATGGGGCTTGATTGGGAAAGTAAGGGAGTTGTGGGTGGGTTATTTCAGCTTTGGTCAGGGGGTGATGGGCCACTTCCTTGGCCCGTCGCTGTCAAGGTTCTCAACCTGCTCTCGAAAAGTGTGAGAGCGGCGAATGAGGTTGGAAGTGTCGTGGCAGTGTGTCAAAACGTTCTCAACCCCGCGAATGAGATACGCTTATCGCCGAATGTTAAGCATCCGAAATTGGTGCAGGCTACTGTTGGGTTTATTCATTGGGTTGCACGCATGGCGAGGAAGGAGACGGTTGAGGCCATTGCGGGTTTCTCGCTCGAACGAGCTGAAAGTGTCGTCACCACCCCGCTGCCGCAGGGTGGGTATTTGACACCCGAACAGGAGGGTTTGAGGGGGTTGTGGTGGGTGTTGATTGGGTTAATTGGGAAGCGGTGCCCGGAGAAGATCTTTGCCAGGGCGGGGTTGGTGAAGGTTTTGTTTGAGGCATTGAGCACCGAGCCGAAGAATTTGAGGCATTCGGTCGAGGAGGCGATTTCGCTGCTCATCCCAATCTTGCACAATCCGCCCGAGCCACTCGCGTCTCAACTTAAGACACTGTTGCTGGAGCAGATGTTACGTGGTCAAGCGAGCGCGCGGTATACGATTGTGCGCACTGCGATCTCTGCATTCCCGATGGGTGATGTCAGGGCCAGGTGGATCTGTGTGTTGGGGCTCGTACAGGGTGCGGGAGGTGGGAAGGGGAAGGCGGATGTTGCTGAGGAGGCGAGGAAGGGGCTTAATCCGCATTGGTTTCGTGTCGTGAATACTGGGTTTGCCACTGTCAAGAAGGAAAAGACGCTGGGCGGGGAAGTGAGGGAGAGGGATCCCTATACCTTGCCAACGTTTATGCGATTCATGGAGACCGTCGTAAGTGGGATTCCGACGTTGAAGGAAGTCCCCGAATATCAGCAGGGAAAGCTGGTGATGGGAGTGCCCGTGCCGATTTTCGAGGGGGTGGTGCAGTTTGCGAGACAGCTTTTGGTGATGGAGGCGGTGAAGAAAGCTGGGCTCAAGCTTGCTGTTGATGAGAATTGGGAGGTTATGTTGGATAACGCTATTGAGGTTGATGGGGCGACCAGAAAGGCGGTTGGCAGTCTCGTGACTGACCTCGGTAACAATGGAGAAGATGCGAAGCTGCGGGATTACCTTGATATGCTGTGTAAGGGACTGCTCAGTCAAGACGGTTTACTCGCCACTAGGTGTGCGGGATGGATCTTGGAACTGTTGGCGGTTGGTGGCTCGGCTATCACAGCTGATGTTAGGCAACTCAACATTGGTGGAGTGAAGGATCTGGTGTTCGGTAACAAACCGGAAATGCGGGAGGTCGCTGCGCATATCACGGCTTTGCTGATTACGGGTAACGGTTCTGCTGAGGAACTTCAGGCTGCGCTTAAGGAGTACCTCGAGAAGGTTACCAAGGGCACTCAAGAGCATGCTCATGGATCTATCTTGGCCATCGGATACGTCGTCAGTCGGTTGTCTGCACGCGGGAAGTTGGATGTTCTACCATCCGAGTTGGTGCAGGAATGCGTGGTGACGGTTTTCGACGTGCTGAGGAGCTCGGCGACCAATGCGCCCATGCTTGCGGGTGCAGTTGTAGAGGCGTTGGCGGAGATAGGTTCGTATGTTGTATTGAAGGATTTGGAGACGTATACGTCTGGAGATGTCACAGTCAGCCGTTCTGATATCGTTGCGCAGCTTGTTCGTGTGTCTAAGGAGGCGAAGGATAACTCTTTGAAGGACAAGGCGATCATGGCTCTTGGCCGTATCTCTGTATCTTTCCCACAGGACGCACCAGAGATTGAGACCATCTTAGGCGCCATTTATGCGGTGCACGAAGCGAAGCAGGTTGAGCTTACGATGGGATCTGGAGATGCGTTGTCCTGTGTCGCAGGAGCATGGCAGTCCAAGGCATTGTCGACTCACCTCGATATCGGAGATGTGCAGCCCCCTGTCGTCGAACGGACCAAGCTTTCCGAGAGGATCGTTGAGCAAGTTCTCACTGAGCTCGTTACTTCGCCCAAGCCTATCCTGCGCAAGGCGTCATCGTTGTGGCTCTTGTCCCTCGTGAAGTTCTGCGGAGATATGCCTGCCGTCCAGTCTGCCTTGAAGCGTTTCCATGTGGCGTTCTCCTCGTTTCTGGGTGATCGAGATGAGTTCGTTCAGGAGACGGCATCAAAGGGTCTTAACATGGTCTATCAGGCTGGTGATCAGGCGTTGAAGGACGAGTTGGTGAGGAGTCTCGTTGGGTCTTTCACTGGCGAGAAGAAGGTACAAAGCGAGATCACGCAAGACACGGAGCTGTTCGAGCCTGGTGTTTTGAGAACAGGTGACGGTCCTGGGGGTAATGGAAGCATCTCCACCATGAAGGACGTGATGTCTCTTGCCTCTGAGCTCAACAACCCTGACTTGGTTTACAAGTTCATGAACTTGGCCAACAGCTCGCGTGCTTGGCAGAGCAGGAAGGGTGCCGCATTTGGCTTGGGAGTCTTGGCTGATACCTCGCTAGACGAGATTTTCAGTCAGAATCCCCAGCAGGCAGCGAAGTTGTACTCCAAGCTGTTCACCTACCGCCATGATCCCAACCCTGGAGTGGCGAAGACTATGGGAGATATCTGGAAGCAGGTGACGAAAGACGTGAACACCGTTGTGGAGACGTACTTTGATGCAATCTTGACGGAGGCACTTCGTGGTCTCGGTGAAAAGGCGTGGAGGAGACGTGAGGCAAGCTGCTCTGCACTCGCCGAGCTCATTTCGGGCCAACCTTTGGCCAAGATTATGCCTCGCATCGACGAAATTTGGCAGTCGTCCTTCAGGGCGGCCGATGATATCAAGGATAGTGTCCGCCTGGCCGCCATGTCACTTTGCAAGACCTTGACAAACCTCATCGTGCGCTCTGCTGATGCCGACAACGTATCATGGACGGACGCTAACCGGGTCCTTACCACCGCTATGCCGTTCTTGCTTGGAAGGTTTGGGTTGCATTCGGACGCACAGGAGGTTCAAGCCTTCGCCATTGACACGATCATCAAGCTCTGCAAGTCGTCCGGTCCGGCATTGAAGCCCTTCCTCTCCCAGCTCATTGACGAACTGCTTGCCCTGATGACAGCTCTTGAGCCCCAGGCTGTCAACTACCTCAGTTTTCACGCAGGCAAAGATTACACCCAGGAGCAGTTGGACCAGGCTAGATTCCAAGCTGTTCGCAGCTCTCCGATGATGGATGCTATCGACCGTTGCGTGGATCTGCTTGATGAGGAGATTATGGGCGAAGCCGTGAAGGTTATCTTGAAGAATGCCCGAAGTGTTGGATTGCCGACGAAAGCGGGTGCTGCGAAGGTGATTGTCAACTTGACCTTACGTAAAGGCGAATTGCTCCGTCCCCATTCAAACACTGTTCTGAAGCAAGTGACGCAACTTCTATCTGATAGGAGTATTACAGTGCGCAAATCATACGCTGCCACCATTGGCTACGTCGCCCGTTTGACGGATGGCGAGAAAACTCTTGCCTTGGTTAATGAGCAGTTTCAGAACTTCTTCGAAGCAGAAGATGAGATTACCCATATGACGGCGGGTATCACGTTGAATGCCATTTCAAGCCACGCCTCTGACAAGTTCAATGCGCTTGCTTCTTCGATTCTGCCGAATGTCTTCATCGCAAAGCAGGACTTGTCTGAAGCGGCGTCCAGCCCCTTCAAAGAAGCTTGGGAGCAGAACACAGGTGGTCAGGGAGCTATTCGTCTCTATCTCAAGGAACTTACCGAGCTGATCTCGAAGTATCTGGAGCATCCCTCATGGCGCGTAAAGCAGATGGCTGCTCGCGCTTTGAAGGAGATTACGGAAACGGACATTGCTCTGCCGATGGAAACTTACCTTCCCCTGCTTATCAAGGCTGTCGCTGGGCGATCCTGGAAAGGCAAGGAGACTATCCTTGACGCCTTTGTGAACGTGGTCAACAAGCACAAGACTTATATTAAAAACAAGTCCGGGCAGCAGGAGGAGATCACCAACATTGTAATCCGCGAAGCGAAGAGAAACAACGCAGATTACAAGCCATTCGCGATCGGCGCCTTGGCCAAATACGTTGATGCGAACGAAGTCGATCTCTTCGTCACCATCTATGAAATTGTTAGTCCTGTCCTGGTCAAGTCTCCAGAGGCGATGGACGTGGATTCTGAGGATTTGGAGGCGAAGCCCATGTATGTATATGGGGAACTCTCCATCTGCCACGAAGCTAACCGAATTATAGGCGTTTGGTGATGCAAAACAACTCGATCAAAGCCTTGGCGGCTGCTATCCATCCATCTGTGGACACGATGCTTGGTGAGGACATGCCCCCCCCCATACTTTGAACGTGACTGACGCATACTGCGTAGCCGAACACCTGCACACTCTCGTTGACATTCTCGTCGCCAATATGAAGACCTCGGTATGGAACGTCCGCATTGGTATCAGCGAAGCCATCAAACAAATCTGCGAGCGCCTTGATTCTGTCACGCCAACCCCCGCGATCGACGCTGCGCTGCTGCAAAATCTGTGGGATGTATTAGTACAGATTACGAGTGATCGAGCTTACGACAGCGTCAGGACGGCGGGTGTGAGGGCCTCATTGGCCTACTTGAAGCTGGCACGGAAGTCGGAGGCCTGGAAAACGGTTCGAGAGAGCGTTGATAAGGATCTGGCTAAGTTGAAGATGGAGGAACCGAGCACGGTTGTTTTGGCTGAGTGGGAGAAGAAAGCGTCAGCGCGTCATTTCTGAATGTGCGGTGATCCTCATCTAGTTCTAGGCACGGAATGGCTATGATACCCTTTAGAACTTAAATTCAAGTCGTGCTTTTCTCGGATATATACTTAAGTGTAGTCAGTAATATGATTCGGCAGCTGGCTGAACTTCTATTCAAAAGAGAAGTCAGCGAACGTTAAAAATCAATTCCAAAAAACAACTGTTGTAAGACCAGCTTGCGTGCTACGCAAGTCCAAAAGAAATAACTCCACACCAATGTCCAAGACTCCCTTTGCTAATCCTTTAACCAGTGCTGTACCCTTTTCAGTTACTCAAACGCCTCGCCTTTACGGCCATCCTGTTCTTCCTGGCGGTCTCCTCCCTGACCTTCTTAACTCTCATCACTCTAGACAACTTCTCCTTCAACGCCTGCTGACGGAGGGTCTTCTCGCGTTTCCAAGATGGCACGTGTTCAAGCTTCGGTCTCTCAGGAACCCATTCCCTGATCCCACAGCCAATGCCGCGGATCGTCCTGGGTCCACTTTGACGTTGGTGCTGGGGAGGGTTGAGGCGAGCGGTGATTGCCGCGATACGGTCCAACACAGCATCATCGATATCGCACAACATTCCGTAGATGTAATCGTAATCTTCTTCGCGGTCGTACGCGTAGGTACTGTACTTGAACTCCCCGAGAGCGATCTTCAATGTGAGCGTCTCAAGTGCACCGCCGATCTCCTCTCGGCACTCCTGCAAGCTCTGTTCGCTCAACTCGGTGAACTCCGCCAAGACATGTGGGTTCTCGGCGAGCTGAGTGTGAAACTCAGTCAAAGCAGCTCCTACATCAGCAGCCCTGTTGAGGACGTCCGGGATGGTAGGACGCTCCTCGATGGACGATTCGGTGGGGAAGAGGTACGCGTGGTAGGTGTTCTGAACGACGCTCAAAAGGGATGAAAGAGCGCCGTGGACGCGGTTGAGGACGTATATCGGGTGGAGGAGGGCACCAGCAATGTGGATCTGCTCCGAGCTGAACTCAGTGAGTCCTGATCCGACGGAGTCGGACGCGTCGAAGATAGAGGAGTCGTCGGAGATGACGGACTCGGCGTAGAGCTCTGCGGCAGCAGACTCAAAAACGGTAGTAGCGAAGTTAGACATGTTGATAGTTTGCTTGTAATTCGTGTTGTGTAGATCGAGATAGAGGTTCGACGTTTAAAGAGAGTGCTGTAACTCCGTAGACGATGTGGAAAGTTGCGAATGGATGGAGGTCCGAAGTAGGGGGTTGGCCCTCCTTTTATCCTGGAAGGACCCAAAGCGTTTGTACTTTGCGCTCGGATCAAGTCAAAGATGTCATTGATCCATCGGGGGCCCGAGCGCTGATTTCTGAGTGACAATTTCCTGTTTCGGCTTAGCGCAATCGAGGGGAAGCCACTAGGATGTGCGGATGGATGCGCTAAGGCTGCCCGAAACGGTAATTATGTCAAGGAAACGGGTGTTAGGATTGTGTGAGGCAAATATGAGGAGCGTGTCTGGTTAGTCATTGTCAATAGTAACGGTTTTGAGCAGCTTGATCGCGTCCTTTGGCTGCGATGATGATGTTATGCAACGTGTAATGAACTCAAATTATGCCAAAGGATCAGCCGCGGCCCAGGATCTACTGGGCTGTACAGAAGGCCCTGCTCTCCTGCAACTAGCGCTTCAGCTTCGCGGATGCGTGAAGTCAAGCAAGCACCTTATACCTGTGATATTCAGCACGGATATCTTTGAAGAAAAGCAATCCAAACGACTTCCCCGATCTCACCAGATGACATGCTCAGTGTATGTCAACGCACTTACTGCCGCTTTTTCATTGAACGTTTCGGGACGCATGTCCATCCGTCGCGTACTTTGAGGTCCGCCTCCTACCGCGCTACTCGGAGATTTTGATCAAGGTCAGCTGCCCATTGATGGACTCAACGATCTTGGTTTCCATGAGATCGAGAGCTATTAGCGCGTCTGAGCAGTTGGGACCGCCAGTTCAAAATGGAGACCTTCCTCCGTCCTAACGTTTTTCAACTTTCCACCTTTCCGCAGGCCAAGAACGCTCTCTTCCACGACAATCACGAACAGCACCCTTCTCTACATACACTCTCTGAAAACTATCAACATAGAGTGCTTCAAAACCCTCACTCGTTCTCTCGTTGCTGTTTTCGAACGAAACCACGTGGGCGGCCGGTCTCCCTCTGCGACCGAAAACGTCCAAGACGCGCCGCGCAAGACCTCGAGGAAGAGAAAGCACTCGGCGAACAAGCAGACAACCTGCAGAACTTGTGGAAACACGATCGATACAATTAAGAGGATGTGGTGTACATACTGTCATCACCATCAGCTTGAGCTGGTCAGAAGCTCTATCGAGCACAGTCTGGATTCTCACGCGGCCGCGCCGGCGCTCGAGCTTGCCTCTCACACCGGGACGAGGATCCAAGTGCAAGCCCACAACACCACCACCAACATCGATAAAGCTCTTCCAAGTCGTTCAAGGAGCTTCGTCATGGATTCCAACTACCAATATATCCCAGAATCCAACTCTGTCATCAAAGAGCGCACGCGAGCCACACATCAGACTTCGCGCGCTTACGCATACATCCCCGGTCAACACGAAGAGCTTCGCCGCGAGACGAAGGAAGAGCGTCAGACCCGTGCGAAGTGGGCGGTGGCTAAGGCTATCGCGGAGAAGAAGCTCATGGCTGCGACTCAACAGCAGGCAGATGTCCAGACGCGCGACCGCAAGGGGAGGGCGGTAAAGGCCGAGGACGCAACCGTCCGTCTCGTCCACTCTGACCGTGACTCCCTCATCTCCAACGGTTCTTCCTCAAGAGCCTTAACCGAGTTCACGGACGCCACCTCTATCACCGCCGAAACTGAGCGCACGTCCTTCGAACACCACAAGAAGAAGAAGGAATGCGAGAACTGGTTGGGTTTCCACCTTGTGAAAGAGACCCGACCGGATTTTGGACGTATGCTCCATACCCACCTCGCTCCGGAGTTCAATGCCTGGAACGCGGGGATGCTCATCACCGAGATGCAGCGAACCTTTGAGCCGTTCCCATACACGCCTGAGCAGTTGGAGAGTGGTGAGGTGAAGAAGGGTGAGGAATTGTCCAGGAGGGTTAGGAATGCGAAGGTTACGGTCGTGCCGCATGTGAGGGAGGTCGGGAGGATTGTTTACGAGCGGGAGTTGGTTGGGATTGAAGTTTGAAGGGCGTTTTGAGATCACGCGGGGTTGAGATGGAGGTTTCTTGCGATGTATGCTACGGTAGACTAACGGGATGGAACGATATGGATGGACACGGCGCATGGATGTTACGGTCCTGATACACATTACGGGTATGGTAGGGCATAATTGATGCAGTCTTGACAATGACATTAACATGCACGTCACTGCTCCCCGTGTACATGTATATCCAGATTGCTACATGCGCTTCGGCTAAGGTGTATCACTTGGTCACGAAGGAAACCAGGGACCTCCGTATATCTCGATGAAGAAGGCTAAGGTCCCCGGTACACGTGCCCGTAGTTCTCACGGTCACCAATAGCCAGGTTGTCAGAACGACATCTCGAGGGACCGTCTTAAGCCTCAACCCGTACCTGCAAGTCCGATGAATAGTAACCTGGCACCACTTGAAGACAATTTCTTTTTCTAAATAGTCGGGACCCACAGAGATCAATTGCTCAGTTTGTATGCCTGGGGGATAAAAAGTGGTTCTCAAACTTCACATGAGGGTGTTGAGTATACGGATGAACTTTTTCCGGTGTTGTCGAGTAGAGATCATAATGGACCCTACTGCACGTTATCGTCTTTCCCACGGGGGCAGGTGCAACAAAACGGGTTTTACGGCACCTCGAGGGACCTTGGCAGGCACTAAGCAATGTCTTTAAGAGCAGTGAGTGAGTGCGAGTTCGCTTCCGACTTCATCAGCTTTCTAAAGTTTCCGGAAGGTGCACTGCAGACGGGTATGCGACGCCCCTCGCCGCTGCCGATCTGTGCGTCATCCGGCCGATCCGTTTCCTTCCACGCCGAAAACTGCACATCCCTACAAAAGGCCCCCATTCAGCTCCTCACCACCGACCATTCACAGCAAATCACAATGTCCATCGAAGGTAAACACCACGACATCTACCCCGCAATCGACCCCTCCAACCCCTCCTCCGGCCTCGCCAATGCCGCCGAGGGACGCACCGTCATCATCACCGGTGCCGGCCGCGGAATCGGTCGTTCGATCGCGTTGAACCACGCCAAAGCCAACGCGAAGATCATTGTCCTCGCTGCTCGTACCGCGTCCCAATTAACCGAGGTCGCGGAGGAGATCAAGAAGATCAATGAGGGTATCAAGATCTTGGAGGTCGAGACAGACATCACGGATGCCTCGAGCGTAAAGAACCTGATCGAAAAAGCCGTGCAGGCAACGGGGAACGATGGTCTCTACACCCTCTTCAACAACGCCGGGATCCTCGAACCGAACCTTACGATCGCTGAATCGGATCCAGACACCTGGTTCAAAACCTGGGAAGTTAACCTAAAATCAACATACCTCCCAACCCACTACCTCCTCCCCCGTCTCTCCCCCACAACTCCTAAGCCCCACTACATTATCAACACCTCCTCCATCGGCTCCCGCGGTACCCGAGCCGGGTTTTCGGCGTACCAACCCTCCAAAACCGCAATTAACCGCTTCACAGCATTCCTCGATACCGAACACCATGTCTCTCACAACCTCATCACGTTCGCTGTTCACCCGGGAGGCGTGATGACCGAGTTGGCGAGGGAGAGTATGCCGAAGGATACGTGGGGGTTGTTGTGTGATACGCCCGAGTTGATGGGGGGTTTTGGTGTTTGGGTTGGAAGTGGAGCGTGCGATTGGGCTAGGGGGAGGTATTTGGAGTGTAATTGGGATGTGGAGGAGATTGGGAGCAAGAAGGGAGAGGTTGAGGGGGGGTCTGAGTGGGGGAGGACTATCGTTGTGGTGTAGGTAGGGGGTACTGTTGATGACAGAGAGTGATCAGGGGGGTTAGAATGACCAGTTACCAAAAGAGATATATGCGTATTTCGCTAAAAATGTAGTGAGCAACAACTAATACTAGTCCGGCTAAGTATAAGCTTAATCTGTCCCCGCGTCACCGACATAACCTCACGATCGTCTCCACGCCCCTCACCTTACGTCAAATCATCAGAATAAGGAGCATCCGTCAACTGCACCGCCCTCCTCCCCTCCAACGACCCCCGCTGACTCAAACCCCCCTGCTCCACCCTCATCGCCGACGACCCAGCATCAATACTCTGCCTCTGCAAATTATGCGACATGGTCATGACATCCGCATCATCCGTCGGTGGCACGAATGGCGCATCCTGCGAAGGAGGCGTGAACGGAAGATCTTGTCGTCCGCCGATACTCCTACGAGAACGGAAGCTTTGGCTTGGTGTGCGGCGGGTGATGACTGCTGAGCGGCCGAGGGAGGGTTTCTTGCCGATGGAGGGGGGAGGAGGTTTGTCGCCTGTGGCTGTGGGTACGGCTTGAGTTAGAGAGGCGTAAATGGGGGAGGATTCGTTATCCTTGGGGGGAACGAAGGGTGCGTCGCCTTGGGGTGGGTTAAAGGGCGCTGCGTCATGAGGGACTGACGGTGGCATGAAGGGGGCATCACCATCCCTCTCCGCCCGCATCTGCGCAAATCCAGCCCCACCAGCAGCCGCAGGAGCCGCAGGCTCAGCCAACGCAACCGGAACCGGCTGCTGCACATCCTCCTTCGGCGGAACAAACGGCGCATCACCCTGCCCAACGGCTGCAAAACTCGCAGACGACAAATTCCTAGGCGATCGTGGTCCCGTCTCCTGCCCAGCCAAACTCGTGGGCCGAGAACGCACACTCGGACTCCCGAAACTCTGTAAACTGATTCTCTTCCCCGGTGGACTCGGACTCCGACTCTTGTTCGAGCCACCCCTCGAACTTGGACGCGAGCCGCTCGAGGATGTCTGACTCTGCGACGCATTCGCACCGTTGCGTTCACGATGGGCTTGCGCAACAGCTTGACGTCGAGCCTCTTCAAGTGAGCGTCGATGAGACTCATCCGTCGCAGCCCTCGGCCGTCCAGACATCGTACTAACCATCGTACTCGCCCGCTTGAGATCATTAAAGATCTTATCCTTATACCCCAACAAATCCTGAATCAACCTCGCCGCATGCCGATCATCAAACGTCAAACTCGACGGCTGGCGTGGTCTCAAAATACACAACGACAGCGAGGAGGCGAGATCGCCGACATATGATGATTCCTCACCATTGGTGATTTGGATGAGACGGACGAAATGTGTCATCAACGCATCGAGTGTTGCGATATTCGTTTTCCGGAGTTGGCCTAGTGCGTTTTGTAATGCGTTTAACCTGTTTCGAGGGTCCTCGTCGTTGCCGTGTGTAGCGTAGATGGTCTTCACGAGATCATACACCGTACAACTAACCAACGAATCCGGCAACTCCAACAAATACAACTTCAACACCCCCGCCACGATCGCGACCTCATACTGCGCCAGCACCTCTTTCCTGACCGCTTGTCCGTCGTTGATCGAGTGCCGGAGATGGTGGGTAGCGGGTAACGGAACGTTGGCCAACCAAATCCCACGCCGCTCGTGGTCGTTATCGAGATCGGGATAATGCTCATCCAAGAACGACAAAATCGTACTCACGATATTCGGAACCCGTTTCCGATCCGCACGCGTCTTCAACTCGATATCGACACCAAACGTCTGTTCCCGCGCCGAGCTATAATAACTCTCATAGGTAACAACCTTCGGAATAAACGGTCCCGTCCGATAACTCTCAATGATATACCGCAAGTCATTGACAGGACTAATCGTTTCTTGGTACAACAACATATTATCCACACTCGCCTGAATCCCCGGAATCACATTCGATATCGCAGCGGACATGTCAAGCATGACGGATTTAATCGCCGTCAACCTATCCAGCTCGCATTTCTCGACGAATCGGAGATGTTCGAACATACTCTCCTCCAACTCTGCCCGGATTTTATCGAGTTTCTTGATGGCGACCTTGTATGTTTCGTCCGCTTCGGTGGCTTCGCGTTTTAGGCGTTGGGCTGGGGATTCGTCTGGGTGGGCTTGTTTGTCGAGGTAGGATTTCATGTATTCACCGACGTAGGGCATGTTTGTAATCGTCGACGAATCGCGTTTCGGGTCGTGTTGGGGGTTGGAGGAGTGGATGAGTGCTTTTGGGCGCCATTGGTAGCTGAAGATGGAGGAGTTGGCGAAACGTTGGCCGACTGAGCCGACTAAACGGAGGTATCCGTTATCTACGAGGTCTTGACCGCATTTCTCGGCGTTAGCGACACCCCTCGCCCCCAAATTCGCCATAATCCATTCCGTGATGACATCCCCCGAACTACAATGCTGATACGTCCCCAAAATCGGAACTTTCACATCCTTTTGTGGGATCTGCGTCAACATTTTCTTGATCAATCCGCCGATCTCTTCGGGTGAGTAGGAGTTATCACCGATTTTGATGAGTACGGGGGCTTTCTCGATGTGGATTTCGGGGGGGTTGGCGGAGGTTGGGGAGAGGACTGGGACGCCGGTTACGTCGGAGGTAACAGTGTTTGTCGAGTCTCGTCGGTCTTGTTTCTGTGGGACCTGGAATGCGTATTTGTTCTCTTCTTCCTGTTTGCGGTATCATTAGCTCGATTTGTGTGTAAAAACCAGCTTGTTAGAAGCACAAACCAGATCCTCGACAAGTCTGCACTTATTAAAGTACACGCTCCTCAACTTCTTCACGTTCTCGCTCAGTTTATCATGTGTCTTGACACGACTGAACAATGCATCATGAGAGCGTGTAATCCGTTGTTCGTGGTCTTGTGCCCACAGCCCAAAAGGTCTGAGTACCATCGTTTGTAAATTCGCCGCGATCTTCTGATGATTAAGTCCAGCCTGTACCAAAACCAGAGATTAGCATGCATTCACACCCAGATCTGACAAAGTTAAGGTACCTGCTCCATCTCCTTCTTCACCCCATCAAACGCCTTCCTCGTACTCGCCCCCTCATCCTTCCCAAACCCTCCCGCAACCCCAACCCCAACACCAGCAAACCCCTTCGTCGTCGTCGACTCCTTCGATAAGTCGATGAGGCGTTGTCCGTATGCTTCCTCGGCATCTTTCCGGGCGCGGGCAAGAGCGAGGATTTCGGCGTTTTCGACACAGCCTTGTTGAAGTTTGGAGAAGAGGATGCCGAGGCCGGAGGCGTAGTCGGCGGACCAGAAGGAGTTTGCGAAGGAGAGGGTTGAGGTTGCGGGACCTGCTACGCTTGCTCTCCTTACTGCGGACAGCTGAGTTTGTGGTGTGGATTGTTGAACGGTTGGGGGGATAGGCGATGAACCCGCAGCGGGGAGTGGACGGTCCTGTACGCCCAGCTGAGGCGGAACATCTTGGTCTTGCTCCATGTCGTCTCGATTGACTGATCAAACGGTCGCTCCTCCAACAAGCCGTTCAGGGGTGGAAACTGTATGACGATGGCTCTCAGGCACAGTCAGGCACAGTCAGGCACAGTCAGGCACAGTCAGGCACGGCCCACGGGTACTGCTGACCCAACTTGCCGGAGAAGGGCAAGTCTCGAGAAGTTCTGGACATCATTGACATAGATAGAATGCACCCTCCCTTCCGCCAATGACTTAGAGACAGGACCAATTGGCCCGTCTGTGCTTTGTAGATCAACCCCGAGGGCCGACAGCCGATTAGCAGCAGCCGAGAACCAACAGTTCCTATCCCCTGCTCGACAGAGAGTTTGGGAAGCGATAAGAGCCTGCCGTGCTAACCGATCTCCAGGGAGAGCACGGAGGTAGTCAATATAGCTCGCCAGAAGAACAATTCGGCGGTCGGATAAGGATAGCTCCGCTAGATCAAGATACAGCGGGGCAAGAATGGAACGGGGGGAGACACCAGTCGCTATCCTCATAGCTGTTTTGTGCAGCACATCGAAGTCGGACTGAAGAGGGCCATCGAAAGTGACAACCATTGCGTAAATGAGGTAACGTTCCACCAAGGCGCGGTACAACCTCATATAGACTCTGGGAGGGAGTCTACCTACCAGGTGTTTGAGAGCATGGAGGGAAAATAGTGTCCGGCGAGCCTTAGACAAAGCTCCTCTGCGATGAGCGAGAGAAGACCATAGTCTTGAGGAGGATACCACAACCCCGACGTACTCGAACTCGTCGACCACGGTCGGCGGCTCTGCGGAACGGTCAACATACACCTTAACCGGGTTAGCGTTCGTGGAGGAGCGGCCCGGAAATGTAAGCACTTTGGACTTGTCCCCATTGATAAGAAGCCTCCACTGAGAGCAGAAGGTTACCAAGGAGTCCAAAAGCGACTGAAGGCCAGCTTCGGAATATGCAAAGAGCGCAATATCATCTGCCAGCAGAAGGCAGGGAACTTTAATTCCCCCCAGTGAAGGTGCGTCAACACCGGGAGGGAACCAAAGATCCGCCAGGAAGAGAGCAAAGAGTGTAGGGGAGAAAGGGTCCCCCTGGACTACCCCGTGATAGTAAAGGAAAGCCCTAGAATGACCAGAGGAAGACCATACAACACTGGTAGTGTTGGAGTAGAGGGAGGATACGGCTTCGATGACTCTGCCAGCACCACCCATGAATCGAATTTTAGCCATGAGGAGGTCTCTATCGATGGTATCAAAGGCCTTGACAAGGTCAATGAAAGCCACGTGGAGATCCCTCTTCTCAAAGCGAGATACATCGGAAAGGGTCCGAAGAATGAACAGGTTGTCAGTAATCCTCCTGCCCTTCCTAAAACCGTTCTGCGCATCGGGTAGTTTAGATTCCGCCCAGCATGAGATCCGGATATTAAGTAGCGCAGTATAGATCTTCCTGGCAACCGACAGCAGGGTAATCCCGCGGTAGTTGGAGGGGTTCCGGAGATTGCCCTTCTTGGGAAGAGGGATAATGGCTCCGACATTCCAAACCGAGGGGGTAGAAGAACTCTCAAGGACTTCATTGAAGAAGGAAAGTAGGCGCCCATCAGGGAGATCCAGAAGAGAGTCAACTGATACGAGATCTAGGCCACGTGCAAAAGTGCCCTTACGGAACTTAAGTACCTCGTCGAGTTCCTCCACCATGAAGGGCGCATGGAGGATTTCATCGATCGAGACTGGCGGTCCCTGAGGAGTACGACTAATGAAGTCGGTCTTGAAGTCATCGTCGAATGACGGACTATCAAGGCCTGACAACAAGGACTGAAAGTGGTCAGCCAAGGCTTCGGGAGAGACCAAGGGGGAAGGACCCGGGGCGGACAGTGAGTTGTGAGCGATCTTCCAGAAGCCAGTAGGACTGGCCTGGAGCAACGCGTCGAGGTTTTTGGCTTGGAAAACACACTGTCTTCTCCGGTGTTCCACTCGGTAATGTCGACGGAGGTTGAGGTACGAGGCATGTTCCCTCGTGCCCGCCACCATCGGCAAACCCTTGTGAAGTCGGGCTAGGGAGCGCTTAAAGCTCGACATAGTGTGAAAAGTAGTGCCAGCAATCGGAGACTGGGAGGCAAACCTCTTCTTAGTAAGGTCGGACATGAGTGTACGATAAGCAACGTCAGCTGCAGATCCAGTAAAACGGGAAGAGAAGCGCCGAGGCCTGGGGAGGCCATCCCTAGGAGCATGACGTTCCTCCTGGAAGGATGGACAGGAAGCGTGAGACGTACAGGGCAGTGGAAGGAGTCGAGTTGTGGGTCAGAGATTCCAACCTGACAACCCGGCACCAACAACGATTCCAAGACCAGGGCATAGTCTACCACTGACGCTCCCCTGGAGTGGAAGTTGGTGATCCGACCTACATAATCGCCAAAGCCGGCCCTCCCATTGAGGACAACCATACCCGCATCGCGGCGGAGGTCTAGAAGGACCCTTCCTCGAGCGTTCACAGCTGCATCAAGCGAGGACCTGCTGACTGATGGAAAATCGGAAGAAAGTAAACCCGTTCTAGCATTTAGGTCCCCGACAATCACCACGGGACCTGATAGTGCATAAACGGCAGCTTCACCAAAAAGGTGTAAAGAGGGTCCTCTTCATCTGCGATAACCACGCTGTTTGAAGGGGGAACATATGCAAAGCAGTAGTTAATACCACAGACGGAAAGCTATATCCAATCACGATCGGAATCGTCATTGAGACGGAGTAACCGGACCTCAGCGAGGAGGGAATTGCGAACATAGACAGCAGAGCCTCCCTGACCATGAGAACTACGCATGTGCCTGCGTAGAATCCTAGGAGAGTGGAAGAGACGAAACCCGGGGATTTCGATCAAATGAGCAAGTTCTGGGAAGGTCCAATCTTCCCCTAGATGTAAGATATCGATGCTGGACATAGCGAGGTCATGAAGATCATTAAAACCATTAGACTGCTGGAGCTTAGCCGGGACACTGCCTCCAATGTTCCATGAAACAATGGATACAGTGGACCTCTGGCGCTAATCCCCGGCAGGAGCAGGTGCGGGAGACGTCGGTTCGGCAGGAGCAGAATCTTGGCTGTTGCCTGCCGCCTCCGAATCCACCCAGCGTAAGAAGCGTCCATCTCGGAATTCCGCTATCCTGAGCCCATCGCGGAACCGCAAGTCTCTGCCGGAAGCCCTACCACGGTTAACCTCTTCGCGAAGTTTATCTCGCGTTTTGATCTCGGTGGGGGTTAAGTCCGGAGAAGCCCTGTAGCCCGTGACAGGTTGGGGATGTTGTCGTAGGAAGACAGAGAAAGCGCGGAAGAAGACATCGCGGTCTTTCTTATTGAAGAACCTCAATACCAAAGGACGGGGTATGGGGTTAGCCGAAGCTTTCCCTCGACGATTTGCAGAGGCATGGAGTTCTGGGAGGTGTAAGTAGTCTCTGGCAAAACTCCTGGTGTCCTCGAATGAATCCGAGGTTTCGGAGATGCAGAAGAGGCAGAGATTAAGCGGAGGTTTCCCCAGCGTCATCACTCCTGGTTCCGACTCCGGGGGAGAAGGTGGACGGGGCGGGGCAGGAGTGCCACGGCCAGCCTGAGGTATGGGGGGGGAGGTGCGTGGCCTTTTCGCCCTCGGTTGCGGGGGGGGAGGACCGGCACTCCTGCCGGCAATGACTTGAGAGTAGGACTTCTTCCCAAAGGAGTCCATCTTCTTGCTAATAGAGTCGATAGTGGAGATCAACTTATCATTTTGTTGATCTCTACTACCGTTGCAAGCAGCTTCAGATTTCATTGACTCAGAAACTGAGCGGATCTTCTCATCAAAGAAAGTCCCCAGCTCGGTTCTGGTAACAAAGTCGGCAGCTAAGCTCGAGGACGCCTTCCCAACCGCATCCAGCAACAGACCGGGAGAGGAAAGGGCGGATACTGTAGAATCAGCTACCAACTTTTCCAAGGCTGGTGCTTCAACAGAACCCGTGACTTTAGAAACTGCTGTATCAATTTCGGATACTTCTGGGGTTGAGGGGGGGGAACGAGAAGTATCCTTCCTGATCGCGGCCTCGATGGCCTCGACCCGAGCTTTAGCATCACCAAAGTCTCGGACCTGAGACCTAAGTCTTGAGGTCACTGACGAGGCGTTGACCTTGTCCAAATTGGACAAGGCAGTGACTTCTTTTTCTAGCTCCTTGACACGTTTATCCGCCTTGGCGGTGTGATCCAGGAGAATAGTGACTAGGTAACGTAAGGCATGGACCGAGTCATGTAAGGATGAGTCATGATCGTCTCGAGGAGCTAACTGCAGAGCAGCTCGCTCCAGTTGTTTCCAGTCTTTATTGAGAAGTGCGACATCGAGCTCTTCTTCGTCAGAGGAGTCGCCGTATGTATCCTCTCTTTCCAACCTAAAACCACGCCTGAGAGCGACGATCGGGGTGAGGGAGAGGCGAGATGCCTGCCCAAAAAGGGGAGAAGAGGAGGAAGAAGGTACCGCAGAGAACTGCAGGAAGTCCATTTGGGTGGAGGACGCCTGAGACCTTTTTTGCGTTGAGGACAGACGACAAGAGCGTTATGTAGCCCAGGGACCGGGGAAGAAGACGGAGCCGAGGTGGTGGAAGAAGAGACACGGGCAGCCGTATGTCGAATAAAAGGGTGAAAAATAACATCCCAGTTATAATAATATGCCGGGTCGGTCCTGAGATTGTTTCTGAGAGGTGCAGTCAAGATGACTCTGGACTTCTCCTCGGGATTGTATGCTACCCCTGCGAGGTCCATCGCCCGATGGAGGTCGGGAAAGGAAACACCCTGGGGAATAGAAACATGATACTGGTAATCTTCAGAGGAGCCATTGACTTCAACTGCAGTTGTCGTTTTCAGGGGCTGGGTGGGTGTATGCGAGGCCGAAGCCGGTGAGGGTTCGTTGGAGTGACCCAAAACCAGAGAGATGGGATTGGGGACTCTCTTAGAGAGTTGAGGTATTGTAGTATCACGAGAGATTGATAAGGAAGAGCCAGAGGACGAATCTTCCTGAGTTGGGGTGGGGTGTCGATAGAAGACCCTCCAGGGTTTTCAGAATCGATTGAGGCAGATAAAATGGAAATCCTTCTCTAATTTCAGCAGCTGATAGGGATTTTTATTTTTGTCGTTGGTTGACAGGTTTTGCTGGGCGCACCGCGAACCGCGGTGGGGTAGTAGCTGGTGGTGGCACCTCGACGGTGTGTCGAATCCGGAGTTTTGAGGCACGAGAAGATGCCCTCCGTTGACCTGGCTCAGGATCGACCTCAACCATCAATCCTAGACCTTTGGTCGTCGAGTACTAAGGGTTTTTGTTCTCGGGGTCTACAACTTTTTTCCCGCACCTGCGCGCTACACGTGATTCGCATGACTTTAGAACTCGACTATATACGACGCACGGGTACCCCACGGTAACGCATGCTTGGGCGGCTCAGCTGCACTCCCTGGATTACGAATAAATTGCCGCCATGACCTTTGAAGTACTGGGTATCCGACCTTCTCTTTGAGCTTATCGGGACTGGACGCTGGTCGTTTGGCTCTCTTATAGGCATTACTGTCTCTTTACTTGCCGAATGCTTGGAAGGACTGTCGACTCGCCGCCGGCGTATAGGGTCACCTACACCCCCGTACCCAACGACAACACCGACACTGATACTACCAGCGCTACATCCGCTCCGCGATACAGTGTCACCGACGTGGAAGGCGCTCTTCAAGAAGTCCTTCTCGGCTCTCCGGTCGTCGATGAATTTGGTAATGAAATCAACAAGCCTGTTAGGAGGGTTCCAGGGAAGAGGGTGGGGTGGAGACAGCATGCCGTGTTTGTGTTGTTGAATATCTTGCTGTTGGCGGTTCCGGTTGGGGTGTTGGTGGTTACGTTTAGGGTTGCTGGGGATGCGCTCAGGACTGAAGATGTCAGTTCCGCTACTGCCACAACTCCTGTTGTGCCCACGGTTCCCATGAATAACGAACCCTACGTCCTGAAAGAAGGCGAATGGACAATCGACTACTCGAACTACACCTCCTTCCCCCTCACCCCCGCCCAATACGGCGCCCTCTGCGCCTCAACCTCCCACGCCCACGCCCACGCCCACTCCCCCGACTTCTGGTCCCTCCCCCCCACCTACATCGATCCCGCGACCATCACCCCCCTCCCCCCCACCACCTGCGCCTCCTCCATCACCTTCATGTTAAGTTCTCCCTACCTCGGTCGCGACATACTGGCGCTCTTCATCGCATACGGAATGGCGCGGGAGCGTGAGCGAGCTTTCTTCGTGGACACGACATGGTGGGGGTATGGAAAATGGACAGACTACTTTCTTCCGTTGCCTGAGCAGGGGTGTACACCCCCGCCGAGGGAGGTGATGGTCGCGTGTCCGCATGCGTCGAGGCATTGGGTCGTGTCACGAAGCACATGGAGCACATTCGGGCACCAATTCGATGAGTGGATGGAGGACCCGCGGAAAGTCGGTGTACTCCGCCAACGCGCGATTTTCGAGATGGCGAGGGTGGGGATGAGGGCGTTGTGGAAACTTCGGCCGGAGATTGCGGGTGGAGTGGAGTGGGAGGTGGAGAGGATGAATGCGATCGATGAAGATGGGTGGATTGGCGTGCATGTTCGGCATGGGGATGCGAAGCCGTATATGCTCCGGTATGGGGAGACAGAGTTGGGGGCGGAGGTGTATATGGGTGGTGTCGAGACGGTTGCGAATTTGACGAGGGGTGAGGGGGATATGACACCCCCGAGCGTGTTTCTGATCAGTGACGACCCCTCCGCCGCCAACGCCTTCCCAGACGACATCTATGCATCCGGCTCAGGCCTCCCCACCCCCGCCGCCCCCTTCACCTACCCCGAATTCCTCTCATCCTCGACCCCCGCCTTACGAGCCCAAATCGCAGCCAGCTTCATCGTGGATATCTCCATTGCGATGACGAAAGCGGGTAGGGGGGTCGTGTGTGCGATTAGTTCTGGGGCGTGTAGGATACTTGCGCTCAGTTTGGGGTGGGAGGAGGGGATTTTGGGGGGGAGGTGGGGGAACGTTGATGGGGATTTTGATTGGAGGGGGGTTGACTGGTAGCTAAGTGCAGTGGATTTATTGTTCAATCAAGTCGTCCTGGGAATTCTCACGCGCCCGGTTGGAATAACCTCGCGCGGGGTTCACGTGAGCGCGCTAATCGAGGAGTCCATTATTACTCCGCTGATCATAGATCAAACACCTTAAAACTCACATAAAATCCAAGATGAACCACGACTCCACCATCAAGGGAATCGAGGCCGGCGAGAAGTACGACGGTTCCGGTCTCCGTATCGCCATCGTCCACGCCCGATGGAACGCTGCCGTCATCAAGCCCCTCCTCGAGGGATGTGTGCGCAAGTTGGTCAATGAATATGGTGTTAAGACTAAGAACATTATCATTGAGTCTGTTCCTGGATCTTGGGAGTTGCCTGGACACTGCCAGACGTAAGTCCAATACGATGCCTCGTACGGGGAGTTGCGCTAATTTCGTTGTCGCACAGTTTGATCCGCAAGGGCTACGGATCCTACAACGCCGTTATCGCCATCGGCGTCCTCATCAAGGGCAAAACCATGCACTTTGAATACATCTCCGAGCAGGTCTCTAGCGCGCTCATGAACCTCTCCACCGAGACCTCCACCCCCGTCATCTACGGCGTCCTCAACGTCCTTAACGACGAGCAGGCGTTGTTGCGCGCAGGTGTCGGAGAGGGTGGTCACAACCACGGTGAGGACTGGGCTGCTGCGGCGGTTGAGATGGGTATCAAGACCAAGGTTTGGATTGCGGGGGAGAATCCTTATTCTACGCCTGCGGAGAAATATCTTTAGAGCGGTAGGGTGTACGATAGTACGATATGAAGGAATGGAAATAAGATAGACAGAAATGAAGAAAGAGGAATGAAAAGAGAACAATTATTTACATGATGTCTGAGCTTTGAGTGATGTCCGTCCATAAGGTTAATGAACGGTTCACGGCCCGCGTTTAGCCGTGGCGCAAGTGGGCGCATGCCACGTATACGGCATCGTCAACACTTATCTCCATCATTCAATTCCTCGGCCGTTCTCTATCAATTGTCTATCACAATGGTATGTCCTCAGTCACCGTTCCGCCGGTTTTTCGGCATGGTATGTCAATTGCAAATGCTGATACTTGGGGGTGGTGACAGCCAGCAACCGTCCAACCCAAAACTCCCCGCCAGCGCAAAGCCATCAACGCCTTCAACGCACGAGAAAACGCAAAGAGGGGAAAGGCCGTGGATCCCAATCTCGTAAAGGCGGACAAGTTGAGGAAGCAGCTACCTGTGTCGGGGTGGTGGATGGGTATGTATTGTCCAAGAGGGCTGGAGGCCAGTGTGTGAGGGATTGTGGGCTAATGTGGGTGCGATGTAGCGCTGTTGATGTTTTTGTTGGTTGGTGGGATTGTATTGGAGGCTCTGAGGATTTTCTTCTAGGTCAAGAGTTGAAAAGGGGGATGAGAGTGTAGGAATGTGAGGGAGGTCTGGTGGAGGACGATAGGAATGCCCATATGCGGCTGAGCGCATATGAAAGTTCGGATGGAAATGATTCATGGAGAGAGATATACCCTTCTGGCTTTTTTGCGCGGCTGTTAAAATGCAATTCTTGCATTGAAGCGCGAATTGGTGTTTCCCCAAGACTGCTGGCCGGCAGATGCAGTGCAGTCCATACCTTATTCTTTATTCTTAGCCAGAGTAACCGCATCCATCGTCGGCAAGTCTCGATGATTTTACACCGCCGTATCTCTCAATTGTTGCTCAGAGTAGGCAACTGCGCTCGCCCTGGCGCGTGCTCACCGGTCGCTAGCCGCTGCACATTTGTGCGGCTTTCACACGCTTGTCCGCTTCGCCATCTGTTAAATGCCAATTCTCCCTCCACTTCCGCCCATAGCTACCTTACTCATTCTTGTCAAAGAACTGCAACAACAATGGGCAAGGCAAAGAAGGAGTTCATTTCCGATGAGGAAGAATACGACCACGGCAATGGATCTCACAAGCATTCCGGCGTGGGTACGGGCAATGGTCCTCGCCACTTCTGGACCGAGGAGGAGCTCGAGCAGATTCGCCTATGGAGAGAGCTGAACAAGGACTGGGAAGGTGAGCACTGTAGGGAAAGTTGTGTCCCCGTCTGTTGCTAATTCATGTACAGAAATCGCTCAAGAATTCCCAGGCACAACGGTCAACTCCATCAAGCTCCAACACCGTAAAGCTGTCGCCAATGCAGGAGCGGTCGCTGAGTGGACCCCGGAGGACATGGATCTTCTTGTCAAGGCGTACAAAGAGAATCGCAAGGAGTTCTACCTCAAAGTAGCTGCTGCAACTGGGAGGGGTTGGTTGACGTGTGAAGACAAGATTGTTGAACTGGGGAAGGAGGTTACGAAGGGGTATAGGGCGTAGTATATTTAACGTGAGCTGGCTCATATGAGAAGCTAGGAGGGAATGGTTCAACGATTGGGAGATATGCCCCTTTTACAAATTGACACAGCAATGCACATACGGTTGCCAATATCATTGCGCCTAGCATTGCTCATTAGTCAAACACATGGAGCTTTGCTCTGTAAAGTTCACAGGTGCTTACCGGATTTCAGCAGGTGAACTTCTCTGCAGCTGCCGCGTGATGTGCTTGACGATTGCTAGCCGCTGCATGCAGCTTTCACACGCTTGGGTCCACTATCTCTTATACACCCGGCCGACCCAGTGACTTCCTTCTCCACTGGCTCGCAACAACATAAGCCTGATGCGCAAAGCAAAGAAAGAACACCACAGGAGGTTCTATACCAAGCTTGCTGACGCTACCGGGATGGGATGGGCAGCGTGTGAAGATAAGATCCTTGAACTTGGGAAGGGCGTGAAGAAGCTCATGAATAAGAAGAAATGATTGAGGAATGGAGTAGAGAAGTATGTGTAACAAGTTAGGTACAGGTGGGCGGGATTGTGGGAATTATTCATTGTGACACAATTATTGACCACTTGAATACCTCATTTCGGACAACAAAACAAGCCATCCAGATCCATTACATAAGAAATCGAAGTGATGGAAATCATATCTCCTTTTTCACGTAAATCTCCACCTCAACAGACATTTCACTCAATCTTGAACACATCATACTCAACCGTCGCCACCCCACTGCCCTCCCCAACCAAAAACCTCCCCTTCCCCACAAACGTCCCCTTATTCATCCATGCCAACCTCTCCGAGCCTGTCTCAATAGTAATTTGTGTCAACAAACCCGTATCGTCAAAACCCGTACTCTTCGCCTCTTTATCTCCACCCGCGATAGCCCCGATATTTGGGGTGAACGGAAGGTGGCCTGGGTAGTAGGCGTAGAGGAGTTCGTTTTGAGAGGTGCGGGCGATGAGGCGGACGTCGAGGCGGGCGTGGCCTTGGTCTGGGTTCAAAGAAAGCCAATCGCCACCACCAACCGGTCTAGAATATCACGCACTGTCAGACGATTCCGAGGAAGAGTGGATGAGAGGGGCAGTGGAGGAGTGAGGAGGAGGAGCGGCGTACAATATCTCGGCCTCGATGTCGGGCCCTTTGAGGGTTCCGCCAGAGACGGGAACGAAGATACGGATTCCGGAGAGGGTTTGGCCGACGGTTTGACCGAGTTCGAGGGTGGCGCGGAGGGTGAAGACGTGGGTTGTCTTGAGGTTCGTGGAGGCCATGTGGTTGAGGATCTGAGGTGCGTGTGAAACTGTTTATAACGGGTGGGCGAAGTGGGATTGGAGAGGTGGATGGGGGAACCTTGCGTATTACATAGAGAGACAGGGAGCATACAATACATCTTGTTGCACCCCGCTCTTGAGGCCTAGGGGTCATATGGTCAATCATGGCTATGGAGATGGATGAGCCACCGGCGCTCATGATTACCCGGACGGCCGTTTCAAAGCGCATACAAAGCCCGTCTTACGGTCCGGGCCCACTTCTTACTACCTGAGTATTTCTGCGTAGGGCACTGGACACCTTCCTGGGTTTGATTGATTTTGTGAGCCAAGGGTCATATGATCACGATCCCCGCCGGACCGCCTGTCTTAAGAGATACCGCTGAGGGTGTGCCTCGGTGAAGGAGGATTCAAGACTTCAACAGCTCCCTACAAACTGAACAGTTTACACTTCGATGTTGTAAACATAGGTAACCGGCCGTTACGTATCACGAGAAATTGGCTGCGGTCACGGAGATGAATGCGGTTTCATAGGGAACATCGAGTATGTAAGCATAACGCCGGTCAGACCCAGGGACGAGTGGTCGACATCCACTCGCTAGAAGTTTATGAACTAGACCATTAGTAGCAGGTACTGATGAATCCCGGCGAGTGCTCAATCATAGCAACTGCTGCGTCGGACTGCGAGGCTGATCAAGGTCTCCAACTGAGCGAATTGCGCCGAGAAACCTATCGCCGTCGACTGCTGTGACGACAGATGGGCAAGATTGCCAAATGAATGCATTCAGTTCTTGGCTCTTCGCACCGACAATTGGATAGGGTCTTGATCATTCCACACCGCTAAATCTTCAAACCACGCCCCCGCGCGCCGAAAATTGAGGAGATCAGAGCATAACAACCACACAAAACAGCATTAAACTCAGCTGTAGGAGACAGAAATGGATCCTCCACCTGATGCCTCTTTCCCTACCCTGGAAGAGCTCAAGAATTATGCCAGCCAACGAGAAGGTGAGTGTTCCACCGACTTTGGGCGCTTTCTTCGCCAATATCAAGTACAAGGTTTCGGGCTTCGCATTGGGGTTGATTGAGGAGCAGTACATTCTCGCACGTCGTTCGCTCGCCACCAATTTCACCCTTTCGACCTGCCGTGGTTACCTGAAGAGGGTTTTCGGTTTACCCTGTGCGCATGCAATCACTGAAGCATTGGCCGACGACCGGGCCTTGACAATGCACGACATACACAAGCACTGGCATCTTGTCCTCGACGAGAACTACATTGAGGCACCCACATTGGACACAACTCAGCAGCAAGTCCGAGACCCGCCCGTCAGTACCGCCAGAGGACGTCCGAGGGGATCTCAAAATCGATCCCGCAACATCCCACTCAGCTCAACTCAGCGAGACCCAAGCGCATTTGAGACCGTCGAAGCATCAAGAAGACTCTGTGGTTTTTGCAGCCGGCCCGGGCATGATCGGAGGACATGTGAGCTCCGTAACGTGCAGATGCCAAGCCAAACTCCGGTTCCAAGTGGTACGGTGGATGATGGCTACTCTCAACCATGGTTTGTGCCGTCCTACAACCCCCTCGACGCTCCTCTGATGCCTTCCACGGTCTACCCGCCTTACAGCCTCGCTTCGATTACCCTCCCCAATCGGGGCATCCAGTTCAAGGACCCTCAGTCGGCTATTCATTGCCCCCGATGGCATCTATGGCTGGTGGAAACCTTCCCATGGGTGCTCCGGGGCATCAAAGGTTTTACGGGCCTCCTCCGGGCCCGCCTAGGAATTATTTTGGTCCATATGGACCTTGATGGAAGCGTGGGAGCGTCAGGAATTTATTTGTGTACATATCGCTACTGTAAATAATTTTATTCCTCTTGTTTCTGCTCTGATCTCCTCAATTTTCGGCGCGCGGGGTGTGGTATTGAAGAAACGGGGGTGTGGAATGATCAGGACCCATTGGATATACGCGTACATGCATTTCGCGCTCATCACGGCGATGACGTCAGGGCTCACCCCCACATGTGCACCCACAAAACGCCAGCCATCCGCACCAGCGACCTCCAGAAACTAAACGACCAAGATGACGTTGCTAAGTGCGCTGGGTATAACTCACGAAGATCCACCCAAGGACAACGAGAACAACAACAACAACACTGTAAACGACTCCATGACAAGCACAGAGATATACGACCAGGACACGCATTCATTCAAGGACCAGGAGTTTGCGGATGCGGTCCAGTCGCCTGCGCCGCAAGCTGTTGAGCAGAACCCTCTCGATGTCGGTGAGCAGGCCTTGACAGGCGAGTCCGCCGCTGCTGCAATGAACAAGCAACCCGCCGAAATCGAGGCCTCCGAAAACCGCAAAGTCGATCCCTCAACCGCGAGCACCGCAGCCTGGATCCAATCACAAGAATCCCAAAACACCACACCGAAGCGCACGCCATCCAAACGCGTCTCATTCATCCCCAACGAAAAGGTCCTGATCACGAAGGAGGACGAGATGTCCGGTGCGGCAGCTGGTCACGCATTTGAAACGAAGTCGCTGGGTCCGGTGTTGACGCCTGCGAAGACTACTGCATCCGCTGCTGGAGCTGCGGGACAGGCGTTTGCGACGGCGGCTGCCTCGCCTACGACTACGATCGTTAGGTCTACGAGTCGTGGGGCGGGGATTGCGGCGTCTAGGGCCGCCGCTACTCCTCTCTTTGAGGCTGTCGATAACCCTAACCGTCACTTCGTGGAGATCCCGGCTGGGGCGGGTGCAAGTGCCGCATTCGCTGCGCTGGGACATCCCGGGTCTGTGTATTCCCAAGACGTCGGGTCCACCCCAAACGCCGCCGCAAAGGCCGCTACGCTCGGCTGGAACGTAAAGCCTCCGGAGAAGTTTGAGCACCAAACCGCCGCTGCAGCCGGGAAAGCTGCGACGCTTGGGTGGAAAGTCGAGGCGCCTGAAGGGTACCATCGCGAAACCGCCGCTGCAGCCGGGAAAGCCGCGACGCTTGGGTGGAAAGTCGAGGCGCCTGAAGGGTACCATCATGAAACTGCCTCCGCTGCCGGAAAAGCCGCTACACTCGGCTGGAACATCGAGGCGCCGCAAGCGCTCGAACACCACACCGCTGCCGAGGCCGGGAAGGCCGCGATATTGGGATGGGACAACACGAAGGTTCCGGAAACGTATGTTCCTGCTAAGGACGCGGCTTCGGGTGCTGCAGCGAGTCTTGGTTGGGACCAGACTAAGATTCCGCAGACTTATGTACCGGCACATGATGCCGCGTCTGGTGCCGCGGCTTCCCTCGGCTGGGAACGCACAAAGATTCCACAGACGTATCAACCCCACGCTGAGAGTGCCTCCGGCGCCGCGGCATCCTTGGCTCATGCAGAGCAGAAAACAGTCGGGTATCAAGTCCCCGCGCTCAGTGCCCAAGGCGCCGGTGCGGCGGCCACGCAGGCTCATCGTGATGCCCGTACCGTCGAGGTTTTCGAGCCGTCTGATTTGAATCGCTCGAGGAGTTTGGCGGCGGCGGGGGCAGCGACGATGTTGAAGAAATCCGAGGTTGCGAAGCGCGAGAGTTGGAGGGTTGATTTCACACGTGCCGCATCCACCGCTCACGCACGGAAACCCGCTCCCGCTCCTCCTTCCCCCACCGCTCCGGCCGTGAACGCAGAAAGAGTTCTTGCACAAGCTAGGTTGAATGCGAAGAAGGATTTGGAGCAGAGAAAGATGGAGCCGAAGAGTGATTTGGTTCGTCGGGCTTCGAATGCGTCTGATTGGAGTTTCGCGCCGAGTGTGCAGGAGGAGAGTTCGTATTATGAGGGAAGGGCGGGGCATGGTCCTGGTGCGCGTGGGGCACGGGCTGCATTGAACAGGCAGGGTACGCAGGCTTCGGTTATGACGACCGGTGGTGGAGGTGTCAACTCGTCCCAAGCTGCGGCGGCGGTTATGCGTTCGCAGACTGAGCGCAAGAATCAAAGGTTGATCACGGAGGAGAAGAGGAGAGAGGACGCGAAGGCGAGGGTTGCCAGCGAGATGGAGTTCTTCCGAAGACGCATGGCCGAACTCGAGGAAGCTCGTACACACAAGCGCGACACGGTCGACCTCGGTTTCGGGAAAACTATGACGCGTGCCGAGATCGAAGCCATCGCTGCGAGACGTCTCCGTCCTGCCTTGAATGATATTGATAGGGCCGCGCAGGCGGCGAGGAGGCAGAAGGAGGAGGATGAGACGTTGAAGAGGGAGAAGAAGGAGAGGGAGGTGTGGGAGAGGGAGCAGAGGGCTATTGAGAAGAGTGTTGGGAAGCATCAGGCTGCGGTTAGGAGGTCGGAGGATAGGAGGAGGGCGAACGAGCCTGTTACCTATACCGCTGCGCCGGCTTCTGCTTCTGCTTCCTCGGGCTCTGGCTCGGGAGCTAGGGGTGAGGTTGTTGCGCCGGCTTCTCCAGGTGTGCAGAGGAGCACGTCGAGGAGGGTCACGCCTGAACTTGAGCGTGTTGGTGTCAGTGATGATCAGGCTAGTATGAAGACGGAGACGACGCAGCAGCATATGGTTAAACAGGGCGTCACTCCCGGCTCTTACTTCTCCAAGAAGTTGTCTTGGTTGTCCAAGCGCCGACGAGAGGCTTCGCAGACCCAGCAGCAGGCGCCTGCTGTTGCTGCTCATGAGACTATAGCGGAGGAGGCACCAGCTACTCCTATTGTCGAGGAGGGAGAGCCTGAAGGTAGGGTTGATCATGTTGATGTTGACCGTGAGAGTGCGGTTGTTGAGGGTGAGGCGGAGGATATGGAGCACGAGAGGGAGAGGGCTGTTAGTTTCTCGAGTGATTCGAGTGTCGCGAGCGCCTCCTCTTACCGCCGTCTCCCGCCCCGTGAGGGCTTGAGGCCTGTCCGTGGTATGGATATCCCTGAGCCCGAGGGTGATGAGAAGCCCGCGAGTGTCCGCACGCTCGACCACGAATCCGGCATCATCGATCGCCAGGGCCGTCCTACGACCGGTACCGCAACCGCCTCGAGTGAGGATAACGAGGAATGGCACGAAGCCGGCGAGGACGATTTAATTGGTCTTTCCCCGCCCACCGCAGCGCACCAGAAGAGGTTTGGTGCCCCATTGGAACTCAACGTGCCGCTTACTTACGGTGGCTCGACGTCTAGTATTCCAGCTCAAACATCGACCTCGGCTCCGCATCTTCAGGCGAAGAACTTGAGTCAGACGAGTTTGCAGGTTCCGAAGGAGATTGGGCTCAGTGCTGTTGGTGGTACAAGTCCTACGATTGAGCGTACTGAGGATGAATTGGTTAAGCCTGGGATGTCGGCTAGGATGTTGAGCGATATCTCGTTGCAGAGGCCTACGCAGTATGCTACTGCTGTTGAGTCTCAGTCAAGCTCGGTCCCTAGTAGCCAGGCGCTTCCTCTTGAGAAGGGTCAGGGTCAGAGTCAGCAGGACTTTACTTTGGCGGAGTCGCTTCCTACTCGTGTTACCTCCAGGCACTTCTTCTCTCCTGGCGCGCAAAAGGGAGATGAGGATGCTATTGTTGATCCCGAGACTGTCGAGCCTGCTGCTGAGGATTCAGAGGAGATTAACCGGATGATGGGTCAGGTTAATCTTGACAGGGAGGCTAGAAAGCTTAGGAGCTCGTTCAAGGAAGAGTTTTAACGGATGATGATGAGTCAGCTTGGGATGGTATGATTATGGAGATGATGAGACGCTGGTTGGTTCTGTTTTGTTCTTGGTTATTGCTTATTCATTCTTGCTTGCTTTTCGTCTAGGCTTTTATGCTTACGGTACTAGTAATTCTACTGCTGTGTAATTCTCGACTTATCGGTTGGGCCAGATGCTTAACTTTGACAAATCCGCGGCTCCGATTCGCCGTCTGACTCGGTTATACCCCGCACAGTTTAAGCCGCCAATCCAGTGCCGTGACTACATAAGCTGCCAACCATCCTCGGCCGTTAAAGTTCAATTGACAAGCAGATCGGCTGATCCGATAATCAATCTTTACAATGTTCCGTACAGCTTTCCGTTCCGCTGCTCGCTCAGCTGCTATTCGTACTTCCGCCGCCGGTGCGTCTCGCCGTGCGTACGCAACTACCCAGCCTCCCAAGTCATCTAACACCGGTGCTCTCGTCGGTATCGCAGCCTTGGTCGCTGGCGGAGCCGGTTACTACTTTTACTCCCAGAACGAGGTTGCGCCTAAGCTCCAGACCGCTGAGGATGCTACCCGCGCCGTGAAGGAACACAAGGTCGACTACCAGAAGGTCTACAAGGAGATTGCCGAGCTCTTAGCCTCCGAGGCGTCTGAGGCTTACGAGGACGGTTCTTACGGACCTGTTATTGTCCGTCTCGCGTGGCACGCTTCTGGTACCTACGACAAGGAGACCGGTACTGGTGGTTCCAACGGTGCCACTATGCGTTTCGCCCCCGAGTCTGACCACGGTGCCAACGCTGGTTTGAAGGTCGCCCGTGATGCATTGGAGCCTATCAAGCAGGCTAATCCTTGGATCTCCTACTCCGACTTGTGGACTTTGGCCGGTACCTGTGCCATCCAGGAGTTGTCTCTCGGTAACGTGAAGGTCCCATGGAGGCCCGGTCGTCAGGACAAGGACGTCGCTGCCTGCACACCTGACGGTCGTCTCCCCGACGCCTCCAAGGAGCAGAAGCATTTGCGCGGTATCTTCTACCGCATGGGTTTCAACGACCAGGAGATTGTCTTGTTGTCTGGTGCCCACGCTCTCGGACGATGCCACACTGACCGCTCCGGTTTCGATGGTCCCTGGACTTTCTCTCCTACTGTTTTGACCAACGCCTATTACCAGCTCTTGAAGTCCGAGAAGTGGTCCTGGAAGAAGTGGGATGGACCTAAGCAGTTCATTGACGACGGTTCCAGGAGCTTGATGATGTTGCCTACCGACATGGCTCTCATCAAAGACAAGGAGTTCAAGAAGTGGGTTGACATCTACGCTGCTGATGAGAAGAGGTTCTTCGAGGATTTCGGTAAGGTCTTTACCACGTTGATGGAGTTGGGTGTCCCCTTCCCTGTGGAGTCCAAGCCCATCACTTTCGACGCTATCAACGCTTAGAGTGTTTCCGATAGAGAGAGCGTGAGAGGAAGAGATAGGAGATAAAGGGGACCAGAGTGGTACCCTCATATACCAGAGCCAGAGCTACACGCTTCAGAGCTACACAGATTTTCTTCTTGGTTTTTGTTACGTCAGGCGTTGTATTTTATCATATGTAAGAAGGCCATAGTTATGGTTAACTTAATGTCACTATCATTATCACTATTCCGTTCATCTCATGCCAAAGTCTATGCTAGGTATCAACTAAGCAAATTTTATGCAAAACACACGCAATGCAAACTCTTATGAATGTCCCATTAGGCCTGAGAAGCATTCTCGCCCAACTCAATGTTGCTCCGAGCAGCAGCCTGCTTCGCTGCCCTCCTCCTCTGACTCTCCCTAATACCGAACCCATGCTGAAGAAGCTCTCCAATCTCCTCAATGGTGAATCCACTGGTCTCAGGGTAGCAGAAGATTACGAACAACCAACCCAAGAAACAGATACCGGCGTAAAGACCGAAAGTACCAGAAGGAGTAATACGGTCCATCAAAGTCAAGAAAGTTGAACCAATGATGAGGTTACCACCCCAGTTCGTAGCGGTAGCCATACCGGTACCGATACCACGGACCTCGTAAGGGAACAACTCGGACTGTTGCCAAGGGACGTTTCCGATACCGGTAGCGTAGAACGCAGCAAAGAGCATCATAGAAAAGAGAACCACGGCAGCCCATGGGTCAGAGTGAGAGGCCTCGATCTCGCCAGATGCGTTACGGGGAAGGTAGTGGAAAGCAATGGCAGCGAGGACCAGAGCGAGTGACATACCCCAAACGGTGCAAAGCAAAATGCGACGACGACCGATGCGGTCAATGAGGTTGAATGCGACGATCGTGAAGACAAAGTTGGTGCAAGCAACGACGAGGGACGTTGCAATAGGGTTGGCGAATCCAACGGTCTGGAAGATAGTAGCGGAAAAGTACATCAACGAATTCCAACCGCAAAGTTGCTGAATACCCTGAAGACCACAGGCAATGACCAAAGCCCTGAAATTAGCAGGAACCAAGTAAAGCTTCTTCAGCGTGTTAACGAGGTTCTGCCAGTAGGTGCCGTGACGCTGACCAGCCTCCTTGACACCAGCGTGGATGTTCTCAATCTTGGCCTGTATCTCAGCGGAACCCGCAGAAGGGTAGATACGCTGCAAAACAGCAGCAGCCTCCTGAAGCTTGTCCTTACGACAGAGGTAACGAGGGGTCTCGGGCAAGATAAAGAGGGTACCGAGCTGGACGATGGCGGGGATGGCACCACCACCAACCATGTACCTCCACCCACCGTGAACATGCTCAAATGCAGCGTCAATAGCGTAAGCGACGACTTGACCGAAGGTGATGAACAAGACATTGATAACAATCATACGTCCACGGTATGATGCAGGAGCTAGCTCGGCAATGTAAAGGGGAACAATGAGCGAGGCAAGACCGACACCCCAACCAATAACGAAACGACCACCGATCATGGTCCAGAGATCAGGAGCAGCGGCCTGAATGATGGATCCAGCCACGAAAATGACGTTGGCGACCCCGATAACCCATCTTCGACCAATAAAATCGGCAAGAGAACCAGCGCCAAGACCACCGAGAAGAGCTCCGAGAGCAGTAGCAGAGGTAATGAGCTCCTTGTTGAAAGAAGTAAGGGCTTTGCCTCCGAGATCTGTGCCGATAACGACAAGAGCACCGGAGATAACACCAGTATCGTAACCGAACAAAAGACCAGAGATACCAGCAATAAAGGTCAAGAACCAGATCATAGCACCTGGCTTGATGCCCTCGATGTCGACCTCAGGCGCAGGCCCGATCAAGCCATGGACGGAAAGGTCGGCCTCTGCGGTGATAGCACCCTTCTTCATAGAGTCTTGTCGGTGCATCGCGGACTGGCGCGCTGTGAAGTCTCGCGACGAGCTCGCGGAATGTGTTGAACTGCTGGCCATATCGATATGTTCACGCAATGAAACGCGTAGAGATTGACAATATACCAGTCGAAATAGGCGATCCGGTAGTGTTCCAGGCCGGATCGAGGCTCAACCGCTGCTAACGAAGAACGTACGACGTACGACGGACGTGCCAAAAAGGGGTGAAGTAATTGCAAGCCACCGAGTATGCCTGTGGGGTACAGATGAGATGTCAGCCTCGGCTTACAGCCGATTTGACGTTCCTTGGCAGCTGAGCTTCGGCTTGGAATGAAGCGTGTTCTTCGCGTATTTTGTCGGAGGTGTCGCCGATGCTCAACAGTTTTCGGTTTTTCTTAGCGCGATCGCGAACGCGTAGGGTTAAGGTTAAAAAAACCGGCGAACCTCCGAGATTTCCGTATCAATGGAAGCTCTTGATGCTGGGCGTTAAACGTCTGAAGGACTTCTGGATGCCAATGGCTACCAACCGGTTGCTTGTAGAGGGCGGCATCGTCTGGTAGCGACATGTTCCCACGCTTGCGTTAACCGCCATATATATATATATATGCATCGACGTGGACGGGTCAGACCTGGCGATACAGGGCGAGCTGGCAAGTCACAATGAATGCGATTTGATACAGATAAGGAGAGGAGAGTGAACGACATTCCACTGTCAATAGATATTACAATAGGTATGCATAAGCCGTAATAATGCGTCAACATTAAGATATATCCCCTTCTTCTTCAGAAACATTGTCCAAACCCTTCATATATTTGCCCCACACAAACGCCGACCCAAAAATGCAAAACAACCATTCGGTCAACTCAGAAAAACCTTCCATCATCCGCGTCGTCATCACCACCGCTTGGCGTTCCATTCGTATTAGGTACAGGATAAGGCTGCACATTTTGACCTCGAGGACTCGTCTCGAAGTCATCGGGGTGGGAGAGCGGATAATCAGGAGTGTCTCGTGCCTCGACCTGAGTATCAGATCCATTCATGGCAGGGTAGTCTGGTATACTTCCGGGCCACGCCGCAATCCTCGCTCTCTTCGGCACAGGCTCCACCTTCTCAGGCGGAACAGGAGTAATCTTCGTAACCGTCTCAGCCAACAACTTCGTGAGAGCCTGCGACAACGTGAATGGTACAGCCTTGTTCGTGACTGTCCGCTCACGCATGATCTGAGCAACCCTTGTCACCAACGCAATGGATTTGGCCTCGCGCTGAGTCGCGTTACCACCGACGACATCACCGATGCCATTACTGAGCGACTTCAATAGAAAGCGACTTGCCTGAAACAACATGGTATGGAAGTTACAAGGCACGTACGCCAGAGCAAACTGAACGTCCGAATCGTTAGCAACAAGGTCGAGGACACTGTTTGCCGCAGCAACCGCTCCGCGAACGTTGTCAACGTGTTCGGCGGTAAGAGGATTCTGCGAGAGCTTGCTACCATCGACAGAGGCGCCAGAATTAAGGAACAACTTCGCGTAATGATAGTTGAGCAGAACCGCCTTAGTCGGCCAAGCACTGTTGTACTTCTGCGGTGACAGTTTCACGGCCCAAGACACCATCCACTGATCAAGCTCGAAGTTGCTCTCCCATGTTTTGCTCGACCATTGCTGCGGCGGGATCATGTCGTTATTGGAATTCTCCATGATCTTGCTAAGAACCACGTTAAGCTCGACTTGCTCGACAAGTCTTAGGTCAGAGTGGACGTCGTGGGTCCCCTCAAGCAGGATTCTTGCATGTCGGGCCTCCTCCTGCACGAGCAGCGGTGGTCGTGACGACAAGACTGCTTGCTGCCGATCGATGCAGAATAGAAGGTACCACAGACGTAGCTTATTCAGCTTCTCCGTACTGACATCTTTTGACACCGGTTGCTTCTTCGTCACCACACCGTTGGGCTGAACCGGTGAACCTCCAGCTGACCCACCAGCAAGAACGTTTGCCGACTGTATCGCCGCCTTCTCCTGAACAACACTCTGGAAACTCTTCTGCAACCCACACTGCACCGCCAATCTTGCCGCAATCCCCGACATATGCCACCCTGCCTCCCCCATCCACAAACTCGCCACACACAATGCAATAACCGTATCAATATACTCTGGCGACGAAAAATCCTGTCCAGACGCCGGCGCAAACAACAATGCCGTCGTTAACTCCTCCAACTCCATCTTGCAAACCGAGAATAAATGAGTGAGCTCTTGACAATAAAGGGATGAAACAGCACATATTGCTGCTAATAATAGGGGGGAACGTTGTCGTAGTTCGGGTAGTGAGCCGCTCGTGATCATGAACCCGAAGAGAAAAGGACTAATCCTTTGGTGAAAGCTGTGAGAAGATGTTAGCAATTGAAAATCAGGAACGATATCGCCATCTCTGGAAGGAAACGGACAATGTATATAAAATACTTGCCTGCTCATAGGTAAGCGATCCTTTCGTGATTAGGTCTTGCTGAGAGGAGGGAGGTCGCGGAGCAACCTGGTTACCGGGAGAACCAGCAACTGCAGAAGGTATTTGAGAATGTTGAGCCTGGAAGGCGTTCATAGCTGCTGACATGTTCAAGTTGTCGGGGTAGGCCTGGGGTATGGTGCCAGGTACTTGGAAAGCAGGGTAATGACTGCCTGGAACAGTGTTGGGTGGAGACGTAAGCTGCTCGTACGGATTCCATGATTGTCCAGGTGGGTTTTGTGTTGGAAACTGCACTGCCTGCTGCACCTGCTGCGGCGGTATCGAGGACATACCAACAGGAGGGATGTAGCCAGATGACATTGCCTGCATGTCGGCGTAAGGCAAGCCTTGCGGTGGGGCCTGCCCCACCATCTGCTGAATTGGTGTTTGTCCTGGGAACTGGTGACGACTTGAAGGGGCCGCTTTCATATGCTCAGACGCTAGTGAGGCAGAGGAGCCCGGCGGAGGAGGGAGTGGATCAGGCACAAAAGACTGCCGAGGTGAAAGGTTACGCGGTGTAGATCGCGGCACCGACTGAGGAGAGGCACCTTGGGAGACCTGTCCAACAGATGATGCAACTGGAGGTATACCTGCATATGCAGCAGGACCAGCTGCCCCCGTCTGCGCCTTCATGAACTCCAGGATGGTATCCAAGGTCTTCCCGAAAGAATCAAGCCTGCTCTCGACTGCCTGACGCCATGCCAGGTCATCTGGGTCAATCTCCTTACGATCGAAAATACACTCGATCTTCGAACTCCTGCAACGTTTGCAAGGTGCGTGTTCGGCTCCTTCACATCGCACTTTCTGCCGTCGACAGTTCCGGCATGCCTTTACTGCACGGTCTCTGCCTGTTGCAACGGAACCTGATGATATTGGAACCGAGACGATCGAGCTGATCTGCGGTACGGCACCCGTCGACACGGGTGCAGTGAGATTTAGCGGAGGCCGATCATGAGGGAGTGTGTCTTCGGGAGCCGGAGGTGACGCGTCCGGCAATGACGTCTCATTCGATACCGGCGCAGGGACAATTGGACGAGGAGGCTGATCTGACGGTTGCTTGTACCCGCCGTCAACAGTCCTCTTCATCCTTCAGATCGGGTAGCGCTTGCGGTAACGGTAACGGAGGTGCCGGCAGTTTCGGAACCCTGGAGATGGTATCCCGCGGACTGTGGGTCCGACCAGGAAGGAAAGAACGTTGACAAAAACCGGAAGGCGCTATGCCCCAAGTAGTGATAGATCAAATCGATCAGTCAAGTCCGGAGAGGTCGACTTTGATCCCAAGAGAAAGGTGGGAAGCCGAGGTATAAATCCTCTGGGTCGACGTCGAAAAGGGCAAGGAGGTAGGCAATCGTGTTGATGCCTGAAGCTTAATCCTCCACATCCGCTCAGTAACGGACGGGAAAACAGCATGATTTTCCCCCAACGAGCATCGAACAATTTTTCGGGCGGCTTGCCGAGACTGTTTGATTTAGGCAGACCTTGCAGCGCTTCCGCGCGAGACGGCCCAGGGTGCGCTGCTCAAGTGCACACTAGAAAAACCTAATGTAGAACGATAGGCAGCACGGGCCGATACAGACGAATCTGGTACGACGGTTTCTCGCCAGGATTGAAGAATCGCGAATCGGAAGAATGTCGACGTATTTCTCCGGTTGCTTCTGTAACCTTAACGGCGGGTTAGGGAATGTTCTGTGCACGTGCACGTGCTTAAGGTTAAGAGATATCAGAGCGGGAATGCCTGACATGGAAGTTAGAACTCAGTTGAACGTGTTAAGGTCAAATCCCTCGGCGAAACCGAAAGCCTAATACAGCGTGACAACGCAACAATAGTATGCCCATCGCCTTCGAGATGAACAGTCCAACATACCGGCGTCATTTCGCTGAATCCTCGGCGCCATTTCGGTCGCGCAGAGTAAAGCCGTGAGATCACAATAGGCGATGTGTTAAAGTTCAAACGCCAGGCTCTCTTCGCACGGTGAACGAGTAAGATTTGTCGAATGTAGTCTATTGTGATGTACGCGTTTGCAATTGTTGCGGTCCTTCAGGTGGAGCTGAAGTTCGTACTATGTGAACGCGCGCGCGTGCGAGTCACACACCTACCCATGTTCGCACGATTTCTGGAGTCGGCGCCGAAGAACACGGAGAACCATAGACCTGGCATCTAAACCGAGATGTGCAAATAGTAGTCAAACCTATTTTCTAAGTAAGGCATGAAGGATTCATTAACACGCAGTTAGCCACAAATCATGAGGTAAATGACCTCCCAGGGGTTTCCCACGGTGGCCCGGTAGGCCTTCTCAAAAAGATCTTGCACAAATGAACGTGACAGGCGTGATAAAGGGTATATTGATACAATACAATATCACTCTCCTATCCCTATCGTACATCCTCCACTTATAGTTCAAATTCACCTCTCACACAGCAAAGCCTATTTCGGGAACGACCTGAACAAATCGCCCAACTTATCAAGTGGCGCAGCCAACAACCCAGCAATAGTCTCAAACGGAGGCTTATCCGGCGCCGAAGGATGACTCCTTGTCGGCACAAAATGCTTCGTCCTTTGAAAACTCGTGGCATAGCTCTCCGCATCCTCCGCACTAATCGCCGCGTCCAACTTGGGCAAATCATCCATCTCCTCTTCCTTTACGTGCAGCTCGAGCTTTCCCCAGAGGGTAGTGAATTTATCCTCGAAAGCGGGAGAGTCGGTTGACATGTTTTGGAGGTCGTAGAGTTCTTGTTTGATATCGAGGTGTTGCTGGCGGTCCCTGTCGGCCATTTCTTTGCCCTCGGCACCGAGGTGTTTTTCGAAAGCTGGGTTAGGGTTAGGGTTAGGGTTAGGGTTAGGGTTAGGGTTAGGGTTAGGGTTAGGGTTAGGGTTAGGGTTAGGGTTAGGGTTAGGGTTAGGGTTAGGGTTAGGGTTAGGGTTAGGGTTAGG